ACGCATTTCTATTTAAAAAAATTCCATTACTTTTACCAAATTTATTGCAAGTAGATATTTTTTCCTATCGAATTTTTCTTATAAATCTACCCCATCGAATTCGAAACTTTATTAAGTCTATTCGATACGTTTTAAATTTCAATCAAATACCCCTCGCAGAAATATATAGGTATACACAATTTTCTTTCGCTATTCGGTGGAATTGCGAAGCGTTGTTTCGACTTTCCAGATCATTAGCCAAAAGGGTAAGGGCTCTTAGGGACCTTTCCCTTAAATTATGCGTTTCTGGATGCTACCTGAAAGCCGTAATCGTCATAAATGTGTATAAATCCCGGATAGTCGTTGTTTGAGTTCATTTCGAGCAACAAATTACCGAACGGAGGAGACGATATACTTGCTGATAGGTGAAAACGGGAAATGGTATGATAAACGACGGGCGAGGTTTTTGTTTTAGTTCCTTACTAAGGCGAAATGCGGAAATTTAATTTATTATGGATATTCTCGCGAATTTAAATTAATATGAAATTACTCGCATTTACATAGTCGCATTTAGTTACATGAACTGTTATTACTATTCCACATATTCAGTCTCTTCGACAAAGAGAGGCTAGCAGAGTGGTCTCGCAACGCATCAGGAGAATATTATCCATTTCGAAATAATTTCTGGTTTTATACCGAAATGTAAAATTAAATTGAATAGTGTAAATTATACCAAATTCAGACTTTATGTTAGTAGGTTATTGGTTTAAGTAAATTCAAAATATCTTATACTCTGTATTGTATAAATATTTTTAATTAAAATGCAATACTTACCTAGCTACTTTAATTAACAGTAAATTACATTTCTCATTAGATTCCACGATTGGATTAAAATTATGCGATTGGAAAGTATGCGACTTCTAATTTATAAGTACTATTAAATACGCATAATACATGATACTTAAATGAGAGAAATGAGCAATTAAATAGGCAATAAATAATGTTTAACAAATAAATATAGTTACTGTACATAGGTTAAAATTGGCTGAATGTATTTGTATAATATTCGGTACTTAGCACCACATGTTAGCTTCGATCATTAGTGCGGCTAACCGGACAGTTAATGCCATCAACCACTTAGCTGGCCTCGTAAATAACTTGGCGACGTAACGAATTTCCCTTTGACATCTTCTGCCGGCCCCGCAACCGAATCGCACATCACGGTGGCTACTTGACGAATGCGTTCGACCGGGCTTTAATATAAACGGCTGCATTAGCGTGAGACCAGCTCAAAGGGGCAATGAATCACCGGAGCGGACCGGAACTCGCTAACTCCCTAACTCCGTGGAGGAAATGAAGCGCAAGATGTGGAGACGGCAGTCGTCATGTGGAAAATCAGTTCGAGCAAATAAAACTTTAATATATCTTTCTGGTGATACTTATTGAGCAGGTTGGGGCGCGATTCCCGCTTATGGATAGGAAATTTGAATATATGCTAAGACGGATATAGAAATTTATATGGAAGGTAAAGTTCGCCGCTTATGCAGAACGTGTAGCGTATCAATGATATATTTCACTAAAAATGTACGTATTAATATCGGTGGGAGCCTCCCAAATTTCATATATATGCTAATAAAAATTATTTCTATCATTTTACAATTCTTATCAAGTGACATTTTTTTCTACACTTTATGGACAAACATACATAATTCTCTTTAATGGAATATTTTGTATTCATTAATATTTTTTGTTTCAGGTATGTACTTACATTTCATCTTCTAAATATCCAAATTGCGATGTGGTAAGTTTTTAAAATTAAAAAAGTACAGGAATAGAACACTCATTTTATAACTAATACATAGGTAAGTGAGGCAACAGTAAAACATACCTACTTATTCCTAGCAAAGAAGTAAAATAATTAGTTGCATGACCGTCCTAGATTTAATGTAACTTCATAAACTTTCATTATAGTAATCGCTGCAGTTGGAATAACTGTGATTTAAGGCTTAATTCATAACATTCTTTCGCGGAGAAATGTCTTTTCTAAAGAAAAGACGCAACTAAATTAAATTAGTGACCTTTGTGTGACGTGACTTGTAGGCTCAGAAATTTCATTCAATTTAATTTAATTGGCCAATTATTCACAAAAAAAACTAAGTACCAGCTTATTAAATTTCTGTTATTATGCTAAGTCCTATAACGTTGTGTAATTTTGTAACTGTTCATTTCTTTGCTCTATTTAGACAATGTCCAGCATACCTTAGAATTAATTAATAGTACAAGTGCGGTTGATTTACAGAGCGCATGGAGAATTACTTTAATTATTTCGTTCGCCTCGAAAGCTCAATCATGCGAACGAATCGTCAGATTAAATATGTGGGCTCCCCTTCCTATTAATACGTACGCCCTATTCCAGCAAGATAAATTCCCGAAATTCCGATCTGTTATGACCGCGGAATTGCCAGGTGATTTTCAGCGGTTATTCCAAACACGGGAATCCTTTCGCCCAAGCATTTAGTTTAGCTCTATCGATGTCATAATTAATCGCCTGCATTTTCTACGGGAACATAGATATTCGCTCATTCGAATTTTATTTCGGAATTTAGCGCATTGATTCATATCGCGCGCAGGGCCGCATTTAAATTCGAAATTATGCATTCGCCGAGCGAAAACAGGCGTATTTATTGCCGGCTAAACTTTGTTGATTCGGTACGAAAATAAAATTACAAGGTACTCGATTTCGATATCTGAAGGAGCAATGGTCTGTTAAACGCTGAATTTACACCCTGGCTCTATCTATACCTTCGCAGGCACGACGGTATCCTAATAACAAGCGGAAAATGACAGTAATCTCTTCCATTCGGTTAAATTTCGCCAGTTCGTTTGATAATCAACATTATTTATGAATTCATAAATTTTATTCATTATTCGATTTACACGAACGTTTTATTGCTTGAACTGCGATCGAATCACGGCGTAATCAATGATATAATAAAACGTAAAAAATTGCATTTATGCAATGACGGACAATATTGTTGATGTTGTGTAAGTTTAACCATGCGGATATTTTTGTAAACGATATAATTTAAACGTTGTATAAATTAATTGCGCCATTAATGGTGCAGAGTTAGACAGATGGTATATATTTTTTGTATTGAAAAATCATAAATTTAGCAGTTTAATCGTTGTTGGTAATTTCATGGGCATAAATCAATAAAGTTCAATAAACTTTCTACGCAATGATATAAAAAAAATAAGAATTTTGTTAGAGCTTCAATATAGGTATGCTGTTTGTGTAGGAGCCAATAAAGCCAATAACCCTTAATCAGGAGTATTAAAGGAACTGTCAAGGAAATTCAATTCAGGGAAGCCACAAAAGGCGAAAGAAATGAGTCAACAGCACGGCAAAGTCGTTTTAAATCTGTTTTCTAGGTTGGTAACATTGTAGTAAATACCACCTGACGTTAAATAAGGAGCTTACCTACATGATTCTTTACAATTACACGCTTTTTGATCTACATTCCCAAAGGGATTAATTAAAAATAGTCATACGTGCAATGGGTGTAAATGACATTTTAATTTGCTTTGTTAGCGACTATGCGACTCTATGATTGAGCATTTAATTTTCCAAAGAGAACAAAGCAGAAAATTCCATTTTATAGAACATATCAATTTTATGTTGTTTTTTATTTATCGAAGAACGCAATAAAAATACAAAACTTTTCTGATACCATCAACCAAAGAAAAATATGTATAACAAGACATAAATTCTCGCAAAACTGAATAGATATGAGAAATTTATCGCCTAGTATTCATGAAATATATCACTCATAAACTTCGATATGCCTTTATACTAACTTATTTTTACATTTCGATTTCGCTCGAATTACGAATACTAGTTTTGGTTTTTTCATTCATTTTCTATGCTCATTTCTTTAATTTTATTACTTAAGTATAGCCAGTAATTAAATAATGTAAATTTATTGAGAACAAAAGAAGATATAATTAAAAGAATAATACTGTTTGAATATACAATTCTTCTTTATAAGATACAGAAAATATTAGTTCCTACACTCGCCTATTTAGCATAAATCTACAATCAATATACCTACCAGTAGGTATGAATTAATGGAATTGTCTGTACTCCTATTATATGAAAATTTCCTCTTTGTATGTACTCTAGACGTCAATAACCCGTCCGCGCTAGTATAAACATAGGAAACAAATTATGTTTGGCTAGCAATCCAATAAACTGGTAAACAGAATTTTAATTAACTCTTGAAAACTTTTTTCGAAGCAAAAACAACCGACTTAATCCATCTCAACGAATTAGCTGTTGACTGAAAGCCAATCGGAAAACTCGATCAATCAAAAGTTACCGTATTTGGATACAAAGTTGCTGATAGGGCTTTCGTTGGGAAGAAAAATCTCGAGCCATTTCAATTTATCATTTAACGATTTGATCAATTGTAATACGCAATAATTGATTGAATATTGTGCTTATTATCTAAAAAGGTGAGTTATTGATAAGATAATTTTTTAAGCTATCTTTATAGGACAAGAGTACGATGTATTGATATCATAATATACTACTTGTTTTTAAAAACAAATTGTCTTTAAACAATTTACATTTTTGAAATTAAATTGGTTTGCTTTCATATTGAAGAATGCAAAAAAGACCCTCCTTGGGCGAAATTAAAAAGAGATTTGTGTAAATAGCGCAAACTTATCCTTTCAGGGATCCGGGGTGTTTTTTTTATTTTTCCATCGACTACTTTCCGAAGTTAAAGTTTTCTAACCTTATTGATTTCTCCTGCAAACCTTATACTATAAAGTTGGGAATTTAGCTTAGGCAGACTTTTATTAAGTTGTTGCAAATCAGAGTTGGCAGGTTCTAAAGTAAGTTGTAAATTTTATGGAAGATTAAGGTCAGAATGAATGACTGTTGCTCGTTGAATTTTAGCTCGAAGGGCCACAACCTACGTTACTAGATTTAAAAAGTTTTCAATTAAACAAAAAAGCTCGTTCAATCAATACAGTTTAATGACGAATTTACGACATATCTGCGACATGTCCGTTCATATTAATACCACAAATGCTTCTCTTCAATTTGAAGTATCCCTCTTCTCCCCATTCTGTACCCCATGAATTTTTGATGGACCAATAATCAGTTCCGTTAGTAGTACCATAACCTACAATAAGCACTCCATGGTTTAGATAACTTTCGTTGTTTGGACACTTTTCGGCATCATCATATATTCCTCCTTTGTAGTGTCTAATTAGAGGATTTGCGTATACATCACCATTTACTGGACCCCTTGTGGCTGAAATAACATAAAATTACAATAGTAAGCCTACGATATTTAGACAGGTTTTATCGTAGAATGTATAAGTACCTATTTACCTAGATAATATTGAAAGACTTCGTCCATCTCTACAATTCTCTCATATTCTATAAATTTAATAGGACTTTCAGCCGAAGTAGCTGTAGCATTGCAAGCATCAGTTTTACCGGTAAAAGGATAGGCACTTGCTGTACGAAGTCCTTTTCCTTCCACATATTGAAAAGATGCATATGCTTCCCCACCTTTACAGCCATTATTTCCATATTTTTCACCACAATCTAGTAACTCCTGAGCACTAAGTTGAACACTTTCGTTATGTTTGATGAACAATAGGGCGCTGAGTGCATCTGCCTAGAATTTAATTTTCGTATATGCTGGGGATTTTTAGATGTAAAATTGATGGCTTACGCTGGAAGCAGCATATCCAGCGAAACAATCTCCTTGGTCAATTACAGGCGGGAGTGCTCCTGCTGCCTTCCAATCGACAGATTCCGGCAATGGTGCAGGAGTGGTAGATGTTTGAAGGAATTTTAACTTTCCGTTTTTAGTTTTGGGAATTTTGGAAAACATGGCGTTGAATTCTTCATCAGTGATATCGCTGAATTTGGTAATTCCCATGTAATACGCCGTTTCACCTTTTTCGTATTTCGAATTGTGTTGTTGAATTAACAAGAGGTTGTCTTGAAAAATATCGAACCTGCGTTTTTCGTGTTCGTAGCTGGTGTATGTTTTGCCATAGTTTTCCTAATTAAATTACTAGAGTTATCGAATATTTGAACATTTTTGATATCGAACAGTTTTGAAAATGTACAGTAGGTATCAGCCAGTTTTACTGGATTTAATAAGTTATTTTTATTATCTTACTTTGAAAGCTGTCCACTGCTCCTCAACCGAAAGACCTTGACTTGCTGCAATTACCGTTGCTAATAACAATATTAGTTTCATGGTTTTTTTAGCTCGTAGTATCTTCACAAAAATTATTTTTTTGTCAATGAAAACCTATTTAACTGAATAATATATAGATGGTTATTATCAGCACTTCAATGATACTTGTTATTATCAGTACTTCATGACAGGAAATTTAGTTAATCTTATAAAAAAACTTCTATTTTGTTTTGAATATCTATAGTACCTAAATTTTTCCACCCATTGTACAAACAAATTATTTTTCTTTAAAGGATTAAAAGCCAGCTTTTACACAAACGTTTTAATTTATCTATAGATAATACATTCATAGAATTAATTCTGCCCAGAGACTGTTGGGTCAAAGTTTAATTAAAGAGATTTAATTATTGGAGATCTCGCGTTTGCGACCTAATAGATATAGGCAAAAAGTTAATTGTATCTAGTGCAATTGAGTCGTTGATTTCAACAAGGAACAGGTATAATTAGAAATGTTGAAGAATGTAATCTTTTAGCAGGTGAAATGGCTATAGTAATTACGCGGATAGAAGTTGAAAATTACATTTTCGTGCTTAAGCCGTTTGTTACGGTGAAATATATTTCTCTAAGGAAAATAATTTCCCCGGCACCTCTTTATTAACGTGCGGCCCGCTTGAATTGAATAATTTTATTAGTGCGTTTCTCTTTACACGAATTTCATTAGTTTTAATTTTGTTGCAGATTAGTATTTTTAATATTAATACACTAATTTAAAATATACATCAAGTAGGAAACTAATTTTTCAATTAACATTAAATTTTATTGATTGATTAATGGAAAATAAAATTTTGTATCGTAAATGTAGTAGGTTTTTGTGTGCAGGGTACGACTTTTAATTTTGAAAGTTAACAAAAATTGCACTGGCATGTACATATAATTATGCGATTTTAGCCTCTGATATGGTTCGCTAGCGAATTCATTTACAAGTTCAACAAATTAAAAAAACGAGTTACTAAAACAACTTCACCTACAGTATCCGGAACAACAAATGAACAGTCAATAAAATGCATCGCGTTACATCCAAAGCCATCATTTTATTTATTCACCCTGTTTACAAATTTAAATTGAATATTTTAAGCGTCAGTTGGCGTTTCCATGATAAATACATTTTTCCAGTCAGCCTTATCAGCATACCGAGCTCGGGCATCGGCGAATCCTGACAATATTCCAGTTCGTGTTTCAGATCAATTGGAAAATTAATAAATTGTATATGGCTATGAATTGACAGATTTATATGTCAATTTCGCCAATTTATGTTCTATAACGATCCGCCGTTTTAGTAACGGGAGTTTAGTTAAATTGATGTTTTAATAGAGCTTTTTATTATTTTTGGGGTATGTTCTTTCAGTAAATATAACTAGATGTATTGCATATATTTCTCTTTGAGTCTTATTCTTTGCTTATTTTTGTTAGTTCTCGGCTTTTTAAAAGAAATAAACACATTAACACATAATTATAACCACTTTCTAATGAATACATAAGCTATGAAAATCGTTATTATTCAATTTATCTTATGCTGTTACCCCTAAAATCTGGCTTTTCTATTAAACATAATCCCATCAAATTATGAGAGACCGGTAACTAATAAACTTTCATTCGATATTAACCTTTTCGACGGAAATTGAAATGATTTAATATTTTACATCTCGTCCCGAAAATTGGAAAACATTCTACTGTACATACATATAATTCACGTAAAACCACCGAGATCATTACTGAGCCCTTCAATTTTTTTTAAGCGATTTACTGCTGCAACTATATCGTTCCAATTTTTATGCGGAAATAAATTCCAACACTTAAAATATTCCAAGCAGAATGCTAGATATGAAAGAAGTGGCCCAGAAACAGTGGGAATGATTGATGCACTACCTTTCTCCACGTCCTACGGGAACAACCTTTAGAGGGTATTTATCTTGTCCGGCTCGGTGAGAAGCATCAGCCTGCTACAGATAAGATATTAGTAGCTGTTTTGGCACAGTAGGGATTTCCAAATAGACAAAGAGAAATGACATTAGCAACTGGAAGTTCAAATTATATCGAATAAGTTCGAGAAAATATTAAAATTAATCATGCGGTACTGATAGTAATAAATAGATATACCTATACAGTTTGCTTATTCAAGTTGATGACTATACAATAGGATTTAACGAAAAATAATTTTGCTTTCCAACAATATATTTTGTTCTAATTCGTCGAGAGATTAATCTAGAAATTGGTTTGATTAAAAATAAATTTGAAGCGTTGGTTTTGGCGGATATTCGCGTTGAATCGGATGAATAGGCCCGGATCTGCATAGCCACAGCGGCATTGAATGCGTGCGTGTCATCGACAACTAACGTGCGATGATGTACGTTCATGTACTATTGATAGCCCTAAATATCGGTAATTAGCAGGTTGGTTTGCGAACGTATGTACACTGTCATGACAAAGCCGCCTCTTTATGATCGCTTCATAAGGAATGTCGCCATTGGCATTTCATTGGTTTCGGGAACTTCCATTGAAATTTATCACGTAAACTCCATTTGTATTGCAGCCCGTACGTTCTCATCAAAGAGGTGTATTGGATGGGGAATATTCGGTTTTTCGTCGCCACCATTTGGCTAATTGATATTTCTCTGCTAAATTGTATTACAGAGTTTCAAAGTAACACGAACTATACTGATGTTTTCTTCTAAAAATACCACAAAATGAAAGAAAAAGAGAATTTTCTAAAAGAAAAAAGCCACTATTCTAAATTGGTTTTTGGTTATTTAATTAATCACATTTAATTATTTGTACATGAAGAACTTGTCTGCTCGAAATGATTTTCAGCTAATTTCCAAGTCATTTCGCTAACAAACTTCGTTGCATCAATTTTATTAGAAGATAACGTTGTTAGAAATAGTTTCATCTATATTGCCAGAAACTGGATATAACAAGAAATTCAGAAACTAATTTCAGTTTAAAACCTCTTAAATCGAAATCGTCCTAAATCAATTCTCCAACTCTCTCGGATAATCCTCGGTGCATTTATTCCCTACCGCGCAAATCTCGACAGATTCTTATTCGAATCCGAAAAGTACAACTCGAGCACAAATATATATGGTAACAAGGAAACGTAGAAAATAAAAGTCCATAGGCGAGCGAAATGTACTGCGCGAAATTTTGTATCGTTCGATGAAAGTTTTCGCCCGCATGGCTCTCCAGCAGGTAACAGTTTAGTAGTTCTGTGGGCAAATATGATGGCGTATAATTCGCGAACTTCGAGATTCTACAATTTACTCCGGATGAGCAAGCGCCAGCAGTAAATTCTTCTCCGAGAGTTTCGAGTTGCAGCTTCTTGAGACTTCCCCTTGTAACCGCACGTTTTATGGAGCTAATTTTATGTGTGTAATTGGTGTATAGTTTATTGGCAAACAGCCAGTGTATGGTATACACAGATACTGTGTTGCACTTGCATATTTTTAAAAACATCCTATTTTGTAGCATTATTTTTCTTCAATATCCGCGTATTGCACGATGAAATGTTTATTGAGGTATATTATTTTCTGAGTGGGTAAAACAATACAACTTTAATTCTGTAGCACTTTTGAAACGAGTAGGTATAAATACTTTTAAAGTTATCCAGATAACTTGTAAAATAGTTTTTGGACGAGGTCCATTCTAGTTTTCCATAATTAAATAGAAGTGTGCTTAATAATGCACCACCACGTAATTCCTCGTTCTCCTGGAAGTGGTCAAGTTAAAACATTTTGATATGAAATACCCGGAATGTTTGCATAATTCGAAATTGACCCAATCGCATTTGCTTGTCTGCGTCAGCAACGAATTCCGCCTAAATACTTTGTGGACTGGCTGTTTCTGTACGTAACGCCGCGTCTCTACCCCGAAAAAAAAAAACAATTTATTCGCCAGGAAATGCAATTTGCCGGGAAACCGGCTGCTCTCGGCATTTTCCGATAGATACAAAAAAATCGAAAAAAGTGCATTTGAAATACATAACTGTGGCTGCGACGCGACGCGTAGTTTTGACAGCAGCGCGGCGTCGAAAAAATGAGAAATAAAATAAGGTGTACGGGCGCGGACATGTTCGGAGTGATGAGGTGCCAAGAAAATAAAATAACACGGTGCAAAGAGGATATTGAATATGATGCGAAATGCATTAATACAAATTTGCATGAAATTGGTGATGCACTCGCGTTGGGGTAATCTAAAATTCTTGTAAAAATCACCGCTATTTAAAATCAACATTTATTACCGTCCAAAAACTCTATCGTCATTGTTACAGTCGGGGTGCACTAATGTAATTTGAAATTTAGTTCGTGTAATAGCAGATATTCCGTTAGTGAAAGGTTGATGAAGGACTCGGCATTCCTTTATAGTTATGGCGACGTTATGAGGGTTAAGTGAATTGTATGAACAGTCAAGTGATAAGGCCCAACCCGTAAGTTTAAGTTGTAAAAGCCCTTTTAACGGAATATTTGTTTTCGATACAGGATGTAAATATACGGCCGGGCAGTATATAGAGGAATGCAAATATAAGAAGAAAAATAGAAAAAGTTGGCTTGACCGATAATAAAGTTCTTTTCCCGGTCCTGTTTTCTTTGCGTTACTGTATAAATATGAAAAATCCGAGCTGTTATTTCAGTTTAAAGAGGAAAATTTCTGAGAATTGTGTTCCGTTCCACATCTGAATTTTATTCAGTCCAGTGTAATAGAAATTTTATACAAATATGAATTTAAATTTTTCCTCCTTGAACCCTCATGATTTTTTACTGCGCTCCTAATTCTGATAAAAATCTGATTTGCCCCAATCGGATCCCTCCAATATAGAAAAATAAAAATTTCGGGATGAACGTGGGAGGTGAACGTGATCCAAAACTAAGAGCTCCTATTGAGAAATTCGGGAATATCCTACATTTATTTCATTCTGCATCGCATTCTACGTCCATTCAGGTAGAATATCATCACAGAGGGAGCCTTCTTATATTGAAAATAACAAGCGAAAGGGTTTTTTTAAAAGAGAATATCCTCTTCCAGGAGAGCTTAAAAGGGTGAAAGGGACAAAACGGGAATCCAATGACACACTAAAAGGCCATGAGAGTACGAAAGAATATGGGGTGTAAGAAATCTTTTTCCGGTAATCACATCTTGGCTGGCGCAGGGCATAGAATTTCCAATATCGAATACGACTGTAGGCAGCAGTAAAATAAGGAATCGAATTTATACACCTGCCTAATATACATTTATAGTGTAGATTTTTGCAAAAACCCTAAAGCAAACTAAACTCCAGAGTTGTTTATTTTACAAAATTATTTCGTTAAACCTGATAGTCTATAATATTAATTCGGGGTAGATATTTGTCGACGTTACCCGAAGTAATCTAAGCAAATTCCCAAATGTTTTTCTCGACATTGAGAGTATCACAAGTTTCGCTTTGTTCCATTGCAGCCTCTAATCCAGCTGCACTACAACAAAACGTGTGTATAAAGTTGGTTCTCTCGGGTCGCGATGCGATGCATCGCACTAATCCAAATAATAAAGATGAATAATGGAAGCGTTTTATTGTTTACATAGCACAAGGATATTTGTCAACAAGAAAGTTACGTGCCTAAAAACGTGCTCGGCGTTGTAAAACTGTCAGGTCTAATTGACAAATGCTCCATATATTCGGTAAGGAACTTGTTTCAATAACCATTGTTTTGAGTTGAAGTAAATCATTCGGGTATTGTACGCATTTGGATGTGGATATGCACTTTATAGGTATAAAAGATTTCGATTTTGTTGTCAGGGATTTCGATTTGTCTTATTCAAATTCCACATTACTATTTTATGTCGTAATAATTCATTGTTTCCTGAGATATTAAGTATTTAGAATGTTTGATAGTGTATTAATAAATTCCCAGGTGTCTTAACGAGTTTGTGCTTAATTGCATGATCTTCACCAAGAGAAATCAATAGTTTCGTCTATCAAGTTGTCAATTTTACCGTCTCCTCGCCTTGAATAACTCGTCAGTTATTTCAGAAGACGCTAGCGTATATCCTTTAATTATAATTTGAATAACCGAAGGATCGGGTTTACGTTAGATTTACGATCCGTGCCGTAAAATTCGCATGGCCCCGTGACCCCGAACGAGCGAAACGTCTAGTCAATAATTTAAGAAAGAAAATGCAGAGGATCGCATAAAACGCCAACTACTATTATTAGAAAATTCGAGTCACGGCGAAGCAACAACCCTTGCACGTGGTGTCGTCAAATTCGGTGAAGTTATTAATTTTTATCGAAAGCTGCGATCATTTTTATTCTCGTCGCAACTGTTACACTTCTTTCACTATTAAAGTTTCTCGCAAAAGTCATTTATCAAAACGCCGCGTAAGGAACCGGAAAGTCCAATACAACGATGATGACTTACCAGTTATTGTTTGTAAAATGAGAATACCGAGCGTTTTTACGTTAAAATAAAATAGCGTTAACGTCAATTCAGCCAACATATTCGACGAATTTGATTTAATTTAACGTCGATAACAGTAGGCTCAAATTATATCGCCGTGATTAAAACGATGTTAACAAAAACCATTTAATTCCGAAACAAAAACATTCCAATATATCTCATTATAAATTCTTATTATCGACAAAATTGCGTTTCAATACCAATACCACATGTCTGAATAATTAACGGGGCGCATTAAAATCGTTCCGCTAAATTTGACAGACGTTATTGCATGCATTTTGATTTAATTTCCGTAGCGTTTAAACCCGACGTAATATACCGCGTAAGTGGAATAAATCGTAACGCAAACTTTTACGTTACCGCCAGAAGACGAAGATTGAATGTTGTGCTCGTTAAATTGTGACAGGAATAACAAAATAGATCCGGAGTTTAGGGAATTCGAATCAGCATAGTAAATTGAATTCGACGCTTGTTTTAATGATGCTTTTATACACTCGTCGTATTACCGACAGTTTTATTAATGGATTTTAAAAACCCCAGGAGTTGATAAAAAGAAATTGTTCCAGACAAAATACCAATACAGGGAATAGTAGATACCATTTACTACCTATATCATGTCTGTTGACATTGTAGGTGCAAATTTACGTTAGGGTTAATGAATTTAGAGTTTACGTGTGATATTTCCTTGTTAAAGCAAAAACCAAATAATTTGAGCAGTGGATAAACGTCGGTGGGATTTGTCGGTTTTTTGCCGAAATGAAATCCTTTTAATGAATTTTATATTCGGCGTAATTGCGTCGGCGGCGTCCAACGGGCGTAACTGATATTAGTACAAACAGTTTAACAGCGGCCTTGCCCATACGAACCTAATTAAATAACATCCGACCATACGAACTCTAACAATATTTATAACTCGCGTGATCCCCGTCGAGCATTTTGACATGTTGTTTTAATTAACAATGTTGATTAATTTATTTGCATTTACGTGCGAAATGAAAAATTATTTATTTAATATGCCGCTGAAAATTCCGCGCTGGATTGGAGTTGAATATTGTTAATTTTCGAAATCATTTGAGCCGACCGTTTTATTGAAAGATTTTTTTTGAATTTCGATTGCATTAGTTCACGAGTTGCAAAGGGGATTATTCGTTATTATTAATATTACCAATATTTATTTTGAATGTACATAAAGAGTTACATGCATACTTTATAATTTGCGTTAATTGGAATGAATGGAGTAAATTAATTCCGATAAGTATTATTTTATTCGTTTTATTGCATTTATTTTGATTCATTTGTGTTATTTTATTCTGATTACATTCGTTTGAAGTGATGTAAAAATAATATGTAGGTTCATATGTCATTTAATTGAGTATGAGTTTTTTTATACATTTTCATATTCAATATTTAAAAAAAATGTACTGTTTTTGTTGCAGTTTGGGGAGCGCAGGTTGATGTTCAACCCAAGGAGCTTCTGGTACTACCCGGTCAAAATGCATCTTTTCTATGCAGAGTAGGAGTACCTTTGCAGTACTGTCGGGCGGAACTTCCCAACCATCGAAGCTACAATTTAAATAAACTGTTACCAGCAGTCGATGGAGTAAGTTATTATTTTATTATTCTATTAATATTAAGTTTTATATGGAATATGAAAACTGAACTATTGGTTCAATCGGCTAAATAGATTTTTTTATTACATTCATTTTTAGCTAGGCGTTGAAATAGTAAATTATGTTTCACAATTTTTCTAAAAAAAGAGCTATTACTGTTATGCAAATACGCCTACATAAATCTTTGTTTTTTTTTCGCTAATAAAAAGAGATTCATAGTGGTAGGAATAGTGACAATAGATTTATCTAATTCAACGAATAAATGTCGACCATTTTTATATGTAACCTACGCGATGTAATATCACAAAAGAATATTTATGTGTAATTTAATCAATATAAATTGCTTTTTTCCATGAATTTCACCAGCATTCATCCAACAAATTGGAACATAAAAAAAATAATGTTTTAACCAAACAAAAATCCCCGATTAAAATTCTTCAACTCTTACCAGTTTAATTAATTAGGCACCATAATTAATCAATTTAATCAATTAATTCCAGCTTTCCTATGAAGGACAAGGCCTCGAAGCTGGACAATGCGGTGTTCACATTCTTTACGCTGAAGAAAAGCACAACGGTCCTATCAAATGCACCCTTGGAATACCAAGTGAAACCACGGAATCCGTTGGTGTTATGAATTTGATTGTAGCAAGTAAGTTTCTCATTACTAGTTGCTTAGAAATCGATCTGAATGTACGAAAAAAATCATCATTTTATGAAGGATTATTCTAATGTTTGATGCAAACTTTTGCAGAGGCTCCAAAAATGCCGGAACTGGATTTGAGCAGAGGAACGGATTCATTGAGAGTATACAAAATTAACGACTACTTGGAAGCTTCTTGTTTGGTTAGAGATGGGCGACCAGTTGCAAATATTAGTTGGTTTATAGGTACGTTATTTATTACAATTAATTACACTATTACAGTAACATTTCTGGTTGTATAGACGATGAACAAATCAACGAAGCTGGTCTCAAGATGGCCACCGTAATAGAAATTGCAAAGGAGCATCTACAATCGAAAGTTCAGAACCTATCCAGGATATTACAGCCTTCAGACAATGGAAAATTCTTGAGATGCGTCGCTTATCATCCTGCTTATCCCGGTGGATACGCCGAAACCAAGAGGCAATTAGACGTTAAATGTAAGTCACCTAGAGAATGCCTTCTGATATTTAATTTATATACTCTTTTTTGTTTTACAGTTGCACCTTTACCTATTACTGAACCACAGGACAAATTCGGTTACCAGATCGGTAGAGTCGGAAATATCAGCATTATAATAGAGGCGAATCCGAAGCCGAAGATAGAATGGACAATCGGCGGTCAGAAAATCCGGGAGGGATCCACCGATAATACCGGCAGAATCGAGGCGGAAGCCATTAAAGATTTAGTAAGCGCCGAAAGTAATGTAAGAGGATCTTTAACTTTCGCTGATTGATTTTAGGGAAGAGGGAAATATGAGGCGAATTTGAGGCTGGCGGCTATAACGAAACAAGATACTGAAGTCGATTACAGATTGACCGCCTACAACGACCAAGGATCACAGGAATACAGGATTAAAATTTCCACCAATCCCGAACCTGAAGGTAAATTTAACAAATTTTATTCTACCTACATTGACCGATTTGATTCTCATTTTGTCGGTGTTTTGTACTTTTATCGCGAAAAATGCACTTCAATAACTTTTAATAGTTTCTACCCAATTTTCATGCTGCTCCGAAGGTATCCAGAAGTTTTTTAGACAGAGAATTTACGGTGAGTTGAGCTGATATTGGAACGAAGCTTTATGAACTTGTGTTTCTCTTAGTAAAGCGAAGGAAAATTATTCAAACACTGACGATCGTTAAATCAATAAATCAACGAATTTATATTATATCCGTTCGAAATGTAATTTTTATTTTCATACTAGGTGTGGAACTGGGAGTCGGAGCCATCATCGGAGTAGTTGTAGTCGTATTACTGGCTGTGTTGATTGCGTCCATTTTAATCTTCGCCAAATTGACTGGAAGGTGGTGCTTCAACGGTGAGTACTGAATGTTAAAATTATCAATGTTGAATGCATATTTTTCAATGCTAGATATATAGTTCTGTGTCTGTGTTATTAACTGAACGACGCGGAGTGTTAGAGTCAAAGTACTTATATCCTTAAATTTTATTGAAAATTTGCAACAAGTTTCTGCTTCAACGGGTGGATTATGCTAACTTCGTTTAAATTAAATTTCCGCTTGGTCATGTTTCAAATTAAGTTGGTGCAGTCTACCCCGAATGCTCATACAATGATCGTTTGTTTAAATGTGTTTCTTATGTTAATGCTCATTATAAATAGGTATTATTAAGTAGGAATACAAAATACTTGCCGGTTTATGGTCCGCTTTCTACATTTTAATACCTTACTAACATTTAAAAGGAATATTTGCCCATAATGAAATTGAGATCATGTGTAAACTGGGCACTAGAGACACCTGAAATTTTAATTCTGCTGAGTTTTCAAAGCTGGTTCGATTTTAGTTACCAGTTTACAGTGGACTATAATGAAGTTTGTGGTGTTTGTGGTCATTACATTTCAAAAGTTATTGGCAGGAATATCATATTATTTGGAACATCATTTCAACTCTCAAATATCAAATGAGAAACTTTACAGTTACTTTACATTTAAATGTAAACTCTGCCAATATCTTTAACAATTCGATGGACATGGCCTTTCAACAAAAGACATGTACTTGCAGAAAAACATAGTTTAGTAGTAGAATAGATCCTGCTTTTAAATGTATATTTATAGTTCTCCTTTTTATGATAAATAAAAGCTAATATCGAAGCAAAGTTACTGTGGTAAGTTACTGTGATGTTTTAGTAAGCATGCGCTGTCTCTTCAAATCTTGATTATTTGATGCATGATTACATGCGGCATTTTAAAGTTATTTCTACTAAGATTTGTGTCAGTTAAAAACTTGAATTAGAAGCTTTTAATGTACCTATGTGTAAATATGAACAAAGACTCGGATAAATAATGCAGATAGTAACTATTCTTTTATGGAATTACAACAACGAATTATTCATTAGATTTATTACAAAAAATTACTCTAAATAGCTTTGTTCATGGATATTTTCCTATTTTTGATCGATGCATGAAATCCAAATCCGCCACCCCAAACATCGAATGGAAGAAAAGATTTCTTACATATTCCTCGAGTCAATCATATTTTGTTATCACCCTCCAAACATATGATCGAGTTTATCCAATCCGAATATTCAGTGACTCTTAATATCAGAATTTAATTTCAAAAGGCGGAGAAAGTGTGAAATTGGCTGAAATCAATTTTACCATCTTGCGAAGAAGATTTTTTATGATCTATCGGATGTTATCCCCGGCTTCCTCAAAAAATCCAAAGCGGTTAGAAAGAATATAAATGGAATAACCCGAAGAGGGAAGAACTCCCTCTCGCACCGTTTAATCAACTTTTCCTCGCCCTTGAAACGTCGATATAATTCTAAATTTGTTACCGCTCATTCCGAGCAATTCTCTCAACTTGCGTAATTTTCTTTTGGTATTCAGAACCCCCAATTTATCAAATACCTTTCGGGGATAATGAAGATTGATATTTAATATCGCGTAGCTACTAATGCCTGTATTTATCCGAGTTTTACATCTACTTGCAAGTATTAAATGATGGATTTTTTCGAGCCGATTCGCGAGTTTTGAATGCTAAAGAGGGGTATAAAAGTTGCTCGATTTGTTTATTCTTAGAAATAAGAACCACCTTCATATTAGCTTTTACTTGTTATAGGGGGAGCAACGGTGATTGACTACACAACCGGTGAAAATGGCCAGCCACCCTTGCACGATGGGGTGTCCGGAGACGGAGTGGACAATCCCCATCACCAAGTGTCCAACGAATATATAAACGGCAATGATTTGCCCATAAAAAAGGACGAAAAGATCAACACAGCGGTTTAATAACGTTAGTTTTAGCATGTTTATAAAACTTGAAAATCAAAAAAATTAAGCGTAGGTTATTTTGAGTTTTACTTTTGAGAATTTATGAGAGGGATTCGACGTGATTTTCAGTTAGGTATTAGATTATTCCTGTTTGTTTCGTAATTCTCGAGAAATATATAGTGTATCGGTGTAGACAGTTCAATTCGCGGCGAATTGTAAAGCTTTCCAAAATGTTCGCGTTATCTTTTTCGATGAAAAGTTGCGCATTCGAACGCTGTACTATTTTTGAAACTGAAGTTTTTTTTTTGATAAGGGGTGTTTAACAAAAAGGACGCGATCACGTTAATGTTAGTTATTAGTTTTGTTGTGTTAAATTCAACACAAATCTCACTTAAACTGTCAAGTTAAAAAAAATGTTTTTTGTTAATTTTTGTGAAACACCCGTTATATAACAATGTTAAAGGCGATTTTCTAGCAACAACGATCAATTACTGTTGATGGTGGTACATTTGAATTTTTGTTTATTATTATTACCGATGTTTAGCTCATAGATTTTTATTAAAATATTTCAAAAACTATAATATACAAGCATCATATTATTAAATAAGTAGGTTACTGTAAGCAGTTTAGATGTATTGTATTATAATTTAAGGAAATAAGGAAACTATTTGTAGAATTGAATTCGAAATATGGCAATTTGTTTCCAAAGTTAAATACTTTATTGATATTTTTATATTTTATATTAAAAGAATAAAACATTATTTTTCTTATTAAATTAGCAAATGAAATAGGTAACATTTTTTATTAAAACATCTTTTGGAAGTTATATATCTAAAATTGAAATATATTTACATACCTGCAACTAAATCAACACTAGAAGCACGTAGTTAGAATTTCTGCATGTCGTAAAATCACTGTACGTACATTAATTGACTGTGAATTTTTGTTTTTTTTTTTCAGATTTACGAAAAATCGATTCATTTTTACATTAGGAGATCAATTAGAATATTTTTTGGGACATATTTCGGATCCAAATTCATTATATAATATTTCCGTAAAACTAAAATTTAAAGATTTCTCTTTTAAGTACGAAAATGACTGAATATTTTTTAAAAAGGTTGTCTACTACTCATATATAGAATATATGTGTAAATATTTTATTGTGTCTATTACTAACAGTTAATAAAAAATTGACAATTTGGCAAAAATTAATATACCAATCTACTATTATGACCAAAAGATAATTTGTAAAAATGGGTTAACTTTAATTTTTTTACCAAATAAATCATATAAACATATAAATGAAAATTCTCTAATTTGCTCTCTAAAATGAATTTTATTGGAAAACATTTACTCATTATTAAATTAACCCCCATTTTCAATCTATAAAAGATCCAAATTGTCAATTTAACATTTTATTGAAATTATTTTTTCATTTTTTATCACATTAAAAGAAGTACCATAAGTCTATTACTTTTATTAACGCAGTACGATAGAAATTAATCAACATCTCATTTCGTTATAAGTGAAAATGTACCTTTAACTACTGTATAGTATTTATTAGTTACGATAACAGTTATTTAAGGCTAAAATACTCAATATTTTTATATGATTTACTTTTTTGTATAGACCTTTATTATTTATATACTCACGAAGAACTTTATTGAAGATATACTGCCATAAGTAATCGTTTAATAATAAAGAGCTAGTTTTTAAGTAACAGTTTCTCTTCAGTTTTCGTGCCAATTGTTAGTAAAATCGAGAAATAAAATCACCAAAGATTCAACGAAGGATTAAAATAATATCGGATATTAAGAAAAGGAAATAATACTTGTTTTTGAAACTAACATTTATTAGGTGAATTTTATCTAGCTCCTGTAAAATTTCTAAATAAAAATTTATTTGTACTAGTTTTGTACGGTTTTATGTGCTAATTTTGTGATCTTTTGACTACTAAACTCCCTCATAGGAAACTTGAGGATCTCTTCATGTAATCTTGGAACCAAAATAGTGCATATAAAGCCCCTTAATTCGTATAAATTAATCTATATTTAGAGGTATTGTTTACTAACTTCACCTATAGCTCATTTATACCAAATTATTTACTCTTTACTAATATTTGGCCGGCTCTGTTCTCTCGGGATTTGATTGACGGGAATTGCTGCACATTCCATAATTAATGTATCTTTTTAATGAAAATAAAAAATGTGATCCGTAACATGGCAACTATTGATTAATTGTGTATGTTTTACAATAAGGACAATAAATGTCGATAATGTTATCGTTTGGATTAGGATTATTCGTTCGTTGGGGATCTAATGGCGCTAAAAGTAAATGCAACTAAAATAATATTATTAAATAAAATTAATTTTGTGAATTTTACGGAAAACCTTTAAAAACTAAAAAGGTAAACTTTTAATATGGATCAATTAATGTTTATAAAAATAACCCGGTTTCCAGTGTATGATTATTTTATTAATTAATAATTGTATGATGAGAGTTGACTATTATAAGTTGCATTTAATGATTATGCTCCAATTATTGATTCTGATCAGTGGAATTGCATTTTAATTTATGAATTCTTGAAGTAGCGTTAAGTTTGTATTTTAATTATCGAATTGTAATATACGTTCTATGAGAAAACTTGGTTTTTCTTCAATGTCTAACGTAATAACTCTATCAATGTTGTATTTTATATATCTAATAATTGATTCTTTTTAAAGATCTGAATATTTTTCGTTTATTATATTATGGAGGTACTTACTTAAATAGGTCAGATATAAATTACTGTAAAATTTTGTATGTTACATGTTCTTGAAAATATTTAGTATAAATTGGACAAATCAATTATAACTTGTTTTATAAATAAAGCTATTGATTGAATATTGGTTTTATTATTATGTATGTATATCTAGCAATGAAATATGTAAGAAAAAACTTATAAAAAGAACACTTTAAAAGATAATTTTGTTACTTTACAGGTGGAAGTGATACTCGGCATATTGGAGAATCGTAAGTAAATGTTTTTAAATAACCGATAGAACAGGTAACAAATCTATCTGTATGAAACTCAACTGGTCTCAGTTAATCTCTTAAGTAAACTTACATCTTCCTTCCAGCAGCGATACAGAGAGCGCGGACGTGAGGCCGAAGCAATCGAAGTCCCCCATAAAGCTGACCATGCTGTTCAAGAACAAGAAGGACCAAGTGTCCCCGGAGGGCGAGCCCGAGCCGAAGGCGGCTCCGGACGACGAGGGCAAGCTCCCGAAATCGCCGTTCCCGGAGGGCGACGAGCGGGCCCTGGTCTACGCGGAATTGGACCTCGTCAGGGCCGACATGGTGCCTGTCGTGAAGAACGACGACGAGAAGACGGAGTACGCGGAGATCGTTTACACGCAGAACGAGGACGCGCCCACCGCGAAATGAACCATTCCGGGTTAATTATATTGTTCAGCGAATAGTGAGAAACGAAGTGTTCGTGCAACAACTGCGCGGTACGCTTTGAACTTTTATCCAGTATTTTTTTTTGACTTACTGGTATTTTCAGAAATTGCGTTAAAAGATTACTTTCGAAGTGGTGAAAGTATTTTTTGTTGAGGCGTTCTTGCTTTGGAACGTTTTCACACGGTGCAATATATTGCTGCAATAAATTGCACAGTGTGAAAACGCTCTTACTGTGCTTTTTTATTGATGGTCTACAATTACTGATTGTTAACTAACGCTGATATGTGGTGCTTTTTAGTAGTGCTTTATTATCAGAAATGGTTTATAATGGGATAATAAATGTGCCTATTCACTTCGTACAAATTCTAGATATAATGATTTTGATTAATATTTGAAAATAAAATTTGGTTTTGAAGGGGTAGTTATGTAAATTTTTAATGTAGATCGGGCGGTTCTGATATGATTTTTATTTTTAATTATATGATTAATTGCGAAAATACTTTTAGGAGTGCGAGAATATTCAAAAATAAGTATGGTAGGTATCTAATAAGCTTGTTGAGCAAATATTTAGGTATTTTAATCTTTAAAAAGGGAGAAGTGATTCATAACAGTTTTCAGGGTGGGAGCTTATTGCTAGTTTTTTGAAAATATTACAGCATGTTGTATAGTTTTTTTGAAAAGGGAAATTGTTAATGTGCCATGTAAAATAAAATATGCAAAATTTCAATCCGAAAATTATTGAAAAATAATTTCAATCCGAAAATACTACTAGCTTATTTTTAGATGTTCTGCTCCTAAATTTAGTATTAGATAAACTATTGAGCTCTTTATTTTAAAGATTATAATGCTCCCAATGAAGGTTTGAGCAGTTCAAAAATTTCTATACTGGTCAAATGCTTATTGGACATATTTTTATTATTTTCCATGTCCATATTTTTGGACTGACCATTATCCAAGAAGAACCACTGTATAAAAATATATGTAATAATCGCTTCTTTTAACTCTCTCCAATTCGTTTTGATGATAAAGTATATTAAATTTTATACTTTCTTAATACTCTCTATAGTGTGTAATTTTGTAAATTTTATACAGATCTGATTAAAAATATGAAACATTTATTAATATGTTTTACAGGAAGCATCGAATGAATAGTTACAAGAATGTACCTATATCTATATCTTTTTATTGAAATGTAAAAATTTACGAAGGTTAAGTAAATGGTATTCGATGTTTTCAAGGCGTATTTACTTCTTTTACATATAAGAATATTATATAATAAATGCACTTAATGCCTTAATAAAATATTCGTCCAAATGTTTTAGACTAATTATATTTAAGAGCATGTAATTTTTATACTATGAAATTCAAATTGTATTGTATTTAATGTTTTTTTATAATTTGCTATTTTGACCAAATAAATATAAAATACAACTTTTATTATTATTTACTTGTCATAATGTAGCCTTAATAATATTTTAAATAATACTATAAAGGCTGAAATTAGCGAAAAAAATGCTTGATAAATCATCGGGAGTACTCATACTAAAAAAATTTACTTTATTCTAAAACAATAAGACAGTATTGTTGTAATAAGCATTTTTAAGAACCCTTTCCTCAATGTTGATTAAAATAGCAGTTTAACTTTTTTCGCCAGACGAAAAAAATTAACATTAATAAAAGCTCTTGTATGGAACAACGCCATCGTAACAAATAGAGTGAATACATTATTTCTATTTTATATTATATACTGATACCTAGTTGACTTTTGCAAATAAAAACGAGTAGCAATAAAATAATATTGACAAGTACATTTCAATAATTGTATTTTTTTTAATTAGTGTCCGGGTATCGGTTTCAACTCCTTTATTTGTCTGATTAAGTATGCCTTTTCGTCGTTAAATTGTTCGTCTTCGGCTCGATCCGTGTGGAATTTTATCAGAAATTCTACGAGTTTTTCTTGATTCCGTAATAAAATATCTAATATAGGCTTCGGTTTATTAGGATTGGCCACAAATACCTAAAAAAACAGAAAATAAATATTATTAAATACTCAATTTAATCGATGTAATTATCAGTATTAATGCTTATTATAGATTATTCTTTATACAGGGTGTCCCGCATAAGAACCGACACTGAGCAAGGGCGTGAAGGGGGGCCTAAAATATGTTGTTTAACCCAACAATAACTTAATACAGTTAACTTTTGAATTATTGAAAATTTTAAGTAACATTGGTTGAGTACAGGACTTTATTTTTTAGCGTCTTTTATCAAAACGAGAAAGAATTTAAAAAAAACAATAAGAATAGAAAAGATTTAAAATGAATTACTTATAAAATAAACTAATATTTTTTTAAATCATCCATCAGGTAAAAAAAATCTGTAACATTTTAAAGGAGCATCATCCCTAATGAACTCTTTAAAATAGATCAGTTGATCCCTCCTAACTATCCACTAACGCTCTTAGTACACTCATAACTTGTACCAAATTTGGTTGTTTTAAGTTAGAGTATTACTAAAAAACTAGTTTTTTAATTTGTAACTTCTCTTTAAAGTTAAGTTGGATCAAATTACATAGGCTCTGAGCTCTGTGTGGGACACCCTGTATACCTGCTTGCTTTTATGGTTTCTATTATACACTGTTTATCTTTCTATGAAAGTTTTCCCTGTACTCTAAGTGATTAAATAATCAATTACAGAAACGCAATAGCCTAATAAGCTATATTTAATTATATTGATTTTAATTACTTATGACCGAGGGTTCACAATTGCTAGCACACTTTATTAATTCTAAGGAATTTAAGGAAGACAAAAATAGCACAAAACGAAATTAAATTACTATTCTACTGACAAAGGAACAAGTAAATAAACTTGAGTAACGTTCGAGATTAAGTCAGGATTTTTTGAAACAAAGCTTTGGCAAAAATGTAAGTATCAGCTGATAATAGCATTGCAAATGATACTAAAATTGTGATATTCTGTTATCAAAATAAACAATTTTACATTCAGGAGAACTTTTTTTTGCCCTTAACCCTTCTCTTCTTATTGCACAAAAGAATAGCCCTTTTATAGTTACAGATTGAGGCTTTTTAAATGGCTGTATTACCTTAAAAACGTGGAAAGCTTCAAACTGAATATTCCTCGATCTTTCCTTAAGCATATTCATCATTAATTTCAGATTGTCAGGATTGGAAATATACCTGGTCATAACCTAAAATTAAACAGGATAAGTAAACTTTTAATATTTACTCATTTATTAACCTTGAGTAGATGTGGATAATTAGTAAACAGTAGTGCAGCCTAATCATAATTACAATATTCAAATATCAACTCCACAATCATTTAGTTATTTTATGAAGTAAATTTTGTAAATCAATTAAACTAAACTGATATGAATTTAAAACGAGATACTCTCTAAAAGTGTTCTACTAACACAATATTTAATGTTCCATCGAATTGTAAACAAGGATTATCGACGCTGATAATTTTCGTCGATGTTCATTAATAATTAAGATTAAGCTATCTACCTAATAGTTTCCATAGGATCATTTTTAATAAAAGATCACATTTCATTATCGTGTGATCGAGATAAGGCGTTTGAAAATACATGAATGCGACTCACGGTGAAATTATGTCTATCGAGTAGTAATTCGCCAAGAAGCTTCAAACTCTGGCGTCGAGTCACGTAATTCTCGGAATTCAACAGTCTCTGGTAGTGACTAAAAACTTTATCGTAGTTGGTTTCTAAGAAATCGGCGCATAAAATTTTGTGTCTGGTCAACAGTTCCTGCAAAAGACTCTTTTAAAAAAGTACATTGACCATTAACGAGTCGTTACCTTAAAGGTGGAGAACGCGTCCGAAGCTATGTCGAACGTGGAGACTTCGACGTAACGAAAAAAGTTGTAAAAATCCTCGGAATACAGCATTATTTTGGCCAGTGCTTCGTATCGAGCGCATTCACGTAACATTGTTCCGCAATTTAGGGCTATCTCCTGATGCTCATAACTGAAAAACGAACAAATATAATTGTTAATAAATGTAATACTTTCTAAATTAGAGGAAATAATTGTGGGTTGCAACTAAATTTACCATTGCAGTCGATAGGTTGCATCATCAAGTTCAAAGAACAATGAACTACTTGCAATTTGTAATATAAACAAAGCCTAAGTAAGAATCAATAATTACATAAAGAGCAATTCTTACAAAACTAGCCTTCTTTATAACGATTAGAAAATTTCATATTAAGAAAGCATGACAGGTAAATTAGAAGAAATGTGACTAATTATGAGAAATCTCATCCAAAAATCTCTGCAAATAGATAAGATTATTTGGAATTGATGCATTTCTGATAGTTTACGAGTACATTTATGAATAGATACAAAAAGATATAGAAACTACATAGAACAATGATAGATTAGTCTCATTTAGATTAATTAAAAATCTTAAATTTGCTCGATAAATCACATCAAATCGATGCTCTTCCTCGAAGAAAACTAGCTAGTATTAATTAAGTATAAAAATGTAATAAGGTAATCTGAAAGCGTGTAATAAATGTATATTATACGAACCCAGTCATTAGTGTAAATAAAATTTCAGGCTTTGTACAAATGTACTCTACTGTAGGCGATCTGGTACCGATTTGTCTTCTTAATATATTATTGAATACTTGTGCTACATCTTTCTTTCCTTCGAAGTCGATCCTGTTGAGGTTTTGGATTAGTAGTAGCAACAGATTGCTATTGTAGAGTTCTTGAGCTAGTTGGGCTACTATGATGTCTGCTTGGGGCTCCGCATCAGAAGTGCCGTACAGCATGTTCTTGATCAAGACAAGATTCTTCGATACATCCTCCTGCGCCTTCTCGGCTTTCTTGTCGCCTTTCTCGAGGGAATTTACTGCTTCTTTGAGAGCTTTCACAACATCTGCTGGTCCTTTCTGAGACTTACCAAATAGAGGCATGTTATATGATTCAAATGAAGCTACGAAGGACGTGATTTATCGGGCGACAGAACGTGTATCAAACAATAACTAACAACGAAATGGAACACCTTGTTTAAATTTTTCAAATGGCTAAAGATATTACTTCACTCATTACAGAAAAATCTTATTGAAATCGGAATAGCACTTGAAGAACACTCGTCTGACATTAGTACTAATTTTCCATGGAAAAGAGTAAATGCTCTCAGGAAAATCTCACGAAGTTACATTTATTTAATGTTTTTGAGTTTTCACTATGACAAATATTCAGCTGTCTTCTTTCTTCTATTATTTTATTTTAGAAGTTATTCGGCTACTTTACTCGACATTGCTGTCAACTGTCAAAATATGAGTCACGTAATCTGCGCAATCGCACTCGGTTTGGTAGTGGTTACTGTTTCGCTAACGGTTCTTTATCAACGTTACTTTTGACATTTTTTTTTCTAACTTTTAAAAAAATATGAATAATTGAATAAAAAACAAATATTTGTCCACTATAAATAATTCTTTAATTCTTATGTGAACATCACATAATATTCTTCAGTTCAGTTCACCACATACTAAAACTAAAAATTTCCCTATAGATAGGCAACCATGATTGACGGTATGTAAACTTTGTTGCCACTTTTTCTGTAAGGTAAAAGAGCCATAATTCATAATTATCTGTAATAAGTATTTTATTTTAATGTAGGAAAATACAACGATCTAAACATAAATATGTAATTTTCAGCCAATCCTTAAATATTTGCTATACTTTTCAAGAAACAATCTTGTCTACTTCTCAATGCAATTAGATAGAACATTTATCATATTCATCATTTTCCATCATCCACAATAAATAAAACCAACTTACTATTTGCAAGATTTACCAAAGAGTCATAATATTCAACAGAAAAATAATTACGTATCGTAATATGTAACTTTAATTCCATATCTATCATCGGTTACTTCACCAGAAGAAGTGAATTTCTGCTTCAGTTCCCGGGACAAACTTGTGCCAGGCTGCATTTTTCCATTAATGCTTTGATGCCAGTTAACTTTCTTGCTTCTGCTAACACTTGGTCCCAAATTTTGACTGCTCATGGTGTTTAACGATGTAGTCCAATGCGATGATGGTGTAGTAGTTGTTGAATTTTTCGCCATTTGCGTATCGAATGTTTTAGAATTTTCCAGCGAATCATCTTGTACTAAAATCAAATACCAAATTGATATAACTACTAAGGGAATTACAATTACAAGAATACTAGAAGATATTATAACAGAAATAATAAATAGCTGGTAACTTACAAGAAATTTTTGTCATGTACAGTTGATTAGTTAAAGAAGAAAGCTTGTCTTGAACAGGTTTGAAATGAATCTGCTGGGAATATTTCTTTTCTATGGATTTCACCTGCTTATTAATCGAATATAAATCGTCAACTTCATAAAAATACATTGGGGTTTGAATAATGTTGTTATTTATAAAGTTGAAAGTTGTTAACGTACAAAATAAAAGTACAGAAACGGAGCAAATTACAACCAACCAGCTTTTCCAACCCAATGCTGGAATTAAATTTAATTATACACAAATTCAATAATCATATAAATAAATTTTTAAAGCTCTAACCTTTACAAACCTCCTGATTTTCATCGTATTTGTATTTTACTCCGCAATTAAAATCCCCGTTACATTCCAAGCTTTTTTGGATACAGGTAGTCTCGTTTCCGATCAAACAAGACAATTTTCCTACATCTTCACATCTCGATGATTTCCTGGAGAGTAAATTTGCGGCTGTTATTACGAGTTTTATGTCGAATATCGTCGGGTATTTGCTTAAATTGAACAATATAGTGATGTTCTTGACGAGCTTGTTATGAAGATACAAGTTATTTCTAACGTGTTCGCAAATACTCGCTTCGATTTCATCTTTCTACTAAAATTAATAAAGTTAGTAAATAGAATAATAATAAGCAATAGTTATTAAAATTTACCACAAGAATTTCGCCTGGGCCACAGTTGATCCCATCTCCCAAAAATTCTAAAACCATAATGAGTCCAATGTCGTAAAAATAACTAAAAACGTTGAATTGGCAGTGAGGACTTTCTCTCTTGGACGATAAATATATGACTAAACTATAAATTTCACCTCCGTCGGAGGGTAAAAAGAGATTTTTAGTAGCGTTACCAATGCAGGCGGATCGCAAATCTGTAAATTACAAACTGTACTGGTATCTAGAACAAAATGAGAAATATTTCCCTTCGTTCACTTACCTAAAATACGCCGTTGTAAAAATGAAGTACAACCAACATTTACGAAAAATAAAAATATTACTATGAAAAACCTTGTCATGTAACATTATTTTTTATTGTTATAATTAACAAATGTGTCAAAAATGACAAAGCGCTATTTTTTCGTAAAGATGCCTAAAACATTTCAAAATTAATTTTAAAACTTTTAGTTATTAGTCAATTAGTTTGCAAATTTTGTGATCCTTGGAAAATTTGTGTATAAATAGTTGTAAATTACCTGTGTAAACTTACCTTTGTGTTTATTAATTACTATTTTCCATTTTAAACTTCGTTGATCCGTTAAAATTTTAATTGGAGATTCTTCTGATAAACTATCTAACTAAAACCCAATTGTTCTTATACTTACAAGAAAAAAATAATTTTTCATTTAACTTACATCTGAAACAAAGAGAACTTGAATCAATAGTTTGAAATAGGTAGTATCTACATTTTAACACACATTATTAAGATTAATAAAGATCTAATAAATTTAGTAAGTGTCATACTAGTTTCGGTAGCTCTAGTTGTTTCTAGTGTTTTTCTTGAGGCTTGCAGTAATTTAGATAGACTTTTCTTGTGGCTTTTAAAGTGAATATCATTTACTGATGATTTGGTATCATCTGTAGTTTGACCTCTCACATTGCTTCTACCTAGAAGTAAACTGGAAATTACAAAATGTCATAAAATTGGCAAAAGTACCTACCTAAAAAGTTACAAATGGTATCTTTATTATCTAAGCTAGTATCTGAAACGCTGCGCATTAAATTCAACCTATTTTTACGCAGAGAAGCCATCGCATGCTGCGGTTTAGCCACTTTCAATGCATCTATGGTTTTTTGAATCTCCGCAGGAATTGCCTTCAGATCTTTTCTCATAGTATTAACCTCTTCTACAGGTCTAGAAACATCTGGCGCAGCCTTTCTAGAAAAAAATTCATTAGTAATACACTCAACACGTACCAGTAATGACCAGTACCTGCAACTTAGGATGCTCAATTCGTTGCACTTGACCAGGCGGCAGCAATATTTTCTTCAAAATGAAATCGTCTTTGAATTTATCTCTAACCGCGCAATTGTACTGCATCGGCTTGCAAAGCGGGTCCTTCGGACAAGCGCAGCAATCTATAATTTTCTCCGCTAATTCCTTCGGCGCGCAGCAATCCCCCGCCGACAACGAGGACTCCACAATGGGCCCCACGCAAACCTCATTGGGCACCTTCACGGCCAGCGTGGCTATGTCTTTGCCGCAAGGTCTCGCGGTTTGCGTCGTTCTTATCGACTTCTTGTTCAAGCAAACTTTGGGCGCCCTGGTAATCGCCAGGTTCTCGATCACGTACTCGTACTCAACGAACTCCAGGCAGCACTTTGGCTTCTCCTTCTTTTTGCTTTTGCACGGTTTGCCTGAGGCGGGACAACAGCACATCAGTAAACGTGGACAACAAGCCATCGATGTTAAACAAAGCGAAAGGGTCCCGTTGTCAAATTTGAAGCTTGAATTTGGAATAGTCTTTGGTGTGAAATGGTATACAGGATGTTCTAAAAGTACTAGGCAATATTTGTAAGGAAAATTATACCGAATAGATCTGGGTGATTAGTTGTAGTGTAGTTTTAAAATAAATATTCCAAATGAATTGGAAAGAATATTTCTAGCCCGTCCTTTATGCATGACGGTAACTAAGGTGATATTGACTAACAATGACTTTTCATTCCAGCTCGTAATGAAGGCAGTTTTATCAGTTGTACCTTATTTCGAAGAAGTTTTTGCTTTTAACACGTACAATTTTTAATGATGACGGGGATTCCTAAACTACCAGGTTATAGCTTCACGGATCCAACTGTAAGTATTTCCAAACGTTTTCGTTGCAACAGCGAGTTAGTTCAATATTGATGGACTGTTTTTCTGGCGTTAGATTCAAAAATTTCACGTTTCGCAAACGTTCAACTTGTGCAATGGGTATAGAGTAGCTAGAACGAATTATTGCGGCATAGGCGGTACGGAATTAGCTGCGAATTCGTCCAGATTTATTCAAGCGAAAGATACTTGCAGTTACGATCCGACGTTAACTTACGGTCGGCCAAAAGCCAATAAAGCGCCACAGTTTATACCGCATTTCGCCCTGTATACTAATAAGAATCTGTGCTTCCAAGCGTTTTTTAAGCAAGGAATTTTGGATTCGCCAGTCGAACACTACAGGGTTAGAAGAGTTAAAATTATATACTATTTAGAGGACGATACTATATCCGTGTTCGAACCGACTCGAAGAGTACGTATTTACAGGGCGTTAAAGTGAAATTTGGATTTGTTTGAAAAATGATATTTTCAGGATAGTGGTATCTACCAAGGAAATGTTGTGAGAAGAGGTCGGATTCCGAAGGACAATTTTGGCGAGGTTTGGCATTGGAAAGACCTAAATGTTGGTAAAGACATATCACTTCAAGGAATTGTTTTTCATACTGTAGACTGTGACAAATGGACCAGAGTAAGTAAATTACATTTTTAGTATTCTTCTAATAGGAATATTTTTTGATTTAAACCATTAAATTTATAATCAATGCTCTCATGCAAGATGAAACACATTAAAGGGCTTTGTTTAAGGAATACATGGCTTCACAAGGATTAATTATGAACGATCCAGAAGAGATGCCTGAAGATCCGTATCTCTTCACAAGAGAGAACAAGCTGAAACCTCACTTTATAAAAACGAAATCGTGCAATGACAAATTAAGGAAATTTCTAGAATACGATGGAAAAATACTTACGTAAATATCAAAATCATTGTTCAAACAACTAATCAACCAATCATTAGCAATTAATGACTAGCGATTAGTGATTAACAAGTAATGTTAATTTTATCCATTGTAGTTTTAAAGCAGCTTGGGACGATAGAGAAAATGAGTACGGGGACCTGATGAAATATGAATTTTTGTATTTCCTATCCGATGATACAGTTTCAGTAAGAGAAATACATCAACCCAACGATGGTAGAGATCCCTATTGCATGTTACTAAGACGAGTCAAATTACCCAAGGTGCTTATACAACAACAAAAATCTTGCCTAGATAATTATTATTTTTAATTTACCAGCGTTACAACGACACGCCGAGCACTTACCCCGCCATTTATTTAGAAATGACCGATGCAGAAGTTACTCAATACTACCACCCTCTCGATTTTCAAATAGGCGAAACTATTTTCGTCCTCGGTCGCGACATGTTGCTCTACGATTGCGATCAATTTACTAGAGATTATTACAAAAATGCTTTGGGCATCACGCAAAAGCCTCCACTGGATATATCAGGTAAGATGGAGCTGAATGGGTAATAATCTTTTATCGTTTTGTTAAAATTTTAGAACCGGGACCTCCTCCAGTACCCAAGCAAACGCCACCTCACAATGGCGTTGGTTCCTTGGAAGATTCCTTCCAAAGCACTCTATCGTTTATTGTTAAACCACAGAGGAAGAACATCACACAAAGCAGATTGAATGCTAATAAATATATGACGTATGTTCTTGTTTGTAAAATATAAGGTATTTATTTATTATTTAATTTATGATAGGTACGAAATGGTAATGGATGCTGTACACCCAGAGGACACGATCCGGCGATTCGTAATGAAATACGCTCTAGGTGATGGAACTTGCAAAATTCGCGAACCTCCTATTAAAAATTCTGGAATAATGGGCGGAATGTATTTGAGACCTACGTTGTTGGTGAAACCAGGTCCTTTGAATAAGCAATTCTGCGGATTTATACGGAATAATTTTGAACTAATAATTTCCAGGTTCCGAACGTTTGAATCCAGACTACTACACACCCGTAGACTTCTACATCGGGGCTACTATAACTGTGTTTAATCAAAGATTTAAAATCATCGGAGCCGACCTGTACGTTTACCGATACATGGAGGCCAATCCGGATAAATTCCCGGCCGAAGTAGTCGAAAACATGAGGAACTACATGTTCAAGAAAGGATACTTGAAATACGATGTAGACGATAAAATTAAGGAGATAGTTGAAAACGAAAATCGTTGGGACGCGAACGCTGGTTAGTACCTCCTGTTACTACCAGAACTATTAATTGACAGGTTGAATTAACAGGTATAGAAAAACTGAAAACTGTACAGCAGGAATTGAAAGAATGCCAGGATAAATTGAACGTACAAGCCGATCCAAAGAAAGATAAAGAAATGAGAGATCGAATTTACGCGGAATACGAAGACACCATGGTGCACGACAAACCGTACCCGCCTTACGGTATCAAAGACTACGGAAAAGAATGCCCGTATTCCATTTACTCGGGAGAACCTCATTCGACCGTATGCCGAGAAGACGAAGCAGGTAACGTCCTTCTTTAGGCAACAATCCTAACTTTCTCAGAGTTAACGGTAAATCCACGCTTTACAGCAAAAACTCAATTATTATAAAATGGTTTACAGTCGAATATTCCTCCTTCACGCCCAAGCACATCGAAACTCCCGAAGAAGCTAGAGCGAAGTACTACGGTCAGGTGTTGACAGATCAGCACAAGATTTGCGACGGTTCCAAGCCCATCGAATGCATACCGCCGCCTCCGCTGGGGCCGCCGCCGGAGGTGGTCCCGCCGATACCGAAGCCTATAATGACCAGCGAGCCGGACGTGCCGCCTCCGCTGTGCAAGACGAAGCAAGTGAGGTTTTCGGATGAGGTCAAGGATAGGTGCAATATAGACCGGTATGACCTGTGCGATTTGAAGCGGAAAATCAATCTGGCTGGTTGCACGGATTACGAGAGGGAATGCATTCCTCCTCCTGTTGAAAAGCACTAAGACAAAACGGATACGAAGGTTTTTTTTTTAGATTTTTTTACAAAATAATAAATTATAGCAATAATGTGCTTGTTTTATTATAGTAACGTTACAGGGAGATATGCAAATATATTATTTTTATCTATTTATATTTTAGGTAAAACTTTGAACTGATGTTGTTGAACTTTGAATGACCTTGCATTTTTAAAATTCAATAATCAAATAATTCATTATGGAATTGACAAATTTAATACTTGCAAAACGCACTAGATAATAGTGAGATAAATGTAGGTAATCTTATACGCCTACAAAACTGTCTTAAGTTAAAAATACAAAGTAAAAAATTATATTAAAAGAAATGAAGTATTTCTCTCTAAGTTATAGTGCCATTTAAGCGATATTAAAGAAAATTTTACATATAAAAGATAAATCAAAAATTTTCATTTATCAATGGATTTAGGTATTAATATTGAAAATTGACATGGCCCGCCTATGGTTTAATCTCAATTAATGCTGCAAGCGTAAGTACACTTATCTAACAATATATTTAAACAAAAATGTTGTCGTACCAGCTTATTTAGGTACTTACGTACATTCCGTAAAAATGAGTTTCGTTATTGCTATTATATTTACATTAATTTTGTGTTATTTCGGATATGTTTCCTACAAAAATTACCAATTCAAACAAATTTTATCCTGGATGCCCACTGTAGCAGGATGGCCTGTCGTAGGAAATGCTTTGGAATTTGGTGATACTGACAGTAAGTGCTTGCTGACCAAACTTATTTTAAATATAACATTTATTAGTTAGAAAATATTAACTAAGAAATTTTTTGAAATAATTCATAGATTAAACAATTTCATAATTAAACTATTAATACATTGGAATAAAGTGTTAATACTTACTTACTTTCAATTACAGGGCTTCTATCAGATGTTACTAGATTGATACCAAAAAAGGAGAAATTTGTATTTCTAACTTTTCTAGACGTACCGAATATCTTTACCACAAATGAAGACTTCGTTGAATTCGTACTTAGCGGTCATAACATCTTGTCTAAATCTTCCGATTACAGATTCATTAAAAAATGGCTTGGAACTGGATTACTAACGAGTGATGGTATTTACCTGCATTTTATTACTTACAATTAGTTATTTCTAAAGTTTTGAGAATATTCATTTTGATTACGAATCTTGGTTGAATAATAATTCTTACAGGTGCAAAATGGAAACCGAGAAGACGTATTACCACTCCAGCATTTCACTTTTCAATTTTAGAAGACTTTGTGGACGTGTTCGAAGCTAATGGGAAAATTCTTGTGAATAAATTGAAGAATTTCGTTGATCAAAGCAGCGTTGATATTTACCCTTTCATTACACTATACGCCCTAGATGTAATATGCGGTAAGTTGTAATTATGTTCAAATTATGTTGTCAACTTGTCTGTTTTTAATGAAAAATAATTGGAGCCTTGCCATACTGCCTCTAATTGTATCCCATAAGTCAATTACTAATTTTATTATCTATACTTATTCTATAAACATTGATTTATTTAAAAAGATAGATAGATTAGTTGGTATTAAGCAACAACAGTGATAGTGACGTCGACAACAAAATTTAAGTTTGAGACTAGTTACAAGTGCTTGCATTGTATAATTAAATTTATTATAAAAAATCTGTATCTAATATTTCTATAAATGATTGATGTATTGATTTTTATCTACTAGCTCTTACCGACTAGTACTTCACTTAAATTTCCCGTAAATTATCTGCTTATAGGAAAAAAAATCACATTTCTTCTAAGGATACAGCTCTAAAATACCTCAGCAACACTGTATATTTTTACACACAGGCTTGATAGTGTCACCTTTTTATACAATGCTAAGTTATAAGGGCTCAATGAAATATAATTTTATTTTCTTCTAGAAACCGCTATGGGTGTTCAGTTTCACGCCCAAGACAACGAGTCCTCCGAGTACGTGAAAAACGTCAAGCTCATGTGCAAAATTGGCATCGTACGATCGACATCCGTGGTGAAAAATTTCGACCTGCTCTACCCCCTGACATTGGATTATTGGCGAGAAAAAAATGCTTTGAGGCAGTTACACGGCGTCACCAATTCCGTGATCGTCGAAAGAAAGAAAAAAATGAAAGGCAACGTTGTGCCATCCGTGGACGAATTCGGCAGGAAGAAAAGAATGGCCTTTTTGGATATATTATTGAATTCTACTGTTAATGGCAGCCCGTTGAGTCAGGAGGATATCAGAGAGGAAGTGGACACGTTCATGTTTGAGGCGAGTTTGTTTAAATATACTGTGGTTATAATTTCGTCAATGCAACACTTGCTTCTTTAACTACGTCAATTCACTTAATTATATTCCTATTTTTTCCGGTAATGATAATGAAGTAAAAATATTAATACTAGATAGGCAACTAAAGTATAATTAAAAGATATATGTAATAGTTTATTTTTAATAATTTGATTTAATATTTGATTTATCGTTTCAGGGACATGATACTACTGCATCTGCAATGACTTTCTGCATGTATTTCATAGCTAATCATCCCGATGTCCAAGTAAGTAACAATAAAAAAGTCGAAACCTTATTTTGCAATCCCTTCAAATTTCCTCTGTCAGCATTTTATTTTTGGAATGGAATTGATTAATGAAAAAAGTTAATACTCAGGTCCATTATTATTTTATGTTACCATTCAAAACTTTCCAGACCTCATATTTTAATATTGAATAATTTAATTATTAGAAACGCATTATGGAAGAACAAAGAGACATATTTGGTGACGAAATTTTACGAGACAGTAAGATCAGCGATCTGCAGCAAATGAAGTATTTGGAATGCGTTATTAAGGAATCGTTGAGACTTTGCCCGTCAGTTCCGATGTATGGCAGACATACTATTCAAGACATGATTTACAAAGGTTGTTATTGGTTGAAATGTTAGCAATATCTTAAGTATTTCGTTTGTAGGTAATATCGTCCCGAAAGGGATAAACATTGTTATTTATGCCTACGGCATGCTTCATGATCCGGATTATTTCCCGGACCCGGAGAAGTTCGATCCCAGCAGGTTTGAGACTGTCGATGGAAAGTGGCCGTTTAGATACCTGCCTTTTAGTGCAGGACCAAGAAACTGCATAGGTAATAGGTTTTATTTTTCGTTTTGATCATTTTTAATTTTCCTACTTTTTAGGGCAAAAATTCGCTATGCTGGAAATGAAATCGACAATCTCACAGTTGATGAGAAATTTCGAAGTTTTTCCAGCTACTCCAGAACATAAGTTAATATTGGTTCCTGAGGCTGTACTAAAATCAGCAAATGGAGTGCGAATTAGATTAACTCCGAGAAAGTATTAACGAAATCCACGAATGTCTTATTTGTTTTCTAAAATAATATATATTTTGTTACTTACATTTCACATTTTAATTTCCCTAGTTTTGACAAACTGATTAAGAAAATCATGTTCACCTCATATTTTGTAGTTTTGTAACGTCCTTGATAATTTTATCTATAGTTTTTACTGCTACATGAATGGAAAAATTAAATTATCATCATTCAGAAATTTTAGACGCAAATAATCGAACTATTAACAGTACACATTTTATCGCATTTTTGTCATACTTTGCATATTTATGAAGCAGTAAATTTTCATTTTCAAACAAGTAATAAATGATCAGTTATGAAATGTAAAATTATTGATTTTTCACCGTAACCATGGAATATCAACAAAGTAGAGAGGCTATCGATTATGTAAGTTATGAAAAATAGCAAAAACCGCTTTAAACCATTTAAATCAAATCGATAATTTCAATGTGATAGATATGTAGATAGACGGATCGTTAATTCCGAGAAATTAAATAATAACTTTAGCGTTTAATTACACAATTAGTGCATTGCATGTGGGTAGTCCGATAAGTAATAACGAAGAACATTTAAATTTGTTAATTATTAATTAACTTTAACTCGAATCTAAAAAAAATGACAACTAGTAATAATACAAATTGTTTCATCAGAATGCTTGATTGTAATAATTTTATAGGAGTGAAATTCGTTGAAGAAAAAAAAACATTCTGCAAAAAGTTTATACATAGGTGCTTAACAGGTGCCGGTACTTATAATAAATAAGAAACATATAGTAAAATTTTTAATATCCTCCTGTAGAACTCACACGACCAATCCATAATAAAGCTTATCTAAATATGTAGCTGTGATCAAAATGTAAAATAGCCTAACTTACAATAGCATGAAATTTTTTTAAATAGTTGCAGGATAGCACTCCTAGTTTCTGTACAGCCGATTTCAATGGAGCTGTCGTCTTTTGAATGTTAACTCTTTGTCGGACAATGTGATTTATTAATTGCATACTAAGTAACTGCATTTGAGTTTATAAAAGTGGATGAAGCGGAATTGTCAATATTCATGCGAGTGCCAAATTATCGCAACGTGCGGTTATATTTTTCCTGGCATTATTGTTACTTGCAGTTAAGTATTAATGATATCGTCAAATATTATGTTTGTCTAAAAACTTATATTGTTCTAAAATTAAAGTGCTTCAGTTATCATTGAAAAACATGTACCTATTAGGTAATTTTTATTCCTGATATATTACGAACGAAAGTTGCAAAATTATTAAAAATAGTATTTCTAAAAACAATAAAAATATGTTAGATTGGATTGTATCTAAATGTGAATTATTTATAACGCCAATAAGATTAGGCACAACATTATTGCATTTAAAATTATGTAATCTGATGGTAATCACAATATTAACATAAACTGAGATATTTATTGGTGTATTAAATCATTAAAATAACGCAAATATAATTCGTAATGAAAAAGTACCTAGAGTTTACAATTTCTTAGAATATAATTTAATCAAAAATGTTGGTTTTACGCAATTATGATTACTAATGGGTAATTTTAAGAGTTTTCATAGTTGAGTTATGTATAAATTGGCATAAGTAAATATTATTGTTCGTTTGCACTTTGCATGATCAATAACGTCTTTATTTTACTAAAACATATCTCCTCATATACGCAGTAATATACTCAGTGAATTGTTTCGGTTGGCTTTCAAAAACAGAAAATTCGGGTAAATTCTTCATCTAATTTATTTATTTTTGTTATCAAATTTTATAATTTATTTACTTATGCAATTGGTTTGTTCGAACAATTTATAATAGATGAAGTAAATGAAGTAATTTAAGGAGAACCCTCGTATTTTGTTGATAAATTTATCACAATAATCGATTGTATTACCTACAATCCGAAACATCTGCCTAAACTAGATATTTTTCAGGCTGATGTAGTCTACTTAAGATAACGCTGATAAACCTTTAAGGAGTGCGAATATTGATGGTTAAGATAGAAATCTTGCCTACTATGGTTTGGCTGTCAAACTGCAAAACATGGATTCCAATAAAAGAAACAAGAAAGAAAAGAACCCAAGAGTCAAAGCTTCGGTCCTGTCGTTGATTACTTTTTTGTAAGTACATGCTTCCTACTCAATTTATATTACATAAATGTTAGAGATAACATTTATCAAATCAAACATTTTTGATTATTCAATCAACTGAGAATCTATCTCATATTTTTTTTCCATTAGCTACACGTTCAGCTTGTTCAGAAAAGGCAGGAAGAAGACTCTCGAAGATGAAGACATTTACGAAATCCCTGCATGGTTATCTTCTGAGAAACTGGGCAACGAACTTGAAGACACTTGGCTGGCACAGAAGAAGAATAGTGAGAATCCCTCATTGGCCACCGCGATATTTAAATCCTTTGGAAAAGGGTTCCTGTTGCTAGGCGTAGTACAATTAGCTGTTAAGACAGTAATAATGTAAGTACCAAAGTATCGTAATCTACAAAATAGCTAAATAATTTGAATACTTCCAGATTTATTAAACCTAAAGCCTTAAGTAAGGTAGTAGCCTATTTTGAACCAAACCAAAAGGAAATATCCAATAACGATTTATACACATACGCCGCCATATTAATAGGCTTAAACATATTCAGTACAATCTATAATCACAATTTTCAACAATTTCAAACGGAATTGACAATCAGAGTAAATATTTTCAAACCCACACAGCTGCCGAATTATCAAGATTATTTTTCCAGGTGAGGACTGCAGTATCGGCTCTAATTTTCAGGAAAGCTTTGAAATTAGACCCTCATACCCTTTCGAACATCACCATGGGAAAAATAGTCACCCTAATCACCAAAGACGTGCTAGCCTTCGACAGCGCCTTGGGATTTTTAAACGACATGTGGATAGGTGTAATACACATCACAGCAATCACTTACATCATTTACAATAGAATCGGAGGCTCAGTGTTTGGAGGAATCGGATTTTACTTGTTTATAATCCCGTTGCAATGTAAGTGTAAATTGTTGTTTTGAGAGATAGAGAGTAGTAGAGAAATGGCCATATTTTTTAGTATTTGTTGGAAGGCGAGTGAGCCAAAAGAGGACCTTAGCAGCGAAAAAGACAGATAACAGATTACAATTAACTGCCGTGACTATAAAAAATATAAAGACTATTAAAATGTACAGTTGGGAAAATTTCTTCCACAAAGGCTTGGACGCGCTCAGGAAGTGAGTTTACCTACCTGACTAATGATAGAAATAAAATAAAATTATTTTTCAGATCTGAAATCAGTTATCTAACCCCTGTGTACTACCTGAAAGCAGTAGTATTGATAGTAGCATCAATAGCAGGAAACTTAACTTTCTTTTTAATGTTGATAACGTACATTTGGACGGGCCATTTTACAGACGCCGAAACGATATATTACATACAGGACTGCTACGCCAGTCTAAAATCCTACATTCAAGTATCCATACCGATAGGAATAGCCCAATGCTCCGATTTGCACGCATCGCTCAAGAGAATCACCGATTTTTTGATGGCCGACGAGCTAACTAAACGCAGAACCGACGCCCCTCTACCGCGAGTGTTAATGAAAAACGTCTCCAGCACAATCAACGACACGGAAGTGCTAAAAGACGTATCACTGCAAGTGGAAAAAGGAGTTCTGTTGATAACAGGCAACATGGGCAGCGGCAAGAGTTCCATCATCAAAACCTTGCTGGGAGAGTGCAAAGTCACCGGCGGTCAGATGGTGCTGGACGGCACCGTCTCGTATGCGTCCGAAGAGCCCTGGCTGTTCCCGAGCACCATCAGACAGAACATCCTCTTCGGCCAGGCATACAACGAGAAAAGGTACAACGAGGTGCTCGAGGCCTGCGCTTTAACGGTGGATATCAAAAAACTGGATAAGGGCGATATGACCTTAGTGGGCGATAGGGGCATCAATTTCAGCAAAGGGCAGCAAGCGAGAATTAATTTGGCTAGGGCTGTGTACAGAAACAGTGATATTTACTTGATCGATGATTGTCTGTCATCTCTAGACAGTAGGGTGAATGGATACGTCTTCAAAAAGTGCATTCTGGAGTTTCTTCAAGGTAAGATTAATTCGTCATATGATGCGTGTATAAAAATAACTTGATTCTTTTTTAGATAAAATTGTGATATTGGTGTCAAACAATATCAACCACGCAAAATTAACGTACGGAAAAAGCATTCTTTACGTGGATTGCGGTAGAACTTTGTCTTTGGACGATCAGAAAAAAGGATTAGATAAACGAATCACCTATTACATAGACGATATCGACTTGAATTATTTCAACGACGATTCTGCTCTCAACAAAGAGGAAATCATCGATGAAGCTGACGAGACTACTGAATTAATACAAAAGCAGCAGAAGATCGAGAAGCAGCTCTACCACGAGAATAAAGAGGCTGGTAAAGTTAAACTAGGCATTTACTTGAGGTACTACAAGTACGCAGGAGGGATCATAATGTTAGTGATTTTGGCTGTGATATTTATCGTTACGCAGGCCGCGTTTTCGTTTTCGGAAAAAGCTCTTAGCTGGTGGTAAGCACACTTTCTTTAATTTAATTACTAAAATGGCGTTGTTGAAGTTAATTTACAACTAATATTTCTAGGGTTAACAACGAACCAATAGTTACTAACTTGATACAGAATAATCAAACGAACACAACTGAATACCACGATGCTATTGGAAAACGGAATTATCTCGTAAACATCTATTCGGTCACGATTTTAGCCACTCTTGTTCTAATGATTATTAGAGTGTACCTCAATTTCTACTTCGCCCTTCGGGCCTCGAAGAATGTGCACAAAAAAATGGCTAACTCGGTCGTAAACGCTTACATGACTTTCTTCGATAAGCATTTGGTGGGGAACATTATCAACAGGTTTTCCAAAGATATGAGTACAATGGACGAGACCATACCGACAAATACGTACGAAATATTCAGGGTAAGGCAAATTTGCGTTGTAAAAAATATATAGCATTAATCGTTTGATTTTAGAACACATTGGCGTTTGTGGGTATTTTATACCTAATAGTATCTGTTAATACGATATTTATTATCCCAACGATACTTTTAATCGTCAAACTGTTAATAATCCAGCGATTTTACTTACCGACTGGGAGAGGTGTTAAACGATTAGAAGCTTCCTGTAAGTACATGTTTCCTAATTCAATTTTTCTAAAGTGTAATGGAGTTTTCAATGTTTCATGTAGCTTACAAGGTGTTCTTATTTTCAGCCAGAAGTCCAATGATAGGTTATTTGAATGCGGCTTTGGAAGGTTTGCCGGTGGTAAGAGCCTACGAAAAGCAATCTTTGCTTATAACCGAATTCGATAAGCATCAAGATCACTTCACATCGGCATCCTATATGGTGACCTGCACTGGAAGATTTTTCTCTTTTAATTTGGATATGGTATCGACTGTGTTCTCAGCTGCTGTCGTAATTAAGTTTCTTTTCTTTAAAGGTACAGTTAGAATTAATTCGTTTAGTTTATTTATTCTAATAAAATCACTATTTTTTTAGAATCTGAAGCTGGTGATGTAGGTTTAGCTATTTCACAAGCAATGATGCTAACAGGTCTTGTGCAGTGGTTGTTCAAAAATTACACTGATTTGGAGAACAACATGACAGGAGTAGAGAGAATAATGGAATACACTGATATTGAGAAAGAAGATAGAACTAAAGGTACATAAATTAACAAGTTAAAATAGTTATTGAGCTAACTTATTTTCAGGCGAAAAATTCGAATCATGGCAAATCAACGGTAAAATACAGTACAAAAATGTCTCGTTAATATACGACACTACCAAACAGAAAGTTTTGAAAAATTTGAATTTCGAGATAAAGCCTAAAGAGAGAGTCGGAATTGTTGGTAGGACGGGAGCTGGAAAATCGTCAATAATTTCAACCCTTTTTAGGTTATATGATATTCAAGGGAATATATTAATTGATGATGTAGATACGAAGAGACTCTCATTGGAGTTCTTGAGATCTAATATGGCGATTATTCCGCAGGATCCAATTTTATTTTCGGGTAAAATTTTATACTCATTGTACCTACTATTATCTCAATTTTTTGTGTTTATTGATTATAGGTACAATCCGATCAAATTTGGACCCAAAAGGCAATCATGCGGACTCTGAATTATGGAAAGCTATAGAAAAAGTTAATTTGAAAACTTTATTTTTAAGCTTGGATGAAAAAATTACCGAAAACGGCTCAAATTACAGGTAGGAAATAATTTTATTTTCAATAAATAAGAAATAGAAATATAATTTTTAACATTTATCTTCAGTTCTGGCCAACGTCAGCTCATTTGCCTAGCTCGAGCTTTAGTGAGCAAGAATAAAATTATAGTGCTAGATGAAGCTACATCCAATATGGATCCGGAAACGTGCAATTTGATACAAACAACTATTAAACAGAATTTTTCCGGTTGCACAGTCTTGACTATAGCACACCGACTAAATACTGTAGCGGATTGTGACAGGGTAAATTATTTTTAAGAAACCTTATCACTCTAGTGTTTATCATGAGAACATATGTATGTCTTATGTAATAAATAATATAATTTTGCAGGTCATGGTTATAGATCATGGGGAAATTATTGAATTTGATACACCGAGTGCTCTCAAAGCGAATAAGGAAGGTATTTTTTACAATATGATCCAGCATTCTGGAATACACGATTAAAAACGTAGTCCTAAAATGATACATATAGTTTATGAAATGTAAATATTAAAATATACTTACTCACAAATGTTTTATTTAATAACTTAATGACAATTTTATTTACTCAAACTATATTTAGACCATTTCCAAGATGTAACTTAAGATTATAATAGATTTATTCCAACGTGGCTATTTATTAAATCATCGTGATATAAACATGTGCTAATTTGCTAGAGAATCAAATATTTTTAATGATCCCACTTTTTAATTATTGACCTTGATACAACGATATTTTTTTGATAGGCCCGCTTGATTAGCGGGTTGTCCTTCAAACTGATTCTCAATTCTAGTGTTACAAAACCGAATCCACTCGGAAACTACTCGTATATTGTTATTTAATTTATTTTTAACATGCTTTCTGAATGCTCGCAACTCTGTATTCGCAGTTTTTAAATTCCTTGTGATTGTGAATAGATATGTATGTATAGAAAACAGTAGTGAGAATGTAAGCAGAAGTGCTAAATTTTTAATTCACCAAAATCCAATCAGTTGAATCAAGAATAAACGAATTTGGATATTAGTGATTTTGAAATATTTAGGTAAAAATTTGTAATCACTTTGTTCGTGCTCATATTTGTTTTATTTAAAAAACAATCTTGTGTACATATACTACCGTATTTTTTTGACAAATTGGGATAGTGTTCTATTAAAAATAATTAAAATAACTTATTTGTAGCTGACAACTTAGATTTTTTAATACGGTAGATATTTAGAAATATTAAATACTCTGAACGTTTTTCGATAACCTGTCTCTTAAATATTCCATAACCTGAATTTAACTAACTGAACTTGAACTCAACTGAGCGCTCTTTTTACGCTAATAATAGAACTTTAACTTTCTGCACATTTATTAAAAAATCATAAACATTTCTTTGAGATTATTTTTGCAACAACAGTGGAAAGTAAATTTAAATATCTCTAAAATAAATATACAAAAATGCTTTCTTGTTATCCTTAAACAAACATTATTTCACAACCAAGCATTGATATGTATGAGACTAAATAATCAAATTATTGTGAAGAAACAGCTTACCTAAAAGCATTGTGAAAAAATCTGCGAAGTGAATTTTAAGGTAGGCCAATTTCAAATTTTAAATAGAAATAAGCAATATAGACACAGTTATCTAAAAATAATTATAAATAATCTGCAACCGGAATAAATAAGTTTCTATACAATTTTTGTTTATATTTGTACTATTATTTTCTTATCAAATGTAGTAAGATAGTATTTTTATACACCTTTACATATTTATAAAATTTCCCGGAAATATTTTGAGAGCTTCACACAATGTCTTACTAGTATACCGCATCATCGTGGTAAATGGAAATAGCTAGAAACAGCAAAATGCTCGTCTGATCATTCAGTATATTTTAGTTCGCGAACGTGAATAGTACAAATTTTGCTGTGGACTGTTAACAAAAAATCCTGTCAAGTATTACTAATGGTTATTGTAACTAAAATTCTATGACCAATAGGTCAATTCGTCCACGAGGATTCTTCACTTTCTTTTCCGAATAAAACAATTAAGGTGCGATATTTAAAAATTAACCAATATGTTGCAATAACTATGGTTTTCCAAATTGCGTATACGCATGTCGATTGCCACAATCGATTTAAATTGTTTTGCACATGAATGGAGTATACCTATTTATTAATGAAAACGCTGTGTTTAACGGCAATAACCCAGTTTGCCTTGAATAAATTTTAATGAATTAATTGTATCTTCTTGAAATTTAAGTTAAAAATCACCGAATCATGCTTGCTAAAAAATATGCTTTTACTTTAAATATATTTTAAAGTTTAAAGTACACGATAAATTACTGCTGACTTACATAACGATTACTTGACCTGATATATAATTTAAAAACATTTAAAATAGGTACCTAATTATTTTAACTTCAAGTGTGTGCTTAGTAATTACACAATAGCAAACGGTTCTTATATATTTGTAGATATCTAATAGATTAGATAAAATCGATCAATAGTAGTCGGTTTTTAATCGAAAAATTAAAAAAATACTAAAGTGATCCGATGAGATTTTAACCGGTCCGACAAATTTTTACATTGTATAAAAGTACAGTAAGTCTTCAAATTTCATATTAAAGTATTTTGTTTATTTTATTAAAATATTAACTCGAAAAATAATAGTGAATTATTGATTATAGTACAATGTAAAGACTGTTAAGTATGTGGTATAATAGTGTATTCATAATGAATATAGTAGCGTAACTTTGTAGTAAAAATAACCCATGTTTTGAAATTTTATTTGGTTTTGAATCCATTTTCTTTATTAGTTTTTATATGAATTCTTGAAGCCATAAAGTTTATTATAAGATGCTATAAATTGATGATAGGATTATATTTAAACTTTTTAAACGGCTATGGCATAAGATTTATTTATTATTTTTAGATTTGTGTGAATCGCTATGGAGGAAGATGGAGCAAATCGTACACAAAAAAAGTCGAATCCTCGAGAAAGGTCGAATATAATTTCGAATTTATTCTTTTGGTAAAACCTGTTATAATCTGATAATTTCCTTTTGAGGCTATTATTACATTTTTAGTTGGCTTCTCCCGTATTTCGTGAAAGGGTACAAAAGGGAACTAACCGAAGATGATATGTACAGACACCGTAAGGCTCATGATTCCGGTGATTTAGGAAAAGCATTGGAAAGAAGGTGGCTGAAGCACTTAAATAATAACAACAAACCTTCATTCGCTCTGGTTTTACTAAGAACTTTTATGTGGGAAATACTATTATTGAATATATTGGCTCTTACAACTGAAGTAATAAGGTAAAAACAACATTATTAAGAATCAAAACTATTTTATTAAAACTTTATTGAAATTATAATTAGCTTTTAATAATAACTGAAGACTGCTAATTTGTAACTACCTTAACTGTCCCTCGATGAAGGTTTCAGTCCTTTTCAATGGATGCCTGTTTGTGTCTCCAGGGGTCATTACAGGGACTCCAAAGATTCTCCTCGCAACTACCTTATCGATTACAATAAAATTTCTTTACAATATTTTCAGAATGATGCAGCCCTTTCTCATATCAGCACTAATTAAAACCTACGAAGTCAAAACCACATCAGATAATAAAAACCATGCCTACTACTACTCGGCGTTGATAGTCTGTACCCAATTCATTAATGTCATTTTAGTCCACAAATTCAACCTAGCCATGATGCAAGTGGGCATGAAAGCAAGAGTAGCTTCTTGCTCGGTAATATACAGAAAAGCCCTGAGACTAAGCAAATCGGCTCTGGCCGAAACGACCATTGGTCAGATGGTGAATTTGTTGTCCAACGACGTGGGTAGATTCGATCAAGCGGTGCATCATCTACACCAGTTCTATTTCGGACCCATACAAACACTCATCGTTATGTACTTCTTGTACGTTAACATGGGGTGGGCTTCCTTGTCGGGTGCAATATTCCTGTTGCTGTCAATTCCTTTACAATGTAAGTATTTTGTTCTGTTCTTAACTGAAATTAAATTAATTGGTAAAAAATCTGTAGCTTGGCTCGGCAAGAAGACTTCACAGTTCAGACACAGCACGGCAGGAGCGACAGATGAGCGAGTTAGGCTCATGAACGAGATCATTTCTGGAATTCAAGTTATCAAAATGTACACTTGGGAATATCCGTTCGCTAAATTAGTCGAATATATCAGAATGTAAGTACAGTTAAAGCAATAATAAACACATTTTTAATTTTACTCATTTTTAGGAAAGAAATGAAATACATCCGGTACACATCAAGAGTTAGAGCAATATTAATGTCAATGAGTCTAACGCTTACCAGAAGTGCCATAGCAATATCTATTATCGTTTACTCCCTTACCGGAGAGACTGTTACTGCAACCTATACTTACACAGTAATATCATTCTACGACCTACTATTTTCGTTAACAATGTTCTTCCCGATGGCAGTTTCTCAGGGTTCAGAAATGTACGTATCCCTTAAGAGAATCCAAAAATTTTTGATGTTTGACGAGCTCACTTTCGGCGAACCGGAAAAAAACAACTTCATAGAAACAAACTTAATAACGCAAAGCAAGGAAATTGAACTAAACTCGATGTTAACGATGTTAAAAGGACCTGACGCAACCATAAGAATTAAAAACGCGTCCGCTAAATGGCTGAAGTCGCTTCCTGAGAACTGTTTGGAAGAAATCGATTTGAACTTGAAAGCAGGAGAATGCGCTTCAATCGTAGGACCCGTCGGAAGCGGAAAATCCACCTTACTGCACATAATTATGCGCGAATTGGAATTGCAAAGCGGTACGGTCTCCGTCAGAGGAATCATATCTTATGCCTCGCAGGAACCTTGGTTGTTCGGCGGGAGCGTGAGGCAAAACATCCTATTCGGACAAAAATTCGAGCAGAAAAAATACGATGAAGTGATCAGAGTTTGCGCTCTCCAAAGAGATTTTACTCTGTTTCCACACGGCGATAGAACTCTAGTGGGAGACAGAGGTGTTACATTAAGTGGCGGTCAAAAAGCCAGGATAAATTTAGCTAGAGCTGTTTATAAAGAAGCCGATATCTACCTCCTGGATGATCCTCTCTCGGCTGTTGACGCGCACGTTGGCAAACAGCTATTCGAGGACTGCATAACCGGATACCTCAGTGATAAAATTGTGGTCTTAGTTACCCACCAACTGCAATATTTGAAGAAAATGAAAAAAATATTCTTAATGAAAGACGGCAGGATTGAGGTATCCGGCTCTTATGCAGATATCAAAAATTCCAACAGCGAGTACAGTACTCTTCTGGCTAACATTGAGGAAGACGAGGAAGAAGTTAGGCGCAAGTCCAGAGTAGCCATTGAAAAAGTCGAAGAAGATAAAGACACAGACGAAATTCAAGTTATGCAAAGGGAAGGAAAGGGCACAGGCAAGATATCCAGTCGCGTGTACTTAAGTTACGCCAAATCTGGTGGAAATATCATTAAAGTTATCCTGATAGCTTTTATTTTCGGTCTGAGTCAGCTGTTTGATAGTTCATCTGAATATTTCGTGACTTTTTGGTAAGTAAATTAAATCTTCTTAATCAATATTCGATTAATATCTTCTGTCGCAAATTTTAGGGTAAACATTCAACAATGGAAGTCACAGCATCCACCTGGAACCCAAAACAACCTCACACAAGTCTTAGCAACCAATACTTCCAGTGAACCCGATCCGTTTAGCAATTGGTGGTTAACTCCGGTATTCACAAGCGAATACGTGACGTTATTCTACGCTACAATCGTTTGCCTAGGTGTTATAACAGTCCTTGCAAGGTCGCTTACATTCTACGCATGGTGTATAACAGCCTCCATTAATCTACATAATAAAATGTTCGTTAATATCGTATACAGTCCTATGAGATTTTTCAACACAAATCCAACAGGAAGGATTTTGAACAGATTTTCCAAGGATATTGGTCTCATAGATGAACTTTTACCCATGACTTTGTTAGATACAGTGCAGGTACTAAAATTCACTTATATGTATTTTTATCCTTATTGAATCGCAGTTGGAAGAATTTGTGTTACATATACGTTTTTCTTTTTAAGATTGGCTTAATTGTAGTCAGTATTTGCATAATTATTGGAACTCTTTCGATTTGGATATCGATTCCTACGGTCATAGTCGGTATTATCTTCTACCTAATGAGGGTTGTATTCCTTGAAACAAGCAGAGATGTCAAAAGAATCGAATCAGTTAGTAAGTCTATAATTCAATTTAATATTATTTAATTACTCTTATTAAAATCAATCTTACATTTTAGCCAGAAGTCCTATTTACACCCATCTTTCGGCCTCTCTAATTGGACTGACGACAATAAGGGCATTCAAGGCGCAGGAAATTCTTAAAAAGGAATTCGACAAATATCAGAATTTGCACAGCGCCGCTTTCTTTATGTACCTTGCAGCTAATAGAACGTTCGGTTTCTGGTTGGACTTCGTTTGCGTGGTTTACATAGCTCTGGTCATTGTCTCGTTACTGTTTCTTAAAAACGGTTAGTTTCGATCTATTTCCCTTGAAAATAAAATTTATTTATTTATTTTTTTCGTTTAAGAGCAATTCGGAGGTAACATGGGTCTGGCTTTGACCCAAGCCATGGGTCTGACGGGCATGTTCCAGTGGGGTATGAGGCAATGGTCAGAATTGGAGAATCAAATGACGTCGGTCGAAAGAGTTCAGGAATACGCGGACTTAAAGCACGAAGAAGACAACAAAACGTACGATCCGCCGGCGGATTGGCCAGCAAATGGTGAAGTGGAATTTAGGGACATGTCTCTGCAGTATTCTCCGGACGATCCACCAGTACTAAAGAACTTAAAATTTTTAATAAAACCGAAAGAAAAAGTTGGTATCGTCGGTCGCACGGGAGCAGGAAAGTCTTCCTTGATCCAAGCTTTGTTTAGATTGACACACATTGATGGAAATATTTTCATAGACGGTGTCGACACGAAATCTATTTCATTGAAGACATTGAGGTCGAAAATTTCAATCATTCCGCAGGAGCCTGTTTTATTTTCTGGAACACTAAGGAAGAATCTGGATCCCTTCGACGATTTTAAAGATGAGGTAACCTGCTTCTTACTATCACTTATTGCATACGCTGGTATTAATTTAATATTTTTTAGATCCTTTGGGAAGCTTTAGAAGAAGTAGAATTGAAGAGTGCTGTGGAAGAATTGCCTGCTGGCCTTGAAAGTAAAATGGCCGAAGGAGGTTCCAATTTTAGCGTGGGACAACGTCAACTAGTGTGCCTAGCTAGAGCTATTATTAGGAACAATAAAATACTTGTACTGGATGAAGCCACTGCCAACGTAGATCCTCACACTGATGGTTTGATACAGACTGCAATCAGAACTAAATTTGCCAATTGTACAGTATTGACTATAGCTCATAGACTCCATACTATCATGGATTCCGACAAGGTTTTAGTAATGGATGCTGGAAGAGCAGTGGAATTTGATCATCCCCATACTCTACTGCAAAACGAGTCGGGAATTTTCTATTCGTTAGTGCAACAAACCGGCAAAGCTACAGCCAAGAATTTAATTGCTGTGGCTGCAAAAAGCTACAAATCAAGTTAAGAAATAAATTAATGAGAAGAAGTGCACATTGTTTTCTGTATTAATAATAATTCCTATAAAATCGACTGAATTACACATATTGGATGTATTTGTACCGAAATACACTTGAGGCATTTAACTTTAACAAAAGTGAAAGAAATATACTGTGATTGTACAATTAATTTTAAATTTTTAAATGTTTTACCTACCTTCAATTATAAAATACACTAGTGTTTCGTTTACATAAATCAGTTGTTTATTTTTCATTTTGTTTATTAATGGATGAACAATTAAATAAGATGGTCCCTACTTCTTCTTCTTTAGGTGCCGTACGCAATGCAGTTGTAGGCGAATCAATGTTCATACTAATCTATGTGATTACTAGTGTAAGTTTTTTCGCTTTCCTGAACTTTCTTCCTATATCGGAGATGCTACATCAATTCCTAATATCTCTGAGCCATGAGCGTTGTTCTCCCACCATCCATTATTCCCATTATTATTTCTTTAGGGATTTTACATGTAGAACCTCTTTACATGGTCCTAGACCAGTTTGAATTGTAAATAATATAAATAAATACCCAATAAAGCATATCACATAATTGCATTGCATGATATGATTTTTTAATAATAGTTTACCATGAATGTTAAATCACTTCAAAATTATATACGTCAATCAATTATAACTACTTTAGGACAATAAATACAGTCGACATATGTATGGGTACCAATGAAGTGCAAGCAAACATTTTATTAATCTTATCAGTAGATCACAAAGTAGTACTCTACAACTACATAAATAAATTATAATAATCTTACCAAAAGACCTGAAGCTATTATGCTTTAGATAATTTTTGACAAAATTGTAAGTAATTTTGTTTGATTAAATTCCTACATTCCTATGTAATCTGGTTTTAATAGAAATGGAGCATTTACTTTGAAGTAAAGGGTAGTTGCAAAACGTAAGAGGAAAAGGTTTTAAAACCTTAAAGCCTTTCGCTTTAAAGCAACAGCAGGATCCTCTAAGCAAAACCTTTTTTAATGCTTTATTCCTTTATATCTTGAGGCAATTCCTTTATTTTTTAAAAGCATTAGGATATGCTTCTTTTTATAAATACGGCTTTGATTGAATTGATATGATATGTGATTTATTTTATCAGACATTTTATCCACATAAATGCATTAAAAAAGTGAGATGAAAATCGGCTCTAAAAAAATGAAATTGATAAATCAAATGTCATCTTAAAATAAATAAATGTTTGACTACTACTATTTAATTACACTTAGGTAATAATTAAACGATATTACAGATATTTGTAGAAATTTTTTAGATTAGATAACATTGATCAATATACCTAGTCGATTTATAAACGAAAAATTCCAAAGTTACTAAAGTGATCCTATGGGCTTTTAACAGGTTGTTTAACAGGTCCGACAAATTGTTATTTTGAATAAAAGTACAGTAAGCACATTCAAATTTCATATTAGAGTGTTGTCAATTTTTTTAAATAATTAATTCAAACAAAATAGTGAACTATAGATTAGTACAATGTATGAATGTTAGGTACTTATTTAATATAAGTAATAGTGCTTCGTAATGAATATAGTACCGTAAATTTCCAGAAAAAATATCCCAAGTTTTGAAATCATTTTAAGTGTATTTGAATCCATTTTGTTTATTGGTTTTTATTGGTTAGATGATAGGATTATATTTAAACATTTTAATCGGCTATGGCATAAGATTTATTTTTTTAATTTTAGATTTGTGTGAATCGCTATGGAGGAAGATGGAGCAAATAGTACACAAAAAAAGTCGAATCCTCGAGAAAGGTCGAATATAATTTCGAATTTATTTTTCTGGTAAAAACTGTTGTAATCTGATAATACCCTTGTGATGCAATTAAAAAAATTTCAGTTGGCTTATTCCGTATTTCGTGAAAGGGTACAAAAGGGAACTAACCGAAGATGATATGTATAGACACCGTAAAGCTCACGATTCCGGTGATTTGGGCAAAACACTGGAAAGAAGGTGGCTGAAGCATTTGAAGAATAACAAAAAACCTTCATTCGCTATGGTTTTACTAAGAACATTTATATGGGAAGTACTATTGCTGAATATTTTGGCAGTTACAACTGAAGCAATAAGGTAAAAAACAACACTATTAAAAATCAAAGCTATTTTAAAACATATTATTCAAAATATAATTAGCATTTAATAACAACTAAATACCGCTAATTTTTAACTATTCCTTTAATTTATAACTAAGAATAACACTTCTTATAAATATTTTCAGAATGTTGCAGCCCTTTCTCATATCAGCCCTTATTAAAACATACGAAGTCGACAACAAATCAGATAATAAAAACCATGCCTACTACTACTCGGCGTTGATAGTCTGTACGCAATTCATGAATGTTATTTTAATCCACAAATTCAACCTAGCCATAATGCAAGTGGGCATGAAAGTAAGAGTAGCCTCTTGCTCGGTAATATACAGAAAATCATTGAGACTAAGCAAATCGGCTCTGGCCGAAACAACCATTGGTCAGATGGTCAATTTGTTGTCCAACGACGTGGGTAGATTCGATCAAGCGGTGCCTCATCTCCACCAGTTCTATTTCGGGCCCATACAAACACTCATCGTGATGTACTTCCTGTATGTTAACATGGGGTGGGCTTCCCTGTCGGGTGCAATATTTCTGTTGCTGTCGATTCCTTTACAATGTGAGTATTTTGTTCTATGCTTAACTGAAATTAAATTAATTGGTTAAAAATCTGAAGCTTGGCTCGGCAAGAAGACTTCTCAGTTCAGACTTAGCACGGCAGGAGCGACAGATGAGCGAGTTAGGCTCATGAACGAGATCATTTCTGGAATTCAAGTTATCAAAATGTACACTTGGGAATATCCATTCGCTAAATTAGTCGAATATATCAGAATGTAAGTACAATTAAAGCAATAATGAACACAATTTTAATTTTACTCATTTTTAGGAAAGAAATGAAATACATCCGCTACACATCAAGAATTAGAGCAATATTAATGTCAATGAGTCTAACGCTTACTAGAAGTGCCATAGCAATATCTATTATCGTTTACTCCCTTACCGGAGAGACTGTTACTGCAACCTATACTTACACAGTAATATCATTCTACGACCTACTATTTTCGTTAACAATGTTTTTCCCGATGGCAGTTTCACAGGGTTCAGAAATGTACGTATCACTTAAGAGAATCCAAAAGTTTTTGATGTTTGACGAGCTCACTTTCGGCGAACCGGAAAAAAACAACTTCATAGAAACAAACTTAATAACGCAGAGCAAAGAAATTGAACTAAACTCGATGTTAAAAGGACCTGACGCAACCATAAGAATTAAAAACGCGTCCGCTAAATGGCTAAAGTCGCTTCCTGAGAACTGTTTGGAAGAAATCGATTTGAACTTGAAAGCAGGAGAATGCGCTTCAATTGTAGGACCTGTCGGAAGCGGAAAATCCACCCTACTGCACATAATTATGCGCGAATTGGAATTGCAAAGCGGTACGGTCTCCGTCAGAGGAATCATATCTTATGCCTCGCAGGAACCTTGGTTGTTCGGCGGGAGCGTGAGGCAAAACATCCTATTCGGACAAAAATTCGAGCAGAAAAAATACGATGAAGTGATCAGAGTTTGCGCTCTCCAAAGAGATTTTACTCTGTTCCCACACGGCGATAGAACTCTAGTGGGAGACAGAGGTGTTACATTAAGTGGCGGTCAAAAAGCCAGGATAAATTTAGCTAGAGCTGTTTATAAAGAAGCCGATATCTACCTCCTGGATGATCCTCTCTCGGCTGTTGACGCGCACGTTGGCAAACAGCTATTCGAGGACTGCATAACCGGATACCTCAGAGATAAAATTGTGGTTTTAGTTACTCACCAACTGCAATATTTGAAGAAAATGAAAAAGATATTCCTAATGAAAGACGGCAGGATCGAGGTGTCCGGCTCGTACGCAGATCTTAAGAATTCCAACAGCGAGTACAGTACTCTTCTGGCAAACATTGAGGAGGAAGAAGAAGAAGTTAGGCGCAAGTCCAGGATAGCCATTGAAAAAGTCGAAGAAGATGAAGACACCGACGAAATTCAAGTTATGGAAAGGGAAGGAAAGGGCACAGGCAAGATATCTGGTCGCGTGTACTTAAGTTACGCCAAATCTGGTGGAAATGTCATTAAAGTTATCCTGATAGCTTTTATTTTCGGTCTCAGTCAGCTGTTTGATAGTTCATCTGAATATTTTGTGACTTTATGGTAACTAAATTATATCTTCTTAATCGACCTTTAAATATCTTCTGTCGTAAATTTTAGGGTAAACATACAACAATGGAAATCGCAGTATCCTACTGGAACTGAAAACAATCTCACACAAGTCTTATCGGCAAATTCTTCCAGTGAACCGGATCCGTTTAGCAATTGGTGGTTAACTCCAGTATTTACGAGCGAATATGTGACGATATTTTACGCCATAATCGTTTCTTTAGTTGTTACAACAGTCCTTGCAAGGTCGCTTACATTCTACGCATGGTGTATAACAGCCTCCATTAATCTACATAATAAAATGTTCGTTAATATTGTATACAGTCCTATGAGATTTTTCAACACAAACCCAACAGGAAGAATTTTGAACAGATTTTCCAAAGATATTGGACTCATAGATGAACTTTTACCTATGACTTTGTTAGATACAGTGCAGGTACTAAAATTCACTTATATGTATTTTTATCCTTATTGAGTCGCAGTTGGAAGAATTTGTGTTACATATACGTTTTTCTTTTTAAGATTGGCTTAATTGTAGTCAGTATTTGCATAATTATTGGAACTCTTTCGATATGGATATCGATTCCTACGATCATAGTCGGTATTATCTTCTACCTAATGAGGGTTGTATTCCTTGAAACAAGCAGAGATGTCAAAAGAATCGAATCCGTTAGTAAGTCTATGATTCAATTTAATATTATTTAATTGAACTTCGTAAAATTAATCTTACATTTTAGCCAGAAGTCCTATTTACACCCATCTTTCGGCCTCTCTAATTGGACTGACGACAATAAGGGCATTCAAGGCGCAGGAAATTCTTAAAAAGGAATTCGACAAATATCAGAATTTGCACAGCGCCGCTTTCTTTATGTACCTTGCAGCTAATAGAACGTTCGGTTTCTGGTTGGACTTCGTTTGCGTGGTTTACATAGCTCTGGTCATTGTCTCGTTACTGTTTCTTAAAAACGGTTAGTTTCGATCTATTTCACTTGAAAATAAAATGTATTTATTTATTATTTTCTTTTAAGAGCAATTCGGAGGTAACATGGGTCTGGCTTTGACCCAAGCCATGGGTCTGACGGGCATGTTCCAGTGGGGTATGAGGCAATGGTCAGAATTGGAGAATCAAATGACGTCGATCGAAAGAGTTCAGGAATACGCGGACTTAAAGCACGAAGAAGACAACAAAACGTACGATCCGCCGGCAAATTGGCCAGCAAATGGTGAAGTGGAATTTAGGGACATGTCTCTGCAGTATTCTCCGGACGATCCGCCAGTGCTTAAGAACCTAAAATTTTTAATCAAACCGAAAGAAAAAGTTGGTATCGTCGGTCGCACTGGAGCAGGAAAGTCTTCCTTGATCCAAGCTTTGTTTAGATTGACACACATTGATGGAAATATCTTCATAGACGGTGTCGACACGAAATCTATTTCATTGAAGACATTGCGGTCAAAAATTTCAATCATTCCCCAGGAGCCTGTTTTATTTTCTGGAACACTAAGGAAGAATCTGGATCCCTTCGACGATTATAAAGATGAGGTAACTTACTTCTTACTATCACTTGTTGCCTTCGCTGGTATTAATTTAATATTTTTTAGATACTTTGGGAAGCTTTAGAAGAAGTAGAATTGAAGAGCGCTGTGGAAGAATTGCCTGCTGGCCTTGAAAGTAAAATGGCCGAAGGAGGTTCCAATTTTAGCGTAGGACAACGTCAACTAGTGTGCCTAGCTAGAGCTATTATTAGGAACAATAAAATACTTGTACTGGATGAAGCCACTGCCAACGTAGATCCTCACACTGATGGTTTGATACAGACTGCAATCAGAACTAAATTTGCCAATTGTACAGTATTGACTATAGCTCATAGACTCCATACTATCATGGATTCTGACAAGGTTTTAGTAATGGATGCTGGAAGAGCAGTGGAATTTGATCATCCCCATACTCTACTGCAAAACGAGTCGGGAATTTTCTATTCGTTAGTGCAACAAACCGGTAAAGCTACAGCCAAGAATTTAATTGCTGTAGCTGCGAAAAGCTACAAATCGAGTTAAACAATATATTCGTACACCTATAAAATCGACTGAATTACACATTGGTTGTATCTGTACCAAAATACATTTAAGGCATTTAACTTTAACAAAAGTAAAAGATGTCTACTGTGATTGTACAATCAATTTTATATTTTAAATTGTTTTATCTTCAATAATTAATAAATATCTTAGTATTTTGTTTAAATAAATCAGTTGTTTATTTTTCCTTATATGTATGCATTAATAGTTGAACAATTAAACAGGATGATATCGTTACCTACACCTATTTGAATTATAGATAATATAAGTAAATCCACAGTACCTACTTAAATAACAACATATCATATTATGGCATTTCCTGCTAAATTATTTATATATAAAATAAGATTTTAAATAGCTATACAAGTAGGTATAGCCGAAAGAGCCAAACGCGTGTTAGAAGTATTTAGAAAGCTTTTAGATAAGAAGTATTTGGCTTATTTTAGACGTACTTGGCTTAAAATTAGATGAATCCAAAATTGATTTGATTTTTGTTTTCTTTTTTACTATAAGGACTCAAATGGCATTCACAAAATCCATCTTCAAAAATACTGTGCGAACAACAATTCAGTCTGCCGTAAAGAATATTGTACAAAAACACGTGCATTGAAAAAAGAAAAATTCTGCCCAAACGAATTTTTCAGGGATGGTAGGAGGCGGGTGGGGGTGATCATAAAACCGAAGGTATCACATATGCAATCTAAAATTATTCTGTATACGATTAAAAAAAATTAATTATAATATTGTACATATGGTATATATGGAAAAAATTGGTTTAAGGGAAGTGTCTCCCGCTGAATGGGGTGAGTTACGAAAAAATTGTATGAAATGTAATCTTATAAAACTCTTATTAAGAACATTTTTTGTAAAAACATAAAAAACTTAAAACTACCCCTGTTGAAAAAGTGCAGGGGGTGAGTAAAAATTTCATAAAACAGAAACGTGCTAGGTGTTGTACGTAAGTTTTTTGGCATTGGTAAAATATTTTTAATTAAAAAAAAAAAGATATTTAAAATCTTTAGATAAACATTGTAAATGGAATGTTGTACATCTTTTATTTGAAACATCTTTTTGTAAAACCAGAAATCGCCAATGGTGCACTTTTAACTGCTAGTGCAAAATCCCCGAGGGGTGTATGTGTATTATCTTCGGTTTAATGTATTTTCGGTTTTAGGTATATTCGTTTTTTATCCCTAAAAAATTCGTTTGGTTAGGAGTTTTTTTTGAAAATCGACAATATTCCTAGACTAGTGCAGGGTGCGAAAATTTACTCAAATTGCACAATTTTTTAATCACCGGCAATTAAAGTTGCTCGTGCGCCGCCTCTCTTTTTTAAATTATAATACTAATATTATCTTTTAAAAGAGTATTTCAAAGTAGTTGATTTACCTTGATGAATAAAAACCTGGATTGTAAAATGTTTTCAAAATTAAATATGTATACCTACTTAATTAATTACTTTAAGACAATAGATAGAATCTACATACATATTGGTGCCAATGAAGTGCAAGCCAACAGTTTATTAATCTTATCAGTAAATTACATAAAAACTTTGAGGAGGTGTATATGCATTAGAACATATTTTATAGCTATTTATAATCTACAACTAAATAAATATTGATACATGTGTATTTCCAAAATACCTGTAGCAATTAAGATTAGATAATAAACAGAGAGGTATGTGTAGTACAGAAGAATTACGTTTTATTACATTTTTTTATACTCGTCATCTTTTTAATTTTTGACGGAATTATAATTATGTTTGATTTAATTCCCACATTCCTATGTACGTAATCTGGTAATAACGATAAAAACGTCGTTTGTGTTTCTTTATGAGGGTTATCAATTGATATGATATGTGATTTATTTCATTAAAAAATATACTGTACTCACGTTGTATCTACAAGCATTAAAAAATTAGATGGAAATCTGCCCCAATAACAAATAAATTCAAAAGTCCTCGAGACCTTTTTAGTCCCGTTAAATAACAGAAATCTATCAAAATTATTTATAATGTGCATTATTAATACAATATATTGCATCATATTGCAGATATTCTGTCTTTATCCTTTAACTGCTATTAAATAGTTGAGCATATTTATTAATTACATTAATTTTCTAACATCATTAGATAGATAGGTAGGTATTAAAGTCTGATGAAAAACAAATAAAGATTTTACAACTTTTTTATATAAACCCTCTCATTTACCAGATAATAGTAGACAATGGTACTGTACAATCGAAGATCTTTTAACAAACTAGATTGAGTTAATTACAAGTAAGTGACATACGACACACTTTTTGTAGAATTTTAATTTAAAATTATAATAATAAATGTTATAATATAAATTTTTAAAAATTGTTACTTCTTAAAATGTATTATATTATTACAGGAGAAAAAGTGAAACACGATGGAGGAAATCGGAGCGAATGTGTCACAAAAAAAGACAAATCCTCGAGAGAGGACAAACATCATTTCCAACGCATTTTTTTGGTAAGTACTAAATATAAACATTAACATTTTCTGTAGTGACTAAATACTTCTCAGTTGGCTTCTTCCGTATTTCGTGAAAGGCTACCGAAGAGACCTCACCGAAGATGATATGTACAAGCATCGAAACCAGCACGATTCCGGAGTCTTGGGCTCGAAAGTCGAAAGAAGATGGAACAATCACGTCAAAAAGAACAAAAATCCATCATATGCTCGAGTATTACTTGGAACGTTTTTCCTTGAAATAGCTGCATTGAACGTTTTGGCCATATTATTCGAGGGGATAAAGTAATAATAATATTCTTCTGCTTGCAATCGTAATTAATTAATTTTATTTGTAGAATGGTCCAACCATTTTTAATCAAATGGCTCATTGCAAACTTCGAATCTGGCGCTCCAGACAAAAGAGACGATATCTACTTGTACTCGGGACTAATTGTATTAACGCAACTCTTGGCTGTTCTTATAAATCACCGATTTAACCTGGCGATGATGCAAGTGGGAATGAAACTAAGGATCTGTTCCTGTTCCTTAATATACAGGAAAGCATTGAAATTGAGTAAATCATCTTTGGCCGAGACCACCGTAGGGCAAATGGTGAATTTGCTGTCGAACGACGTCGGCAGATTCGACCAAGCAGTCCATCTTCTTCATTACTTTTATTTTGCGCCTATACAGACACTCATTGTTATGTACTTACTGTATGTAAATGTTGGAGTGGCTTCCTTAGGGGGGGTTGTTTTTCTGTTACTAGGAATTCCCTTTCAATGTGAGTAAGACTTTACTTATTAAGACTATGTTTAATAATTCATTTTCAGCTTGGTTGGGAAAGAAAACGTCCCAGTTCAGGCTTAGCACTGCAGGAACTACCGATGAAAGAGTCAGGCTTATGAACGAAATTATTTCAGGAATACAAGTTATTAAAATGTATACATGGGAATATCCATTTGCTAAATTAGTCGAATACGCCAGAATGTAAGTTGCTCTCATTGTTTACATAAAGTATTAAAGTAGGTGTTAATGTTTGAACTGAAAATTTACATAACAAATAATATTTTTTATGTTTATAGGTAGACTTTACTAAAACATTTACAACTATCAAAAATATCTAGACAATACCTAATATTTAATTATAGGTGTTTACCTCATTTTCTCTAATTTTTAATTTTAGGAAAGAAATGAAGTACATTCGTTTAACATCAAGAGTAAGAGGAATTTTGATGTCAATGGCTTTAACCACAAACAGGTGCGCCATTGCACTGTCAATAATAATATACTCTTTAACTGGAAACACTGTGAATGCAACATATACATACACAGTGATATCGTTTTATGAACTGCTGTACACTCTCACCATGTTCTTCCCAGTAGCTGTATCCCAAGGTTCGGAAATGTTAATATCCATGAAAAGAATACAACAGTTTTTAATGTATGAAGAACTGAAGTTCGATGACCAACATATGAGCGATAGTTTAATGATTAATGGTAAAGAAAGCGATAAAAAACCGATGTTAAAAGGACCAGATGCTTCGATAAGAATCAAAAATGCGTCTGCTAAATGGCTAAAATCGCTTCCAGAAAACTGCTTGGATGAAATTGATTTGCACATAAAAGGAGGCGAATGCGTTGCAGTAGTAGGACCCGTGGGGAGTGGAAAGTCCACGTTGTTGCACATTATCATGCGTGAATTGGAGTTACAAAGTGGTTCTGTTTCCGTTAAAGGTACCATCTCTTACGCCTCCCAAGAACCATGGTTGTTCGGAGGGAGCGTGAGGCAAAACATCCTCTTCGGGCAAAAATTCGAACAAAAAAAATACGAAGAAGTGGTGAGAGTCTGCGCTCTTCAACGAGATTTCTCTCTGTTCCCACATGGGGATAGAACACTAGTGGGGGACAGAGGTGTAACATTAAGTGGCGGCCAAAAGGCCAGGATAAATTTAGCCAGAGCTGTGTACAAAGAAGCAGATATCTACCTCCTGGATGATCCTCTCTCGGCTGTTGATGCGCACGTTGGCAAACAATTATTCGAGGACTGCATAATTGATTACCTCCATAACAAAATCGTAGTTTTGGTTACTCACCAGCTGCAATATTTAAAAAATGTTAAGACTATTTACCTCATGAAGGACGGTAGAATAGAAGTATCTGGATCGTACGAAGATTTGAAAAATTCCAAAACCGAATACAGCAACTTGCTGGCTAACATCGAAGAGGAAGAAGAAGCAGTCAGAAGGAAATCGAGACAAATATCCGAGAAAGTAGATGAGGACGAATTTGACTATGAAATACAAATTCAAGAGAGGGAAGGAAAAGGCTCCGGAAAGATATCCAACCGTGTTTATATGAACTACGCCAAATCAGGTGGCCATATAATAAAAGTTTTTCTTATAGCATTTACATTTATTATTAGTCAACTCATTGAGAGTTGTTGTGAATATTACGTTACTTTTTGGTGAGTTTAGAAGTTTCTATACAAAACTTTATTTATACCAACAAATATGTTTGTTTTCAGGGTGAATATTAACCAATGGAAATTCCAAACAGCGGATAATGTATCCTCGAATTCCTCAACTGATGTTTTTAGTAACTGGTGGTTAACACCTGTTTTCACGAGTGATTATGTAACATATTTTTATGCAGTTCTAATTATACTTCTTGTGGTAACGGTAATAACCAGATCCTTGACGTTCTATGCATGGTGCATAATAGTATCCATGAATTTACACAACAAGATGTTCATTAATATAGTGTACAGTCCTATGAAGTTCTTCAATTTAAACCCCACTGGGAGAATTTTGAACAGATTTTCGAAGGATATCGGTCTTATAGATGAACTTTTGCCGATGACACTTTTAGACACAGTACAGGTAAGAATTTAAATTATTCATGTTGGTTTATTTTGATTTATTTCTAGCAAATTCAATAATTTTGTTTTTAAGATCGGTCTAATTGTATTTAGCATTTGTATCATTATCTCAACTCTCACCGTATGGGTTTCTATTCCTACTATTTTAATCGGTGTCCTCTTTTATGCAATGAGGGTGGTATTTCTAAAAACAAGTAGAGATGTAAAAAGAGTTGAGGCTATCAGTAAGTTAATATAACATATTAAGTATTATCTTTAATAAACAATTATCATTGCAGCTAGAAGTCCAATTTATACTCATCTTTCGGCATCATTAACTGGGCTAACAACTATAAGAGCTTTTAAGGCTCAAGAAATACTTAAAGACGAATTCGATAAGTACCAGAATCTTCACAGTGCTGCGTTTTTCATGTATCTTGCAGTAAATAGAACTTTCGGTTTTTGGTTGGATTTCATCTGTGTAATTTATATTGCTTTGGTCATTGTTGCTCTATTGTTCCTCAAAAATGGTTAGTTTAAATTGCTTCTGTTTAGGTGCCAATACTAATTTTATAATTATTTAAGAACAATTTGGAGGGAATATGGGTCTAGCCTTGACCCAGGCCATGGCTCTAACTGGCATGTTCCAATGGGGTATGAGGCAATGGACGGAGTTAGAAAATCAAATGACTTCAGTGGAGAGGGTTCAAGAATATACTGAATTGAAGCACGAGGAAGACAATGCAACTTTTGAACCACCCTCTAATTGGCCTTCAAATGGTGAAGTGGAATTTAAGAACATGTCATTACAATATTCCCTCGATGATCCTCCTGTGCTAAAAAATCTCTCATTTTTGATAAAAGCGAAAGAGAAGGTTGGAATTGTAGGTCGAACTGGAGCAGGAAAATCATCATTGATCCAAGCTTTGTTCAGATTGACTAATATTGATGGACAAATCTACATAGACGGGATTGACACAAAATCTGTATCACTCAAAAAACTTAGATCGAATATTTCCATTATTCCCCAAGAACCAGTTTTGTTTTCTGGGACTCTGAGGAAAAATTTAGACCCTTTCGACGAATACAAAGATGAGGTAACTCTCAAATGAATTAGTTATAAACATTTTAATGAGCGTGTTTTTGGTAGGTACTGTGGGATGCTCTAAGCGAAGTGGAATTAAAGAGCGCTGTGGAAGAATTACCAGCTGGTCTGGAAAGTAAAATGGCCGAAGGAGGTTCCAATTTTAGCGTGGGACAACGTCAACTAGTGTGCCTAGCTAGAGCTATTATTAGAAACAATAAAATACTTGTACTAGACGAAGCAACTGCCAACGTAGATCCTCACACTGATGGTTTGATACAGACTGCAATCAGAACTAAATTTGCCAATTGTACAGTGTTGACTATAGCTCATAGACTCCATACTATCATGGATTCGGACAAGGTTTTAGTAATGGATGCTGGAAGAGCAGTGGAATTTGATCATCCGCATACTCTACTGCAAAAGGAAAGGGGAATTTTCTATTCATTGGTGCAACAAACCGGTAAAGCTACAGCAAAGAATTTAACAGCGATAGCAGCGAACAGCTACAATGCAACATTAGATTAAAAAATACAATTATTGATTTTTACTAATTAGCGACTGAATATTTTTTGTAATTATCATTATTGTGAGGTATATCTATCTTATTAAAGAAAATTTATTTACATTTGTTGTTTATATTTTTATTTACTGTTTAGATTTATGTAAATTTATTGCTAAATGATTTGCTCCAATTATTTGTTATTTGTGGACGAATTGTTCTCGAATCATTAATGTTTCATTAGTTCTTAGTTAATTTAGTTTAATCATTCTACTTTGTTACTATTCGAGATTTTAAATTTGGAAAATATACATAGTAATATCGTTGCATATGGTGAAAAGTTATCCTTTAATAGTTTAAATAAATTATTTAATAGTTGTGAGTTGCTTAAAATGTATTAACCTTGACCATAACCAATACTTTCTCTATCAAGTCTGAACTTATAGATTTAGAAATGCATCTAGAACAGACAAATAAAAAATAAATAATAATGCAAGATAATAAGTATCTACTAATACCTACTTTTTTATTTATTTCAACAAATATTTGTTATTAATATTAGAGAAAGAAATTTTTATTAAAAATATGGTAAATATCCGATTACAAAACCCTGTATTTTTTTAATTTATAAAAATTACTTAAGTATACGACAAAATGCAATAAGTGTTTACTTACTACAGATAAAATATGCAAAAAATAAATGTTTGTGAATATTGAGTTATTGAACAAACCTTGTAACCACTATTGTGTTAATATTACCCATACACACTAACAGTTTAAAATAAATTAACTAATTGCATTAGGTAGATTAACATAATAGGTGAATCTTGCCTAATTCGCAAACGACAACATTATAGTACAAGTCAAAGAGGGGGACAGCCGTGCAATTTAAACCAATCCAACTTAGGTACTCATTCATAAGAAATACATATCCAAACGACTTCCGAACTTTGGCGGTAACATGTGATTATTTCGCACTCACATCGAAAGAATAAAAAATAAAAAAAAATGCACAACCACATTTTCAAAATGCGCTTCCTAATTTTCGCAATTTTGTCGATTTGCGTGATTTGTTCGAACAATTCGGAAAATCGATCGGAAAATTTCAACGTGTTTTCCGCAAATTTATTGAACCAAACAAATGTAAGTGTTGTGAAAAATGCCGCCACTGTTAGTGTTAGTAACGAAATAATGGGTAAAATTTGCCTAAAGAACTTAACAAAGTGTGAAGAAGAAGGTAAGAATAATTTGCTATATTTTTTTGCTGATTTGATTTAGGTAATAAATATTGTTATTTCAAAATATAATATGTATAGTATATGGTATTTGCCGCATATGCAGTATTTCTAAGAAGTGCGTAGTTAAATAAATTTGATCAAGACTCACATACACAAATAGTACAAAAAATATAAAAATCTATGCCCCCTTTTATAATAATATTTATCTACATATTATTGTTATTAATAAGCACCGAGTTGTATGTATGTACATAAATATATGGAGAAACATTTTTAGAAAATAAAATTTATTTTACAAAAATTACAATAATTTCGCACATTTAATCTGCACATTTAAACAATCTGCAATTTTTAATATTTCAAGCAATGACTCTATTTACCATTATTAAATAAAGAGATCTATAAAGTTTAAAAAATTACTAAACAGAGAAACATTCCTAATTATTTCCAACTTAATTACTACCTATACTATATATTTCAAAGATCCATTAAACTAATACCATTGTTATTATGACAATTTTGTAACTGCAAAAAAATTAAGAAGCCTAGTTAACAAAAATTTTATTGGAGATGCCCACGTATTTTTTTCTATTTTTATTGATGTATAAAACGAATTTTTACACGATCATAGCCCATCCACAAAATAAGTATTCGGTTGTAGTAAACTATACTTAGTGAGAATATTTAAAATATTGTCCCAATTCCGTACATTCGTTCTTGAAAGGGGACGCAGAACTTATTAGGCAGAACTGCCTTGTACTTTTCAAACAATGAAGATGTTCGTATTAAAATACAATTACAAAGTAGTGCGACTATTAATGATATAAATTATATGCACAATTCGAAGGATGCCCATGGTTAATTTATACAATATTTTTACGAATAATTTTCATGTGAAATGCCTATATTTATGTAAAGAAACAAAATAAATTGCATTAAAATTTAACATTGTGCGTATCCGCAGATTTTATTGTAAAATATTTAAATTTGTGATCGGGTATTTGAGCAGGTGAGATTTTAGCAAACGGGCGTTTCATCACGTAGGCATTTGTAAATTTTTTTATTGCGAACGGATATAATTATTTGATATTCATTTGTTAGGTAAGAAATTTTATTAAGGGGTAAAAACCGATAAAAAATTAAATGTTTTTGATAAATTGATTTATGATAAACTACTTTATATTTTGCAGGATGATAAATTTGGCATTCAATAATTTGAAATCTTAACAGTAGACTTGCTAATTGCGTTATAACACTACATCAATCGAAATGTACCTATTTGCTTTAAAAATTAACACATTTACCAGCAGATAATAAATGCATATTCGAACGATTAGGTGAAGGCGTATGCAGATTTTTTTAACATTTTCCATACCGTTGCGGTACTTTTTCTTCGACGTTACACAAGAACAAGGCTACTATCTATCGAGGAAATGGCCTATTGTAAATGCAATTCTTGTGACATTGAGTTCCTATCTGTAATAAACACTTTGTATGCGATAATGTGCATATTATTCAACATTCTAAATGACGTTAAATAGGTACAAATTACAGATTTTTGATCAGATAAGAAATAAGAAGAGTTCTAAAATTGCTGTTGAATTCTGATTGGATCATTAATTAATGATGTGATAAAAATAATTTAAAATTGCATTTTTTTGAAGTTTGGAGTTTGGGTTCTTTACGGAAGTTGTAGAAAAGTTAGGTATGAAGATATTGTTTTTTATACAAGAATATGACACGTGGAAAATGTGTAGGAACTTTTCGTAGGTGACCTTCAAATGAAAACATTCTTAAAAATGAATTATTGTTCACCGACCTTTACAATTACAGCGACATAAAAGTTGGTGATGTTTCAGGATTTTCTTAAACCGACGAAAAAAAAAAGAAATATTTACCTAGAACATGTTCTCCAAGAGGGGCTTTGACCTAGCGTATTGAATGCATCCGTTTTTTTATTGTTTCGCAAAAAGTTCTTTTAACTCAAATAGTATCTAATTACAGTTTAAAATCAATTCGAGTTGGGCAATTTTTGTAAAATCATATAAAAAATATTCGTCGAATCTAGGTCATATCGTAGCATTGTGCTGACGAGGTGCTTCAATTACTTATAGGATAGGTAAGCACTAAAACAAGCAATCAAATTTTGTAAACTCATATAATGATATCACGTTTTTTTGTGAATTTTTTGATACGCACAATAAATACCTCCCACAAAACGTTTAATAACAATTTACGTAGAGAATTAAACAAATAATTATTAAATCTAAAAATAGTTAAGAATCTCGTTAGAATTCTGAGCACAATAAAAAAACATGTTATTTCCTGCATCAGTAGATAAGTGTATTGAAATAGCGAAAATGGAGATGTTTTTATTCATTATACGCACTCAATTATTCTTAATCAATTATTATACTATATACATCATTCAAGTGCAGTTTTCGAATGAGTAATTATGCAATTTATAGTTTAGTTAAGGATAGAAAATGCTGCAGGTGCTAATTTTATTATTGTTTTAATGCTCCTTTTTATCTCTAATCCCCATAATAATTTAACCGTAATATAAAAAAGGTGATAGAATTAATTCTTCGAATGAAATGAGTTAGAATTTGATATAATCTAATCCTGGATGTACATAGTTTTAACTTTTAACTTTAGAAATATTCAGCAAACAACAACTCAGAATAAACTTTACCAATGTCCTGTTATGGTTCAAGGTAATTTTTGGGACTCCCCAAATTCGTCTAGTTTAATGTTAGTTCTTGTAAGGTCAATGAAATGAACAAGTTCATATAACTGTAAATACACTGAATTATTGAAGTGTTTACATCCATAGCAAAAAGATTCTTTACAATTCATCAAATAATACAGATGAGATTCGCTAAAAAGAAATAATAAATAATCGTGTAACAGCCATCGAGTTTTGAGGGATCTTCCTGGTTATAAATTATCAGTTTCGTATAGTAAACACTATAATTTAGAATTTCGAAACAAAAGATAATGCAGATATATCAAAGAGCAAATGAACATTTGTACTTAAGTATGTAAAATTTAATAATTCAACAGCTGTTGAAGAATGTATGTAATCAAATGGGATAAATTTTTAAAATGTTTAACTTCACGGATCTATAAGTACTCTCTTTTACTTGATGCAATTTTATACATCGTTTGTGTATTTACTTCTAATGTTTTGGTTTGATGAGTTTGACATGCTTTTTCAGTACTTTAGACCCTGCAATGGTCATAAGTACGACTATCATGTAACTAACCACTACAATTTTAATTAGACTCAATTAAGCGTATTTGTGGACTAATTTCGTTGGTAGGTAATAGCGCATACACATAAACACCACTTTTACTTAATTTTTACCATTTTACAATTCAATATCCGGATAAACCGGTTAATAATATTAGAATTATGAAGTCGTAAATATTATGCAGGAGTAAAACAATCTAGATGACCTAGAATTTGACACAAAGTAAACAAATATTTCATCCAAATGTGTAGTAAATAATATAATAAAAAATGAATGCATTTTATTTTTGAAGAGGATCCTCAAAATTTGACGTTAGTAATGTGTGGTAATAATTACGTAAAATGGTTTCCTCTCCACTGGGCTATATTATGTCTAATCGATCGATTTATTAATAATTAATAATAATTATTAACTGTTATATAACTTTCTGTATTTAAAATAGACGTAAAGAGCTAAGAATTTATCGATTTGCGTAAGAAGTGACCCTAACATTGGTGTCTTTAAATTAAACAAAATTTCGGTGACCCTGAAAATCTCTGTATATATTATTTTGGGTAGGTAAAAATTGAATTAACATAATAACTAACTGTGACTAGACAATGTCTGATTTATTTAAGCCTAGTTATACATATTAATAATTTTTGGATAGCATCATCTAAACACAAAAAAAAATATGTTTATTTTGATGTTAATTCGAAAATATTGTGGGATTAGAAGAAAGACAGATTTTACCAAAACGTTTCTGTTTTTTTGAATCCTAATTTTTTTATTATCGACAATAAATCAATTGTTAGGCAAGTGGACATTTTTATGTAACTTTAATTTATCCCACAATAAACAACAAAAACAGTCAATTATCGAAAGGAAGCGATTTCATTAAGTTAAAACTTTTGCAATCATCCTAATCCTAATATAATTTAGTTTACTTGAGCGCTAAAACTGAAATTTCATAAATTAGGCGTATATCAAAGCCTGTGACATTAAAACGCATTCAACTGGATTTGACTGGAAGTAATCGAAACAATCGTACCCAACCATTAAAATTCATTAAAAATTGCGTCTTCCTTAATTACTAAGTTTTTTAATTTAATCAAATGCACGGATGACCTGCAACCGGAAAAATGATAGTACTATGATAAATAATGGATTAAAAAGGACATGCACACCAATTATAAGAGAGTAATAAATGTAATTGGTATAATTTTTTAGAAGATTGTATTTTTTTTATTAATTGTTATTGGTTACTTACCATAGAAAATTATTCTATTAAGGGTGGGTAATATTAATAAATGAAAAAGTATAATTTTGGCCTTTTAATGCACACTTTGGAATAGCAAAATTGTAGTAAAAGGCTACATACATATTAAAAAAAGCTATTTAAAGTATCTACTATTGAAACCAATCATTATATTCAAATTAGAAAATTGCTCAATTACAAAGGCTGAATAATTAATCAATTTCTTTTAATTCATCTGCTGATCTCGACCTTGACATCAAATTAGTAATCAGTTCAACTTGGGTTCTATTAATTCACGATATTATTCACCGGAAGGATTCAATTCCTTGACATATACGCATAATAACAGACAAAGTAGGTTCACCTTCTTTTGCGTATGTTATTAAGAAGTTCATATCAACTTGAAATGGATATATTTTATTCAAATTAAGTCATGAATATACCTAACATAGTAATTTTTTGTTGGCTTGTCAAATCTATTTTTTCTAAAGAAAATATAGAAATAAGGTGTGAAATTTTAAGGTATGTAAGTTATCTATTAATATCTGCTTTTATGAAATGTTAATTTTTTATAGCTTTGGTAATGAAAATACCTAAGTTCATGAATAAATAACTTCAGACCGTAATTTACATAGCCAAATATATAAAACGCCGACTTGTTTGCCAATTTTAATATAATTATTCATATTTTCTAGTCTGATGACTATAAAAAACATTCATAATACAATACTTTAATGATATTTTAGGCAGGTATGTAATTGGTAGCTTTAAAACGTGTATGGTACACAAAATAATAAATTACCTTTTTCGTGTCCTCTTCTTGTAAAGACGCAGTTGGACTGAGGATGTTTTGAAATGAGATATTCACCTGTAGATTCGCATTAAATACCTTAAACTGTACAAGTATACTATCAGGACGATGATCCATATTTATTTAAAAGCAGAATAATATTTTAGGAAAACGTTGTACTAATGATGGTACAAAAATGACAAATGGTGTATTCGACCAGCATTTAGAATATCTGTCTTTTTATCTTCTAAATTTCTTCATGCAAAATGAAACATTCGTTGAATTAATTTTACATGAATATTTTGGAGCTGACTAGAATTTTTTCCGTGCGTTTGACGTGATGTGAGTTAAACATTTTAGCGATACCACCGGTGGGTTTTACAAAGGTACTTTGTTGAGAACTGAATTATTTATAACTGAAAAGGTATTTTATTGCGTAAAAGCGACATTTGCATGTCTAAGTACACGTGTGCTTATCTGCATATTATTATGGCAGTTTTTGTGAATTTTATTCCAAAATTTAAAAAAGTACCATAAACAAATTGTAGGTACTTCCTTTCTCCTTTGCTTAGTACTAGGCAACCACCATCACACTATGCCAGTACCCAATAAAACTCGCAGCAACCATAAAATGCATTTAGTTTGCTTTATTTAATTTATATGTTTTTGTTGCAGATGTAGAATATCGATCTTCCACAGATCGTTTTGCTAATTTCTTGTTTTCATCACTTCCACCTTTCGATTTGAGCCAAATAGAGGGTGTATCGAGAGAATGCCGGATTCAGAGCAAACAGTACATAGAAAGTTTGGCAAATTTTCAAATGTGGGCCCTTAGAAGTACGTTAATTCTTTTCATTCAAGAAAATATGCAAACTAATACCTCTTTTTTGGGTTCCAGTGTACGATTCATCAGCCAAATTCCCCTCAGGCGTTTTGAATGGTAATCTAAACCAATTGGGCGACTTCGACATGTGCCTAAGTGCTGCATCCACAAAACACAACATTCAAGGCCAGTATTGCCTGGCTGCCCTAGAAGTACAAAACCCGAGAAATTCATATTTATCAGCCCTGTACCAACTGATTCATTCTCATAACCATTTCAAGAGCAAACTGGAGGACGTAAGTACATGTATCAATAGCAATTAATGATGAATTACCGAACTAATGATTGCAGCCAGGTCACCGCGTCCCGCGTTTTTCGTCTATAAATTGGGCTTTGTGTGTTCCCAGTGCTTGCAGCCCGAATGACGTTGAATTGGGCTTAAGAAATACCGTTCAAAACATCTTGGACGGCACCGAAATCGAAGTTCGATACGAAGTTGATCCGACTATGTGCCAGAAGAAGGAAAACAACGCTTACCCAAGATCTATGTTCATCGTTTTGTAAGTCAAATCTCCAGAACTCGCCCCATATCAAACCTTCCTCTTGAAAATGGTTTATCCAGATTTCCAGATTCCCCAACATTTGCAATCCGTCGAAGGGACAATTGGTCAATAAAATAGTGCATTTCTTTAAAAACAGAATCATTTATCCCTTAACAATTGTCCCTTTGACTTTGCTGTCGATCATACTCATGAACCCCGCTCAATTATTTGATATCATTATGCTCAACACTTGTTGTAGGTTCATATTTGGAATAATCTTAGGGTGGGAAATTATAGCCACATTCTACGATTGTTTTGCAGTCGGAAACAAAAGTGAGTTAATGAATTATTATATTTCTAATATTATTTCTCAATACAGATCTAGTTCTCTTTCCTCGCTTACTTTTTCATTCTAAGTATTCTTACAGTCTCTATAATGAATGCGTACATTCTACTTGTTCTAAAGAAAAATCTTTTGTTGTTTTAGATAAATGGATAATGGCATTTTCGATAAAAGAGAATTTCTTGTCAAGCATAAAATTGGAGCGGGCTCCAACGGATATCGAGACAGTTCACGGGATTCGTTGCGTTAATGCAATTTTGCTGTTAGTAGCTCATAAATCTATGGCTGCATTTTATCAACCAGCGCCCAACAGAACAGCTTTTATTGAAGTAAGCAAATCAATATCCACCCATTTAACTTTTTAAAGTAAAGTAATTCTTGGGATTAAAGAGGATTTTTGCTATGTGGATTGATAAAATGTTTCTTTCAGTACATCGGAAGGCCATTTTCCGTGCTCGGTCGAGCCGCTAGTCTCTACACGGATCCGTTCCTAATGATGTCAGGTCTCCTGACTACATACTCATTGCTCGGAAGATTGAACAAAACGAAGAAACTAAACATTATCGATGAATATCTGAACAGATTGTTCAGATTGGTGCCGACGCTCGGTGCAGTAATAGCCTTTTGTACGTTCATTATGCCGTTCGTAGACAGCGGGCCCATGTGGAATTTGGTGGTAACGCACCATTCCGATATCTGCAAGAAATACTGGTGGAGAAATCTGATGTTTATTCATAACTACTTCGGATTCGGGAATATGGTATGAACAATTTACTTGTGAAACAATTATTATTTTTTTAATATGTATTTATTTTTCAGTGTCTAACGCATACTCACCACTTGGGTATAGACACTCAGTTATTTTTCTCGTCTCCTTTCATGATTTACCTGATTTGGAAGTGGCCCAGGAAAGGATTTTTCACTTTAACTGGTCTGGCCGTTGTAGCAACATTTGCTCGGTTTTTTATCACGTATAAATTGAATTTGTCAAATTACATACATTTTGGAACATCGTAAGTATACAATTAACTTTACAAAACCCAAAAATTATCATTTTTGTTTCTTTTTCTTTAGGATTCAGCAACTTTTTGATACTGCCGATCGAATGTACATTTTGCCAGCATACAGATCCACAGTGTACATAATGGGAGTTTTGCTGGGATATGTTTTAAGAAATTACTCTAAGCTTCAATTAACTAAAGTATATTTTTAAATAACAGTGGTAATTTAATTTAAATCTTGTTTGTATTTTAGGCTCAATTGAATATTGGCAACACACTAGCATTGTTCTCATTTTGTGTGTCATTATTTGGAGCTGCTTTTATGGGTAAAATAGACTACGAGTACAATCCTACTGATGGTGCTTGGTACGCTGCAGTTTCGCCTATATTATGGTGTTTTTCGTTTGCTTGGGTTATATTAACCTGGCAATTAGGCTATAAAAGTAAGTTAATCTCATTCTGAAGGTTTCCAATCAGTTTTCCTCTAATTCAATTTAATTTCAGATATAGTCGGTACCATTTTATCCAATAAAATATTTTTACTATGGACTAAAGTTTCGTATACGGTGTACCTTGTACAATTTCCTGTGTATTTTTATAACGTGGGAACCACCAAATCCTCCAATGAAATTTCATTTTTGTGGATGATTCTTAGCTTAAGAGAATACATATGGATTATTGGTAAGTTTATGCAACACAAAATACACGTTTAGAATACCTATGAACATGAGTGTAGTGGAAATTAAAGTTCTTACATAATAAAATTAATTAACTGATAATGAAAAATGGTGTTTCCATTTCTATTGCACGCAAAAGATTCATTAATATTATTACTTTTCCGTGAAAAATCTCTCACATAAACTTTGCGTTTAAAAACACTCGTTAAACCATAAATTTATATGTTTTTACTAAATTAGTAATTTTGTCTTTCAGGAATAGCGATAGTTTTAACATTAACCTTCGAATTGCCTTTCGTAAAGGTCCGAAACATCTACCTCAAGAGAAAGGACACAAAGAACAATGCCCAACCAGTGAATAATATTAAATATAAGACCAAAAATTTGTGATATAGCCGGGAATTGCTTATGCTTGTTATTTTAAATAAAAAATATAAAAGTTATAAGGTGTTTCATGTAGTATAAAATTTTCTAATTAATGCAATTTAATATCTATATAAAATCAAGTTGATTTAAAAGGCACGTATCGATGGTAAGATGTATGATAAAATAAGCAAATGTACGTAAATGTAGGTAAACATAAGCACGTAAACACTCGAGATTAGAAAATACAGTTTACACAAAATTAAATTCCAATAAAGTTTATGGAATTTATCAAATTATGCCGTCTTCCCTATAATTTATAAAGTAGCAAGCTTATTTATGGCGGAAGAACTGCATGTTTCAAAGCAATCAGTACAAGCAGGCTGATGGAATTACATTATGGGAACATCAAATATGATTTCCTAGCTATTATAAAAATAGAAAATAGAAGCGCTATTGAAACAATAATCAATAATTAGGGCAATGGATAAGATGGGAGAGAGAGTTCAATATAATTAGTAATTTATCAGTATGTAAAAGATATCCTGTATTAAGAATAATAATAAAAAAATTAAGTTAAAATACCTACATTTGGAGCAGTTGTAAAAATATCGTGTAAACTATTATCTGTATCAAGTACCTGCTGGATCTTTAAATTAGAAATTTTCATCGATTAGATATTGTTCTAATTTCAGTTTTTCAATCGATCGAACTGAACGATGCAATCGCTGAAATCGATCTTTTTTCTAGCCATTTTGGCTTTTGCAAAATCAAGTCCCACGGACTGTACTGTAGACGACGTGAACGAAATAGAATCGGTGTTAAAACAATGCAATAACATAGTAATTAACCAGTTACACGTGCCATCAACTGGAAATTTACCGGTTTTCAATTTAGATGGGAAAAATTTGACGATTAATGGAAAGTTAACATTCGATGCACGATACGAGGATTCGGAAGCCCTGTTGACATTCACAGGGGAGGATTACACTGTTCAAAATGGACCAGGTAATGTTATTGAAGGGTACATTGTGCAATGGTAAAATTTAATGTTCACTTACAGCCGGTTTGATCGACGGTAACGGTGCTTTGTACTGGGACGGTAAAGGTGTTTTAAGCAACAAAAGAAAGCCGGTTCTAATCAAGGTGGAAAAATCGAAAAATGCCAATTTTAATTCTCTACTCGTGAACGATTGCCCTCAAGCTTGCGTCGAAATCAGAAAAAGCGATGACGTCGTTATGAACGGCTTTACCATTGATACATCTTCAGGAGATAAAGTAAATCATTCACGCTAACACCGAAAAAAATAATCAAATTTGGCGTATTTTAGAGCGGACTAGCGGTAGACACTCACGGCATAACCATCAAAAATTCGAGCAACGTTAACATCAAAAACGGCCGGATACTGAACCAAGGCGAGTGCGTATCCGTCAACCAAGGCCATTCCATCAGGGTGTTCAGCTTGGATTGCATCGGATCCCAAGGTGCAGTCATTCGGCCGGAATTCGCTGAAGCTAACTTTATTCGAAACATCAGCTTCGAGTACGTTTTCCTCACTAGAACCCAATCAGGAATCAGGATCGTGACTTCTCCCAGCCAGCCGGAGGGTACCATCGATGATGTCAGTTTTAATGTTATTCAAGTTACAGGTATGGTGGAATTTACGCCAGTTTTTAATTGTTTCATTAATTCATTGTTTTTAGATACTGAGTTTCGCGGTATCGAGATAAGACAAGATTATGGAAACGAGGGTCGCCCACTGGGAAATATAAAAATAACTAATTTGAATGTAGCTTCAGTAACAGGTATGGTATTGTATTATACTACTTATGTATTTTAAAAACTAGTCTACATTTGATCAAATTGATTATTAATTTCTATTACAAAAGGAATGGAATGAAGTTCAATAACACTATTAATTCCTTATTCATGGATACTAAACGTGTTTCATTGTATTTTATTTGAATTAATTTATTTTTTGGTTGTTGAAGTTTATTGGACAACAGTATAAAATGGTAACAAATAAATTCTCTATTTTAGGATATATGACCGATAAATACGTTCCAGCAGTCTACATTTATTGCGGCAACGACGGCTGCGCTAATTGGCAATGGTCTAATATTAACATCAAAAAAGCTCAAGTAGAAAATTCATGCAATTTCATACCGACTGGCTTTAATTGTTGGTAGACTACCTATGTTAAATTGAAAATGTATTACTAATAAATGGGATACTAATAAATGAAACATCATCGTAATTTACTTATTTACTACAAGTTGTAATAATTGCCCGATCGATAAGTGGTATAGGCAAGAAGCAATCAATCTAATAGGATAAATGGTATAATTATTATTTACTATTTGTTGCAATTAATGTTGGTTGGGTTTCTTGCATGTATTTCGGTACGTGCAGAATTAAAAGCGTGACTAAAGTGCGATATGGTCTGTTAAATAATTGATGCTTTTTAGGAATTATTCCTACGAGCAAGCGCAAATCTTGAATTGTTGTAATGGGTGTAATTGAGCACTTAATGGTTGAATATGGATATAACATACACTAATGTGGAAAATTTTACTTTCGCTCTTATAACCCATAAATTATGTATAACCCAATCTACAAGTTTGGACCAAAATAATACAATGATATCTTACGTAACTCGATAATAAACAATAAACGTTATTAGATGTAGTTTAAAATAAATCATCTACAATTTAGGTGCACAGTAATGACATTGCATTTATAAGGCAACGAATATTTTATGCGTCGTATAGCACGTTAATTTTATAGAGCTTCTTCTGAATTTAATTCTAATGCCAATCGATCCATACAAGCACGTAAGTTAGTTGGGCTTGAAGTTTTTATTGATTGTTTCGTTTCCTAGCAATTTTCTGACTCACACCTTTTCACGACCACATAGGTTTAGCGTTTTACACGGAGTAAAAACAAATGACCTGCAGTCCTTCAAAAATGCCGCGTTGAATGAATATGGTGCATTGAAGCTTGAACAGGAAACAGAAAATTTCATTATATCGGCGTTTTTTTACCAAACGCTGTAGTGTTTGCGATACGCGAATATGTTCCTCGGACTTTTCGGCATCGTCTTCGTTTTTGCGAATTGTGAATGTGTTTTACCGGTCGTTGAAGTGGAGAGGGATATTAATATAGCGCTTTTGTTGAATAATTGCAGGCGAAATGACAGTGAAGCGATTCCGTTCGACAAACAATCGCTGGTTTCGACGGCTTTGTGGACTATAGAAAGGATTAATTACTTCGAAAGTTTAGCTCCGTTGAAATTAGGACTGCAGGTGTACGAGATATGCACCGAACAGGACGCTTTAAAGTTCTACTTCCAGTTATACGAAAACAGGGACAGTTACGTTTTAGGCACTGTCAATGAGAAGAAATTATCTACGAAGTTAAATAAATTTGCCGATTTACTCGAAATACCGACTGTTGCGGTCACGCATTTGCTCGACGTCTTGATCAAAGCTGCGAATGAGTTTATGCGGGGAGTTAATTGGACGGAGAACGTGACCGTTTTCGCTCCCGATAAAGCTCTCATGAGCCAATACTTCAAGTTGTCCAAGTCCGCTTCGATTTGCGTCAAGGAGTGTTACATTTATGAGTAAGTTCAGAAGGACTGCAAGCATGTAGAAATTATGCACAATTTATTTGAACCACTCTGTATTTTTATATGCCGGTTCGTTTGGGTATTTGAAAAATATAAATGCAATTATTAAAGAGTTCCAAGTTGCAAAATAAACTTCCAATGATGCTTATGAAAACTTTACCCTCTGTTTTGGCTTATACTTCAATAAATTTCATTTGCAAGTACTGTCATGAAATCTTATAAATAATGAAAGAAGCTCGTACAATTTCAGGAATTTACTTTCTGTACTTTATTAATACATTCTGAGCCCTTTACCTTAATGTTATTAATTATACCTGGCAAAATATATGATAAAAATTTTTATTTTTACAGGACGACATGTAATAAAATATACAACGATTCAGACCCTCTAGTTTTTTTCGGAAACGCTGAACAAATCGAACAATTTATCGAAAACAATGATTTTACATATCCAGAAGATATTGTAAATATTTTATTTGTGCCTATAGATGGATCTGTTCCTAAAGGTAAATATTCCCATATTTTTCATAATCACCTGCTGTATACATACAATCGTCTTCCCCAACCCACCCGTATATGTTTGTATCGTGTTTTTGTTTGTATTTATATGTTTATGATATTATTTGTACCCACACACTTTATGTCCCTCAACAAAATTGAAATATGCACTTGATGATATTTGATATTATTAGAGATTTTATGATAATACGGTTTTTCATACTGCATACAGGAGTAAACAGAATTTAATGAGAACCTAATAACACTTTCTTTAGATACACAGCAATAATTGAAATAAGATAAATATGTGCTACAGTACTGTACTACACTGGTACATAATAATAATTTTTATAACCATAAAATGACTATTTTAATATAGTTTTTAGCTTTAATCTACTCCCCTGAACAGTTCTCGCTCTTTAATGATCGCCCTCTATAGGTATACTCTTTTTTCAGATTTACCACATAACAGCTTCGTAATTTCACCTCAGCACAATCCTGCGGCAAAGGAATATAAAATATCGGAAACAATACTTCCCTCTCCAGTGTTCCTGTACGTAGCCAGAGCGATCCTAACTCTGACGGAAAACGCCAAGGATTTCATGGAGAAGAACTGCGAGGAGCCCATCTACAGCGCGAAGTGCTTGAAAAATAAGTTTCCGAGCAGATTGAAACCGGTTATAATGACGACGACTGGCATTTTGGATACATTGAAGATCGAAGAATTGAAGAAATATTTCGTTTATGACATTTATAGAGTCGACAACGACACGACGACGAAATCGATATTTTTAGAAACGTTGTCTAAAATCTTTTCGTATAATATCTTTTACAACAATCTCACGTTGGTGAATTACAATTTTGACGCGAATTCGTCGTATACGAACTTCGATGGCAACGAAGAGTGTGTGAATTATTTTCGCGAAAATCATCTCGACGTCTTCTTCGCTACTTTCGTTAATTTTTCCTTCAGATCAGAAGCTTGGGTGTATGCTTTCCTATCGTTGTCACTACTCGGCGTGATTGTTTGCATGTCGATATTAATCTTCCTGTTAGTGAGTATTTGCAGACGAGACTTGCTGGAGGGAAATCCAGTTTTAACGATATCCTTGCTAGTCGCCGTTACATTTCTCTTCTGCTCCGTTCTGCCGTTTAGCCTCGAAAGCAACAAGAACATGATGCATTCCTTGTGTTTAATTAAATCGTTAAGCATTACGTTGGGTTACGCTATGGTGTTTTCTTTGCTGTTATCACGATGTATTTTATTAGCTACTGCTTCCAAAGAAACTGGTTTTATGTCTCACATAGCTGGACCCGTGCAATCGTTCCTCACTTTGTTCATTTTTGGCGTCCAAGTCGCTTTGAGTTTACAAGTCGTAGGGAAATGCTACGAAATATTCTACAGTACCTCATTTGTGTACGTAATGAGCTACAACATAATGCTGCTGCTGCTTCTTCTGTGCCTCTGCCCTCTAATATACAAATGCGACAGGAATTACCGCGAAGGGAAATATTTCTGCATCGCTATAGCTCTGGTGGTAATCGCTTGGGCGATATGGTTGTCGTTGTTTCTGTTTCTGGATAATAGCTGGAACGAACCGCTTCTTTGCTTTGGACTCGTAAGCACAGCAGGAGGATTCCTTGGCGCCGTTTTTATTCCCAGGACCTATCTGATGACAATAGCTGCAGCTCGGAACAAAATCACCAGCAATTTACCAACTATGAGCTCCTCTAACAGCATCATGGACATTTATAGGAGCAATACGCAGGTATAAAATGAACCTATTCATTAGAATAATTTTTGTGCAATAAAAGAATACTTTAATTAGGATAAATTGGGTTGTGCGTATTTTTGGAAATTACCTATTAGGTTCTATAGTTTTTATACTTATCTTTTATTTATTTTTATTTATTCTTCTTAATTAATTACAAATGGGTTTTTTTCAGTAAATTTTTATAGTTAGGAGAAAGTTGTGCATGGCGTCTAATTATAGTGTACTTTCTGCATTTAATTTTTTACAATGGATAATGCGAGAGCTGGTCATTAACCTTGGTCAGTCAAATGAATTATTGACCTCTATTTTTCGAAATAATTAGCGAAATATATGCTAAAAAGGATGTAGCTTCGGTTTATTCAACATTTATGTATCTATGAAAAATGCGTTTGTTAATATAGAAGAAAAATTAAACAAACGTATAATTACAGTAATAGGAAACATTCTTATAAATACATATTGTATGTTACCTTTTTTATCAAGTGTTTGGTATAATTTTCAGTGAAACATATGAGAATATTGGGTGGGAGTTGAAGAGGTTAATAGAAATTATCATCAAAGGATTCTTAAATATTAGAGCAGTTTCTATGGACTCTCGAAGAGCCTGTGAAATACCTGTAAATAGCTCTGTTCCTTGTTATTACTAACCGTGTCTTGCACATATGGAAGAAATATTATTGCTTCAACCGCTCAATGAAGACTTATTGATAAACTTAAAAGTAGGAACTAACATCATACCACATATTTGATACTATTTCATGCCCATATTTACAGCCTCAATAGTGATAGAACTGCTGCTTTGTAATGCTCCCTCATGTATCCTGCAGCCCTATATGAGACCCGGTATTAAACTTTTGTATACCAAAATTTGGTTCCTTTCGTGACCGCTTCCTTCTAGTTCATTAAGACCTTCAGTAAAAAACTATGCATTTTTTCAGCCAATCTACGACTGCGTCAACGTAGCGGCCATAAATGCCGTGAATGTGGCTAGAGCAGGATTGAATGTGACTTCTCAAACCACGCAACAGCCGGATTTGTATTCCTGTCCGGCTCTGCCTGACGATGAATACTTCGACTTTCGGTGCGACTCGCCTTCACAAACTGATAAGGTTACGCGATTTTGAACAGCACACTTTAGCAAAATAATTTATATGTTTAATTTTTCGTATAACTAATTTTTTTGTATGTATCTATACGTAAGACTGATACAATGTGTGCGACGTATCAATTAATTTTCTGAGTAATTATCAATTCAAATTGTTCGAATTAAAGTCATTGCTAATTTAATTGAGCAATAGCAGACGTTCTGATTGTTGATAGCAAAGTAGAATTTAGAACACAAAATGCACTAGAAGGACGGAATTAACGTTCAAAATAGTATACTTACACTTTAGAATTCGAAGGATGTTAAAAACCTTGGTATCTAATTATTTTTTTAATGTAGGTACGTATCATAACGAATACCTAGTTTTAAGAGCTACTAATTTCTTACAGGACGTGCTCTCTATTTAATTATAAATCTGCTCCAATAGGAGTATTATTAGTAGATAGGCAGCAAAGCCCTAAAGAGAGATTGCATTTACACTCTCTATCGATAAGTAGCACTTAAATATTATTTATTTTTCGTAAAAATTATTTCAGAATTATTCACAATCAGCAACAATCAATATCAAGCTGATTTTTTTAGTACGTTTTAGTATTCTAGTGTTTTAATTCATAAGAAAATATGCTCATACACATATTGAAAGCATATGTACTTATTATAAAAATATATTTTTAGGCAAATATCTATCTATGTATATACTTCACGAAAACTTTACATTATGTACTTATTGTAAAATGGAAGTAAATATATTTTCTGTTGTATTTAATTTATTTACGAAATGAGCAAAATTTGACGAGGAATGCCCACACGAACTTGGACATCCGGCTTTCCTAATGCAGTTATCCTTACGCAACGTCATCTTAAACGTAAAAGAATAACACATCCAAGGAGGAAATTAAATTTCTCTTTTTAATTACATAACGCGAACCGATTGAATGAGTATAAATTTCGATAAATCTGTAATCAAAATCATAATTTTCTGAAATTATATTAAGGAAGTGCGCAAATATTGCAATCATTTTTACTATAAATTTTTGTACTGTTAGATGAAAGTAGACCACAATTTAAGCGAACCTCTTTAATGACTAAAAATCCAGTGGCGTCCTTGAATCGACTCTTCAAGGGGTTCACCATTAATTAATCATATAGCCTAATACACCTGAATTAATGGGTTAAATAAATTCAAAATAACAAAAATGATTATGCCCTGTCTGGTACTAATGTATTCACCATCTATTTCTTCACTGCACTCTATAATATTTTTTTTATGAAATTAATTTAATCGCTATTTCCATGCTTACGACGCTGTTCTCAATCTCCTATAACAGGTCCCATTTCTCCGCGAATCGATCTTTGAATAACTTTCAGTAGATTGTTCATATACTTTCACATTTCTCTTCGGTTAGTTTCTGGCATCAGCTCGCACTGCAAGCATCAGCAAAATGATCCAATACAATTACGCTACCTATCTGAAATATATAGCTTTCGCTGTGATCACGGTACTGCTGCCGTTTATTTCACTGATTGCATTGAAAATCTTCCAAAAATTCAGCGCGGGAAAAGTGAAAAGTTTGGTGTGCTTGGCTGGCAAAACCGCTATTATTACCGGAGCTAGAAGAGGTAACGTAAAATGGTTAAAATTATTTAATTGTTGAATAAGTTGCCAATTAGATAGCTGGTATAACAAGCTAAATTGATACAAGGATCAAAAATAGTGTTATATGAACAGCTATATTTGCTCCAGTAAAATTACTGTTAAATCTTTAATTTTTCTTTCAGGCATCGGCTATGAAACAGCCCTTGCTTTAGCCTCTAGGGGTTGCAGGGTAATTCTAGCAGACAGGAAAGATACAACAAAAACGAAGGCTAGAATAGTCGCCTTGACGAACAATGAGAACATAGAAACGAAAATACTGGATTTGACATCCCTGCAATCAGTTAGAAAGTTTGCCAAAGAAATCATCGCGACAGAGGAAAGATTAGACATTTTAATCAACAACACGGGCACTCTCAGCAAAGGAAACAAACACACCGATGACGGTTTGCACAGCACAATGCAAGTCAATCACTTCGGACCGTTCTTACTAACTCATTTGTTAGCAGGTGGGTGCAAATTGCACTTTCGTTTGCATCTGTTTTGGTTTGTTTTATTCATTTGCAGGTTTGTTGAAGAAGTCAGCTCCCAGTCGCATCATTTTCGTCAGTTCTGCATTGGCGTTTTGCAGTAATTTAACCGTAGATAGTTTGAACCATCCCAAAGACCACCCGCTCTCCTTGTTCAGACAGATCCTCATTTATTCCAATTCCAAATTGGCCAATATTGTGGCTGCAAACGGTTTCGCCGAAAGACTGAAAGCTGATGGAGTGACGTGCAATTCGTTGCACCCCGGTATGGTGAACAACGAATTGTTCAGAAATGTTGCCAAATTAGACGGCCTCAAGACCATACCGAGATTAGTCCGTTACATATTTTTGTTCATTTACGGAAAGGTGCGTAACTAATGCTTGAAATTAAATGGTAAATGTGAAATTGTTTCTGATTTTAGAGCGTTGAACAAGGAGCTCAGACTACCATCCAACTGGCCTTGTCCAATAAGGTGAAAGATTTGACTGGAAAACACTTCTGGGACTGCAGGGTATTCCCGCAGCCTCCTAAGGCTTGGAACAAGAAATTCTGTGATGACATTTGGGAGAAGAGCGAATCTCTCGTTCAACTGAAACCCGAAGAGAAAATCTAAGTTTAATATTTTTTTGTGTAATTCACGCTTTCTTGTTGTACTCATTTTGCTTGTTGTTAGTTAGAATTATAAAAAAGTTCGAGTTTCTAATTTTGTGGTAATTGACACCTTTGCAATATCCATTCACAATTTTCTAAAAATGTATAACATATTCTGGTGCATAAATTATCAATTAATACCTACAAAAAAGTGTACCTACTTAACTATTAATAACAAAAAAAATCAACTAATTAAGTAGGTGATTGGAATCGGGGTTGTGGTAAATGCGTACGAGCCTATATCATTTCTAAAAATTCCAAATGAAAGCCAATTCAGGTCACGCAATAATTGCTCCTATCGTACATTTTTATTTATCTAATTGTTTTGGCCGGTGGTCGCATTGGCTTCTTGTCGCGACCTTCTTGTCTGCGACCTAGACACCTTGGAAGACCGTCCTGTTTTGATTTGTCGTTACATTCTTCAGTGCTGAATTGCGCGCGTTTCGGTAGCAAGCTCGAATTTTAAAATGTTTTGTTAACTGATCGCACTTACTTATTTTTACCTATAGGTATTTATGCATACGGTAAGTTTCACATAATATTTTACGTTAATTTTTTGCATTTTGGTATTTTAAACTTGCCAAAATTTCGGTTCAAAAGAAATTTTTATACTTATACAATATTAATCAGAAAAATAAATATGTCACCATATAGGTACGATTGATTTTGTGAGAATAGTTTTAATTGTTTTAGTATATTTTAAAGTCTCGTGACCTATGTAAATGAATTAACCAACTCAATGCATTTTAAACCAAACGCCCTTGCATAAAAAGGTCACGAAAAAAGGAAAGAATCTTTCAGGCACTTGAAATAAATTTTCCAAAATTCCTCTACGCTCATTGTTCAGCTTGTATCATTCCTGAAAGTTTGTTAACACCGTTGTTATTATTTGTTAAACGAATTGGATACACCAAGTTGTTTTAATTATTTATGTAAATTAGTGCGAATGGTGGCCCAAAATGTTTCGTTTCTTTAAAAATTTAAGGCTCACTTCATATTTGAACGTTTTTATTGTGCATTTTGATTTCCTGTACTTACCTACACTTCTTTAGATTGATATATTATTAAATTGCAGCTTTCAATTCAAACAAAAATTAAAAATGATACTTATTAAGGTCTCTTTGGGGACTTTATGTACCTAAGTAAAAAAATATTTTTCATTTTGTCTCATTGAAAAGCATGAGGCTTCACGATTTAATGGTTTGAATGGTTTGAATACAATCATCGAGTAATATCATTTTTCTTGGTAATGATCGATCCCGGCTTAACAATGAGATCTGTATTTTGCCACCGAAAATCGCGACATTGACCTTTATAAGTTTCAGATCCCACCGCACAAAAAACTAATCCGCCTGTTATAATCTCCTTATTGATCTGCGAAATTTAAATACAATTTAATTTACTTTTCATCGAGAATAAAGTTTAACGACCTTAAGATGGCAGCTATTAAAATAATATAAAGCCCATCAAATCTTGTCAATAAACATTCGATTTAAAAGAGTCGAAGAAAAAAATATTCCCAGTAAATTAATTTCGTGAAATAAGCGTAAAATAACTTAACGCTAATTTGTTGAGTAATTTTTTATGGTTTTCTAATCTAAATTTCTTACAAAGATTCCAGATTTTAAATTAGAAAAATGTCTATTTTTGCGCTTATCGCATTCTCCATGAACCTGGTGCAATTGGCGTTCGGCCATGGAAGGTTAATGGAACCGCCTGCGAGAAATTCGATGTGGCGATACGGGTTTCCAAATCCAGTAAATTACAACGACAACGAGCTATTCTGCGGCGGATTTACAGGTAAGCCCGCCTAAACATTAGAACCACCAACGAATCCCACGTCGCATTTCAGTACAATGGGAACAAAACGATGGCAAATGCGGCATTTGCGGAGATGCTTACCAATTGGGAAGTCCCAGACCGCACGAAGCCGGTGGCATTTACGCCAAAGGCATTTTGAGTCGACATTACAGCGTTGGGCAGAATATAGACATCGAAATCGAGTTAACAGCGAATCATTACGGTCGCTTCGAAATTCTACTGTGCCCCAACAATAATCCCAAACAAGAAGCCACGCAAGAATGCTTCGATAAGTTCCCGTTGCGTGTTGTAGAAACCAAGGGACACAGTTACCAAATTCCCGAAGATGGAAAGAAAAAAGCTATATTTAGGTAAGAGTTAAACTAAAAATTATACGCATATTGCAATAATACACATTGTAGATATCAAGTTCAATTACCACCTTACATAACGTGTACGCAATGTGTTCTCCAATGGACTTATTACACTGGGAATCAATGGGGTGAATGCAACAATGGCAGCCAAGCTCAAGGTTGTGGAAAATCTGAAACCTTCAGGAATTGCGCTGATGTTGCCATACATTCCAACGCTGGTGGTGCAATTCCACCAATCTTCGTAGACACAGTAAACCCCTATCAGTTGTTCTACAAGGATTCTTCCAGACCTGCTCCTTATAACGTAATTCCGTTGGTTATTAGAGAGCAAGTGTGCGTTCCCAAAGGATTGTACAGGACTATACCAAGTCTTTGGGAATGGTGTCAAACTAATTGCTTGCGTTACCCGCCGAATTGTCCGGAAGATATCTGCAAGTGTCCGTAAGTATTTTGGTCCTTATAGAACCTACTGAGGAGTAACGATTATTATATTAATCAATTTCCTAATTGCAGTAACGTCTGTGAAGCTGTAGATGAGCACAAAGGAAATTTCAAGGCAGATGTGAAATGTATGGACGATTGTTTGGTTTATCCGAGAGATAAATGCTCTACCAGTAGGTGCGTTTGTTATGAAGATTAATGTTTTATCGATAATGGGGATGAATAGGCATCAAGTTTTGAGACCAAATAAGAAATAAAGTTTTTAAAATGACTCGCCTCTGTGAATTTGTCTGTTATATTAAGACAATAATTGTACATACATTACCACGTTTGAAATAAAAATTAGACTTTTTAACGAGTTTGAAACTTTCATTCATAGCGAAACATTCATCGAAACTCGTTAATTTGATACACTTTCCCCTAACCAATAATAATTTAACGCATTATTTATACACATTGACTGATATATTTATTTACAAAGGTAATGGTTTAATTCAGTTCTCTTTACAAGGCTTAACATCTTAGAACAATATTAAAATTTACAACAATTAGTTATATAAAAATTTAGATAGAATAGATAATAGAGTAACAAATGAATTTTTAGAACTATTATACTCAATAACTACGTTCCATATCACGAGTGTAACATATCGAATTGATTATTTCGAAAATGTCGTGATAAGCGCACACTTAAAAGAATATTAAAGAAATGTTATTATAATTATAATATCACTAGCAACTAATTAATAATTTATCAACATCGAGTCTATTATACTAATAGAACGTTCGAGTTTCATTGCATTTAGTGTGAAAACCAAATTGAATATAACAATGGTAATCTGTACAATTTTAGGAAACGATTAATGAAGTAAAATAGTTAAATTTTCCGTATTTAGGTAATTTTATTCCCACACTGTATGCGTTCGATTTCGAGTTTTTTTTACATAAATGGTGAACACACGTACGAAAGTACCCTTCCAATTTACTTTCCGCTGTAGTGGCTACCGATGTGAGATGGCGGCCCCCGAGGCTTCGAATTGTAACTCCTGCTTCCCGGTCTGGAATGCACGATTGCATAATGGTCGCTATGCGATGATACCGATCTGGTCGAGTTCATGGTGGAGCCGCCCGAGGTGTAGCCTTTCGGATGATGAGGAGTACCATTCAAGGAATACCTAGAAATTGCAAATAGTGGATGCCAAAAGAAATCGATAGGACTATTTGATAGTTACCTCGATCCGTATTGACTGCCATGCCAGCTCCTGTACGGATCGTAATCTTCGATTATACTGGGTTCTTTTTCGATGATTTCAGTTCTCGCGCAGGCACAGGTCATTGCAGAGCACAAGAATATGTTAATTATTAACATGAGGAGGAATAGCACACCGAGCGCCACGCACAACCAGAGTAACCACGTAGGGCGTACTCCACCTGCAAACAAAATAAAAGGAGAAGAAGTAAAGAATAGTGGAAAGAAAACTATCTAGAAATGTTACCTTCGCCTTCGCAGAGTTCTTGAATTTGCGGTGCGTTTGCCGGATCCACCACGAAAACGCTGGTAGCTGCCATCAGAATTCCTTCATCAGTGTTGAGCGCTCTGGACTTGGCTACATCGTCCAAACACGATGGTTGAATACAAGCCCCTTTGCAGAGCACAACGTCACACTAAAACCATTTTAGAATGAATTTTCTATGAATAATAATCAAACATTTCAATGGTAGGTACCTGAAAATTAACTTCTGACCCATCCGGAAACCTGAACATCGATTTCAGAGGAGCGTTGGCGATTCCGTTCTTCGTGTCGTAGTTAAAAGGGCCCAGAAGGGTTTCTTCGTCGAGCGGGCACCCTCGTTCGTCCAGCAGCAAAACGCTGTCGTTGAATTTGTTAAACGCTAAGCAATTCTTTACCCTAAAGCCGTAGGTTCCGTCAGGCCTGGAGATCTCCGTTCTCAGCGTGTACGGTCGGTGATAAACGGCTTCTGATATTTTTCGGTTGTTTTCGACGAGTCGTAGAGATACTAAAGAAGTTTCGTTTCGAGCATTCCTGAAGCCAGCTTTTCCGCACGTGATCACGTAGAATTTATCGTCGGCTAGTTCCAGAGTACGATGGATGCGCACTGCTATCGGAATGGATCGTTCTTCGGTTTTCTGCGTAAATAAAAAACTCTGTACTGATGTACTTTTCCTGCTAAAAGAATGTGCCATGTGCAGGACTAAAGTAAAAACCAAAAGGATGTACTTGTAATAAACTGCAAGCTAGAACCGCTACAAAGCTCCAAAGGATAAATTATCAACCTCAATAAAAAGTAGGTTTTTTAATAACATTGCAATATTACTTTACAATACATATTAAGCAATTATAGGCGTTCCCATGTATTTCAATATTCTTACTCGCCTATCTACTTAACATAATTATTATTGTTACCTGCCGAGGTATTTTTGAGAGATACGCTTTAAACTGTAGCCTACATATTATCCTGCATGTAGGTACTTTTTTGCCAGGTACATGGGCGCATTGAATGCCGTGCAACTTGCAACATGCGGAATGTCATAATTGCGATTAATCAAAAATAGAAACGTAGCGAATGTGCGCAAAAGGTGAATGAATGCCCACCGATAGGAGATTTCAAGGAAATGATGGCGATGTGTTAATTTGAATGGTTTCTAATGGTGTTGGTGCATTGAAATTTTACAATTGCTTAATTGAATATATCGTTAGCGGAGGATGTAATTAGGGGAATTAATGAACGAGTTTGTTTGGTTCTGCGTTTTTAGTCTTTTATAGAATTCACAAACACATTTTAACGTTCTTACAAAACTGAGAATATTAAAAGTTAGACATTGATCATCCAGAAACTCTTATTAAATTAATAAACTTAGGAGTCAAGAAATTATGAATTTTTGCGGTAGATTGTAGCAGATTTTTACGCCATGGAAATTTTTCGAAAAAACGCAAAAGGGGCGAGCTTTTTGGTTTTTTTTAGCATACCAAACGAGCGTTCAAAGCGCACCTGCTCTTGACACAAATACTGATTTGTTGGCCAGCCTTGCATGGCTGCGTGAGTGTTTTTACAAAGAAGCGTAACCAAGTAAAATACAACGCGTGATAAATAAAGGAAACCATAAAGACTACGAGCGGCTAATTTTATATAACTGGCATCTGAATCTGAAACTATTCGATCCCGTATCATGACTTACTTTGCTTGGAAATAATTTCTTATTCAGGAAAGGTTCGTGTACAAGGTGATTCACTGTCCAAATATAGTTAAACTTTCTTAAGCACAGAGGACTGGGGTGAAATTTACATAAGGTATTTCCTTTATATGTATCTCCGTTTATTTAGGTACATGTGCGTGGGATTAAAATATAGTTTTAGACTACTTATTTTGCTTACATTATTTACGAATAATCCGCAATAATCTGGAGATCCAATTTGCGCCCTAAGATTGATGTCGAGACTGGCGTGTTTCGATCCATCACCGTAGGTCATGCAGGCCGGAGTCCGGAAGTCTCGCGCATGAATTGCTCCGGTAAAGGAATTATTAAAATTAACCCTTATATTCATGTGGCTTCCCTTGCACGTCGCTGAAACTTGAGGAACGAAATCCGTTTCTATGAGCTGACTCCATGCCTAAAAAAAAAACGCCAAGTAAAGTACAGACTATTACCGATTACCTTTATATTTTCCATCATTACAAGAAAATAAATAATTGTATATTATTAAACGACTTTCTCACAATAGCGTAATTTTAACAACATGCATGAACTTGACTTTTACTCTGGCATTAACCGAGAGTTAAGTTGCTATTTTCGTTGAAAATGTCAACATTCCGTTTTATACCTAAACTATCTAATAGTTTCTTTGCTGATTTATAAAAGTTTTCATGGGAGAAAACAAATTTATTGCAGCTAATATCAAAATCCAATAAAGATACTACAAAAATAAGCATAATTAAAAAATTTAAATATCTACGACTTGTCCACAATCTGTTCTGTGGTTTCTATTAAAGGAACCCGCATACATTCACGCAAGAAATGATTTATATCATCTGTAAGCTGATGCAAAAAATACATACGAAATAGTTCCGGATTAATATTCAATTTTATTGTCGAAATGGAAAGTTTTTCTTAGCAGCTAAACGGTTATCGTTTTAAATCTCTCATACGCTTATAGTTAATATGCTGTAATATTTGAACAAGATTTATATCATTTATGTGAAAGTGGAACAAAGGCAGCACGATTTAAATATTAATCAATCCTGCAAAAGGCAATAAAACTGTAGCTTCTCTAAAAATGATATGTATCTTTATACCAATATGGATCCAATTAATAAAAAATATGGATATGAAGATTCTAGGTATTCAATATTTATTGCCTATGAAATAATACTATGGGATTCGTTTCTTGTGTAATAAAAATATCTTTCTCAAAACAATTAATTTATTTTATCTCTTGCTGTATCATATTTTAATTGTTAATAGAATTTTTGCTGCAATCTTGAGTGTACATACAATCTACTCGAATTTTTCAACAAAATGAGGTATTTTTTAAATAAATAATTAACTTTTGATATACCACGATAAGATAAGATGACTTAGGTATTTAGTACCTGCAGGAAACTGGACAAACATAGAATTATGAATACATGACTAACTTTCGCGGAATCTAATGGAAAAATGCCACAGAATTGTTCGACACTTATTCATAAAAATCAATTCAACGTAACCATGTTAGCAGGAATGACATCACGTTGTTTACATTGCACGAGATTCGCTTAGCATATTGAGTACCATTTTATGTATTGAAAACGTAGCTGTTCTTCGTACTCTTCGACAAATACATATAATAAATAAATCAGCGAAGGACCACGGTGTCAACGTTTTTTGTAGTTTAACATTCAAATTCGTTCTAAGAAAAGAAATAAGTTTTTATAGGTTTTTGTGAATTTATTAGCAGCCAATAATGAATTGGTATTACCTACACATTACACAATAAAAATACCTACGTATGTTGTAAGAGAGTAATATAAGTTCTCGCGAAGGCTACAATAAAATTCGGTAGGTGTAGTGGCAATGAAGTAAATGAGGAATTAATGAAACGATGAACAATCATTTTTAGAATTGACATTAAATTCAACGTTCCACAATGGACAAAGAAATTAATAAAAATTTTGTGCGTTTCGAAATTTCAAAAATTGTAGAAATTCTTCAGGATTAGCAAAGAAAAGAAGCCAAAGTGATCTCTGTTATTCTTTAATAGAAAAAACCTAAAGTGGCCATATCCTATCTTTCGATTTTGCATTTATCCAATGTAAAATCTTCAACTTTATCATGAAAAACCACAATATTATTGAACTTTATTCTTGCATTAATCCTATAAATAAGAGGCTTTCTTAAAACCTACGATCTTTCTGAGATTGCTTTGCATTTAAAACTACGTGGTAAAGACGAAGGACCTCTTTTTATAAATTTTATGTAAGTGTAGGCAGAACAACAACCTTGCGTCAGTATTAAAGTGAGTTTTGCCTTTGTTAGGTTTACGATAGAAATACGGTACCTAAACATCCATATTACAAACTAGGTAGGTATAGGTATCGTTAAATGTTTGAGATAATGAACTTTACACAAGAAACCTTATTTGGATGAAAATTCGATAAGATTATTTCAAAAAGTATCGCTAACTGTACCTGTATTTTATCGACTAATAAAAAGAGCATTTCTGAATCTGAATTTTACCATCATAATCTTAGGATTAACTAATTTAATCCCAATCATTTTCACGCTATAGGAAATAAATTAACTAATCAGTAATGCTGTAAATACATCCAATTAAAACTAATAAAACAGTACTAACGATGTAAATATTTTTAAAATTAAAAATATGTATGTTTAACGATCTAAGAACTTTAACAACTTCGCAGAATAATTGAAAGTACCTACATAAGTAAAGAAAACCGGAGGAATTTAATCATGAAAAGTCTTATTATTTTTTTACAACACGGAAATGCCTACACGTACGGGCAATGAGAAAACGCTTCGTTGATCATTTTAAATATTATTAAAAATCCATGTTGCTTGAAATTGTCTTATTCACTGACTGTGTTAACAATTGATTATAGTTGCACACTATCTGATTAAAAACGAAGAAAAAGACGGAGTTATCGATAACTCTAGTTGCTGATACCCGTACGGAACTTAATGAGAAAATTACGTTTTTCATTTTATTTTACGTTAACTGTAAAGTTGAATTGGTACGACTATATCAGGGAATATCTGCAATTCGATAATTTCGAAGGTAAGCAAACGCACTAACTCGCACATTAACAATATAATTATAATTAATAAAATAATTAATGGTTAGAAATAAATAATTTACGTGTTATTGTTAGAGATTCGATTTATCTTAAAATCGAAAGTAGATGCAGCCATGAATAGCAATTAAAAAAATATTAAGGTAGGCATCAACTCGATTTACAATAAACAATAAGTTTTTTAATAACAGCTGATGAATGTATGTAAGTAGTGAGTACCCATAGGTAGAATTAAATTATGAAATTTAATTAACCGAAATAAAAATAGAAATTGCTTGTTGAAAGATCGTTCGCAGTTTTAATTATTTAATTAAAAAATGGTATTCTCTTTGATCACGTATAAAAAAGCAAACCGCACATCTCCTTGTCCCAGTTATTGAATGGCGTATACGTTCCTCTGCAACACGCCTCTATTCCGTATTTTAATTTTATTTCAACATTTTATCTATAATTAGATATCAAAAGAGAATTACAAACGAATTAAGAACGAACGAAGAATTACAATAAAAGTTAAATGCACTTTGGTAATAATAACATCATATTACAATGGGCTGCACTTTGATTTTGACTTTCTACGAAGAGTAAAATAATGAGATAAATAATGTATATAATTATCGAGTTTTACTGGTATAGTGTATAATAACTTTAGAAGCATTAATTAATCGGCACTATGTAATTGAAATCTATTGTGGGCAACTACTCAGAAATTTTTTGTTCGGTGTTATAATTGGTTGTATGTAATATGAACGTATATATTTCATTATTCAATGAGTGCCTTCACAAAATTACAATCAATTTAGACATCGCTAATTATTCGTTAGTAATCGGACGTTTTTTTATCATTTATTTTGATTGTTTAATTAAAATACAGTTAGCCGTCTTACAAATTCTCTGAACAAAAAATATTTAAACCACTAAACAACGGTTTCGGGATACCTTTGGCAAAGATTACATCTTGCATTCAAAATCTTCGATTTCTCTACCTTTTTTTAATTTTCGTCAGTTACGTAAGTAGAACGAACGTTGCATAGTGTAGCAAAAAAACTAATCAAAAATAACAAGGCTCGTTGGTAAAAAGTAATTGTTTAATGAGTAATCATTAAATAGCATGGAAGACCACTATTATGATTTGCTTCAATTCAAATAAATTCTATTTTTTCCTTGAATGTAACAGATTGAATAACAGCAAGATAATCAATTGTTCTGAGTACTTGATTCCGATTAAATATTAACGGTTATTCTTTGAATATAGCTTTCACTTTCCACTGTCCATGCCTTATAGTATAATCTGTGAGAATTCCGTTTGAGAAAAGCTTAATACTATAATTTATACAACCGGATAAATTCATGCTATTAGTAAAGGTTAATGGACAACTATAAGTCCTAAATCAATTGGATAGATATGTTTTTAAAAATAAAAATATTATATTATTTTTATCTACTTCGTTCGAATAGGTACTGCTCTATTTGTTTCAACTGTTAATTAATTTTCATTCAGCATTAGGTATGCTAAATAAAGATTAACATTTCATTGAGTTTTGTAAAAAAAAATAAATATGTGGGAAGTGGATATTTTAACCGCTCCGTTCTTGAGGTCAGATCACTCTCACTTCGGCCGCTCCTTTTAAGGATTTGAGGTATTGTCAGACTTTACTTAGGTACTCCTTTACGAATGGTTCTTTTACGTAACACTATTTGCATCTGTAAATAAATTAACTCGGTTTTTTTCGATGGCGCGTTGTAGGTATTAAATAAATGTAATACGCCGGAGTATAGGTAATGTCTGAAACGTTTGTGTAACTTTAATACGATGCCTTTAGGTTCTATATTTATTAAAATTGAAAGGCGAGCGGAATAGCATTAAATATTCCCTCAGGGGGTAAATGAATCAGTTATTTACAAAGGAATCGGAATACAAAAATTACGGAAGTAACGCAGGTTTTAAGTTACTATTATACAACAAAAATAATAAGTTTACAAACATTATGCATGTTATTTGGTTGTAAAGATGTATTAACGATAGCTTGTTGAAAAATTCCGGTGTTTTGACAACTTTCTAATGATTGGATGTCACAGCAAAAGTTGCAAATACCTAGTGATTTATTTAAAACAGCTAATTTGCTTAATAACTAAGTATTATCTACATTTTATTGTGATTGCACAAAACAAAATGTAAAAAGTATTTCCGCTATATCGTGTACCTACATTTTATGTTTGTGAAACAAACCACTATGTTTCTACATACGTACATTTCAAATAGGATAAATTGTTATAGTAATTTTTTATTTATCTATATTTATTAATCAGAACGTATTAAAAATGGAATATTTAATTAACTTTTTATAAATGTCTTATTCTTAACACATTACATTATTCGTTTACTATATGTTAATTAATTGCTAAACGATATTTAGCATTGCATTAAGATGGTTCATGTTATTCTGAGAATGGAAATTACAAGGTTTTAGATATAGCAATGAAGAGTACTGGTATTAGTGTGTCACCTTTGAAATCATGATAAATACACAGTATTATAGGTAAGTCGTCTTTTCTAGGAGTGTTGAATGCATATTGTATTGATGTCTTTTTAATAGGTGTACCAAAAGGTAATAAGTAGTTTACACCTATACCTCTATTTGAATAAGTAATCATCATCAATTCCTTCCGTTATTTTAATGCTATATGGAACTTATGAGAAGATGAAGGACCGGTTTTAATTCGATCAAAAAAATTATATCTAAGTAATTTTTAATAAATTTAAGTTGGTACCTAAATACCTTATTACTATTCATCATTTGCGATTAGCATATTTTAATGCGACATTAAATTTTAGGCGCGATTTAAATTGAGCATATGTAGATCTAATATCTGTACATATTTTATAGGAATTTATTAATTGACATTACCACTCCTTGCATCTAATATAGGTAGCTATTGTTACAATAAAATATACACAAGCACAGATATTTGTTTAAAAAATTAAAATATCATATACCTTTAGGTATATCTCAGATTGTTGATGGACTCTTCAAAACCAAAATTTATGCTTATTTTTATTAGACTTTTGAATACATTATACATACATATTTAGTCATCAACATTCTTTATTTCTATATTATTTCATATAGGTAATAAATCTCAATAGTCAATAAAAAACACGTCGCGTTTGTTAACATGAATATCTAATGATTTAATATAAATAAAAATGCACTCACCAATTTTATCCATTCCATAAACAAAAGAACGAAAAAAATCCTTAACTGGTTACTTTTAGCCAACATTTTCGGGATATTTAAACGGATAACACTAACTATTCACTTTAAAAACTAAACACATGTTATATAAACAGTAAAATATGAATTCAAATTACGTTTCTAGTGTCCGCACGAGAAATGCTAACCTGAGGAATGTTACTAATGATGAAAGTCTAACTGAGTTTGTTGCCTATGCGCTCGTTGAAATCTACGGAAAATAGTTTTGATTCCATATGGTCGAGAGTTGAGTGTGGTTGAGTTGTTAAATACCGCGGCGTTGCCAGTTCAACAAAAAAGTATAAAGCTCTACTGGTTTAAAGTTTGTACACGTATTCCCTCCATATTTCACAATAAATAAAATACAAAAGAAAATTATTTCTTAGCATAAATGTTTTAAATAGTTTGAATTAAAAATAGACTACTGTTTTTCTGTGATCCATCGGTTTAATATAAGAATTTCGGGAAAGGAAGGGGAACCAATACTTAATTTAGTTCAGACATTTGTCTCAATATTTTATTTACAAATTCACATTTTATTTCAAGCCTATAATAGGAGGAAAACAACTGTTTACAGTTACTAATAAAATAACAAGTAGTGTATTTGTTATAATTTAAGGTTTTGCTCTGGCACCAAATATTGAAGATCCCACTCTGACATTTGTACTTCCTAGTTCGATCTAAAAAATAATCTCATTTAAATATTGTAAAACCCTTACCAAACGTATAAACTATATTTTACATAACTATAGGTTTAATACTGCATAGTAACAAACTAAAGTTTTGTTCTACTATAAAGTGCACTCACTGCATGTTCGAAATCATCAGACATTCCCATTGATAATTCTACATTTTTCCAATCAATTCCCAACTTCTGACACAAATCTTCTCGACATTTTTTCAAGCATATAAAATCTGGATTGGGTCCGTTAGATAGATCGTATCCAAATTTTCCTATGGTCATTAAACCGGCTAATTCCAGATTATTGCAATCATTCAGTACGAATTTAGCGACATCTACGACTTCTGATGGAGATATACCACTTTTTTCTAAAAATACATGTCTTATTTAAGAGTATAAACATTAATTTTACATCTTGCAAACCTTCTTCGTTGCTCGTGTTGACTTGTAACATAATTTTCAACTTTGAATCAGACTGCCTGTACTTTTCCCAATTTTTATTAATTGTAGATGCCAATTTTTGGGAGTCCACAGTTTCGATCATGTAAATATTCGGTAGACACAGGACTTTGTTCACTTTATTAGACTGAAGGTGACCTATGAAATGCCACTTTATATCGGCACAATTTGTTAATATAATTGGACTTCGCGACTTTTCCTCCAATTCTTGCACGTAGTTTTCGCCAAAGTGCCTTTGGCCTTCTTCGTAAGCAGCCACAAGTAAATTAGCCGGCTTGGTTTTACTTACGGCCACTAGTCTTGGTGTAACATCTTGAAGTTCCTGGAAATTACAACAGTAATGAAACAGAGTAAACAGTAAATATGTTTTCGGAAATATAAAGTGCAAATATCAATATTTCACAGTTTAGAGTGTATATAAAAGTGTTTTCTACAAATCGTTAGTGAGTAATATTTGTTCGAGTAAATAAATATGAGGCACTTACAGAACTTCTTTTACTACATGCTGCTTGAATTTTACTTAATACGACTTTTAATCCATATTTAATATCCCCTTCCGTCATTTTTCTGAGGATTTGTGCGGAATTGAAGCACATCTAATGGAAACTGAAAAAAGTAGCCAATTTCCTAAATTGTAATCCCAATAAGAGTGTTTAGTTGTGTTGTTTGAAATTCAATTTTGCGTGCGTATACACAGCAACCATGATAAGAAATATACGAATAAGTTATCTGTTGTTTTTAAAAACAATCTAACCTATAACAAACAAATGCCAAAATAGCCTAAAATCAAAACAAAAATCATCTTCTTCTTTACTTAAAATTGATATTTTTTTTTTCTGACAACTATCAATATGTGGACTATGCTTTGTAAGTCTTAGGTCACTGTAATCTGAGTTCCTATTGGCCAGATATCTGTCATATTTTATTTTGTTCAATAAAGAACGCAGATTGATTTCTAATTTTCAAAATTTTCTGATTATGCAACTCTAAATGAAGCTAAGTATCCGATTTTTGATTTCCTGCTTCATTTATTTCTACTTATGTGTGAACAACTACAGTAACTCAAATTGATGGTTACAAAATAGAAGAATTTTAGTTTTGATAGTTGGCTATTAGTATAATTTTGATGTTCCATGAAAATGTGTCATATGTCAATTGTCGTTGTCATTTCATTTCATATTTGTTATTTGTCATAAGTTTGTAACGTTTTTCTGAACGTAAATCAATTTGATTCTAAAACCTGCAAAGATGAACTTTTAAAAGCAGATAAAAACTGCCCGTTTTGGAGGTTTTGCTTTTTTTTCTTCGTTGAGTTTTTGTGCATTTATTAGTTACTTCGTAAATAATTTATTCCTGATAACAATGACTACTAAACTAAGTTTATCGTATTTAACGGCAAGGGACCCCAGTATTTTAGCTTTCAATAGATTTAATGTACCAAAAACACAATTAACCTTTTCTACCAAAATGGATAGTACTTTTACAGTTAGTTCCACAGTTATTGAGGTAAGTACTTAGCTAAGTTTTATGGGAAATTTACAAAAAACGAATTGTTTCTTTTTAAATTAGCATAGCCATTTTGTGTTTATTTTAAAATTAAATGATCAATGAAATAACATGGTACATTTCCCCTAAAATATGCGAATAACAAACAGAAGTCTATTATCCCGGATATCCCATTAATTCTGGGAAACACATAATTTATCTACTAACTTATCGGATATTTATTTTAGGAGGAACAGGAACATGTCAATGTATTCCTAAAAATTAGAAGCGATGTTGATTTCAATGATGAAAATTACGAAGTCTCCGACAAGAACTTTATTGTTAAAAAAATGCATAATCTATCATTGGTAAAGAACGTGTATTCCTTCTCGAACATATTTCACAAAACCCAAACCCAGGAAGAAATATTCAACAGCGTCGTCAAGCCGAAAATACTGGACTTCTTAAATGGGAAAAATTACTCATTGTTTACTTACGGAGCTTCGGGTTCAGGTAATTTGACTTAGCTCTAACTAAAATCTACACCGTACACAAATGACATTTTTGTTTATAGGCAAAACTTACACTATTGTCGGGAGCCCAGAAACGCCGGGAATAATACCGAGATCTTTAGATTACACTTTTCGATCGATCGCCAAATTAATTCACGAGCCTACAGTAATGCCTTTGCCGAATGGAACGACAATTGTGATAAACGATGCCATCAAAAAAGAAATGGAGTCTCTCAAGAACTGTATAATGTCGAGTACAGCGCAAGTCAACTACAAGGATTTATACAAGTACAATCATTCGAAAAGAATTATATTTATAATAGGCTAATATCTTGGTATTGTTTGCAGGCAAATGCAGTGTCGCTTGAGCAGTGAAAACATATGCAGCGTTTCTTTTGATAATGGCACCAATGTTTCTATATGGGTTTCATTTGTTGAGATTTATAATGAGTGTATCTATGATTTGTTATCAAAAGAAAAGGATAAACGATTAAAATTGGGATCAACGGGCAACGATACTTACGTTAAAGATCTCACACAGATTAACGTTAGATCAGCTTCGGAAGCTTTCATGATATTACAATACGGACTAAATAAGTTAAATTATGCTAAAACCAATGTTAATATGCATTCTAGTAGATCACACTGTATATTTACACTGAAATTAGTGCAAACGTCTAAAAATAATCGCCATGTTATCATAAATAACATCAACTTTTGCGATTTAGCTGGATCCGAGAGGTTGAAGAAAACATTGAATCGAGGAAGTAGATTGAAGGAATCAAATAATATAAACACTTCATTATTGGTTTTAGGTGAGTAGAGAAAAGTATATCCTATTGCATCTAATCCTATTTAGTAAAAAGTTTTATTAGATATTATTAAGAAAAATGTAATAAGAATTTACTGGATAAAAATAGGCATATATAAATAATCAATTCTATGAGTTGAACAAAGAAATATTAAAATAACAGTGGTTAGAGTGAGAAAGTTTCAATCCCATAATATCACCCTTTCTTTTTTCTTTATATGAGACTAATTAAAGTCGTCTTTGTTGCACTCACGCCCTATATTGCAATCAATTTTGAATCTACCTGTATAAGTATAAGACACCCTTTATATTTAATAAATTTAAAATCATTTTTTGACAGGAAAATGTGTGGATATTGTAAGGAACAACCAAAACAAGCAGGAGAACAAATTAATACCGTTCCGTGAGTCTAAGCTGACCCAAATTTTTCAAAAAGCTCTCATCGGGAGCGAAAAAATGGCCATAATAATTAATATAAATCCTTCAAGTGAAATGCTTTTCGAAACCCATTGCACGTTAAAGTTCTCAGCTATAGCTAAGAGCATAGTTATTCACGAGCAAATTCCCGAAGTGAAATTAAAGAAAAATAGGCTATCCAGATCTTTAAGGGAATCATTAGAGGGACTCGAAAACAGTAAGTTGTTAGATTTGATTTTTTTTTTATATTGTGAGCTCATCTAAATCTCATTGAAGGTGATAAATTTAACCTTCAAATTGAAGAATCCATGCCGTATAGACTTCTAAAACTAAGATTCGATGACATTAAGAAGAGTAATGAAAAGCTCCAAGAAAAATACGATGATCTTAGAGTAAAGTATGAAGACTTACGGCATAAATTTGACAACGAGGTGATGGAATTGTCCGAGGTCGATAGTTTAGTGAAAATGGAGAAAGCTCAAGTTGCAGAGAATTATTCCGATGCGCTCGAGAGTGAACAGAAAAGGCACCTGGAAACTGTATCTAAGTGAGTAAATTGGCTATTGGGAACCAAAAATGTGAATTAAAACAATTTAAATCTTTATTAAGTTACACCCTAAAGTTTTCAAGTACTCACAAGTATTTCCAATTTGGGAAAAAAACTGAATCATCTCCCAGTTTAAAGAGAGGAATTCTAAAGAATTAATTAGAGATGATTTACCCTTAAATTTGAGCATATTTTCTCTATTATAATCTTGTAGGTAATCTAGAAAGTCGTCTAGATAATCTTAAGCGATTCTCTTGGTTTTTGGTATTTAATTTCACATTATTTTTTAGGATAACTGAAGAATACGAAGACAAACTTACCCGCTACGATAATATATTTAGCACTTTTTTCAATTCCAATTACTCTCCTGCACGGCCATCAGTAGTGTACCTGAGCGACAGTTCGGACGATGATTCAGATTTCGTTGAAGATTATTCTAAAGAAGAATTAATTCGAATAATTAAAAAAAATAAAAAGACCTGTGAGGAATACAAGCGTAAAGCAGAAAGAATGGAAATGTAAGTCTAAGAAGGATGAATATTGTAATGTATTTTATATAATTGAGTCGCTCGGCGCCAGATTGGCCCAACTGTGAATTGCATTTACTGGAAAACAGCTGCATATTTTCTAAATTTCATGTCTACATGGGCCCAAGTTGGCATGCTGTATGTATTAGGGAATTAAAAAAGCTCATTTGACCTATGTAGACTTAAAATTTTGAAAATATGCAGCATTTTTCCTGATTGATACCAGTAAAATGCAATGCGCAGTTGGCCACTCTGGCGCTGAGCGAATCAATTAAAATGATGTATTGTGTATAGAAATTTACTTACTATTAACTGATAACTTACTGTTTTGTTTTAGGTACAGAGAACTCTATCGTAAAATTCACACAGAACTTCTTAAACTTGAAGAAAACTGTGATGATGTCTCCTTTTGTGATTAATGTGTTTATTATTAACAGTTATTATTGAAATTGTGCCAAATATACATTATATATTTCTCTTAATTCTTTCTGTTGTAAAAACCTATCTTTACGATCTTTTATTTCTAATGGGAAAATTGGTTGTCAAATAATGTCAAAAATTTTAGATGATTCATTTCATGATTCAAATTGATTCATTTTAGTTTGCAATATAGGCTATGGGTGCATAAAACTAAGCTAAGTTGTTAGAGTGAAAAAGTTACAATTCCACAATATGTTTTTCCTTTATATTAGACTGATGGAAGTTGTCTGCTTTGTTGCACCCATATTACTAACAATTTTTTAACTTATCTAACTAGCTAATTATCTTATCTTTACCTTCCTTCTTGTATTTTTCTAATGGAAAAATTGGTTGTCAAAGTCAAATTAGTAATGTGAATGATATATCAAAAATTTTAAATGATGAGGTAACTGCAAAATAGGCTTATGAAAGTGGAAAGTACCTAAATGGAGCTGTGTTATTTCAAAATATTTAAAATTTATTCCCTGTGTTTAATGAATAATTGATGCCCTTATTACCCTATAACTTAAACTTAACTTTTCCCTTATGTAATAAGTAAAACAAATGATGAGTATAGGTAATAAATTATCGTAAAAATTTATTAAAGCAGCGAGACGTTGGGAAAATGTAATTCTGGTTGCATAATGACTGGAGTAAGTTCAACCTATGTTATTTTTTTAATATCTTAAATTATTCATTTATTCATTATTTCCTTTTAAAATTATTTAAATATCACAGACAATATTTAATTGGGAATTAAATATAACCAATCGAATGTTTGAAACTGTGAAATGCGTATTTCAAACACCTTTTCTTTAATACTTAATAGCTAAATATTTTTTTGTAATCAAACTCTTCAATTCTGGAATTGAAAATTAAAATAATTAAAATCAAATGAACTGGAAACCTCGGGAGCCATTTAAACCATCAATCGTCTGGAAAGTTTTGATCCGTTAAATAAGGCTTCGCCTCGTCCATAAAATGCACTTAATTTGTAAAATAAGGATGTCAGTCAAAAGTTAAACAAAAACTTTTATATCGAAATGTATGTCCATTATTTCGTTGACGACTTTTCTCCCATGAATAAATCATTAGTGTCCTATGTGTCATATTTATTGAAAAGTTTTAATAGCTAGCGAAGTTCGACCGACGATACCCCTTTTCAAAACTTATTCGTTTCCCGGTGACAGCCGTAATTTGATTTTAAAACTAAAACGTAGTGAATATGGTAATTAAATTTATGCCTATCTATCGTCCCCATATTGTTTATGTTCAAGAAAGTAACTCAACATTTACGTTTTAGATGTAGATATTTAAAATTTTTTGGGGAAGACAAGTAAAACATGCGAGAACAGATTTTCGAGCTGACCTTTTAAAAATTTATCTATACGAACAATAAAAAAGGAACAAATAAAAAACTCGGCGTTAGATTATAGCGTGATTAGAAACTGATCAGTCATAATCAGCTATCACTCATATTTGACTGATCTTTTTATCCCGCAAGTTCTAAAATTTCTGGGAAAAAACACCGAGAAAAAATCGTTCCCCTGCTCTTTTATGCGAACTCACAATAGCGAACCGTCATCGGCTGTATAGACATAGACGAAAAAGGATACGCTAGGATGCTGCCGAAAGGTAACAACTTTTTTGTCCTTTATAAACGAGAAACAAGAAAATAATGAAGTGGTTCGCTGGATATACATTGTGTGCGTGCAGTTCGTTGCGATTGTAGGAAAAGAATGTTAGATACGTATTGCGTTTACTGGGAGGGTTATAGAATATTGTCTCTGAGAATTTTCTTTTTTTCTACTATACAGAGTGTTCCTAAACATCGTGTACATCCGAAAATGGGTGATTCCTTGGCTTATTTTATGATTAAAAGTTCATATAAATATAGGTCCGCAAACGCTTCGTTACCGATGTACAGGGTGTTGAAATTTCATTTTTTTTTTATTTTTCTTTGTAGCTCCTGCACTTTTTAGATATTTAGCTCAAATTTTGAATCTAGGTTGCTTTATAGGGCACACATTATTGGGTATGTCAGATGATTGTTGAATTCTACAGGATGATATTTTTTCAGGGGTCATGTACCCTTTTTATTTTAATTAATTGACTTTAAAAATGATTTTCTGTACAAATGATTTACTTTACAAAACAAAAACCCTAAATAATAATTGTTAAAGTACATTATAATAAATGTTGAAAGTGACCTACTCCTACTCAAACTATACTCTATACCCTATATCCTATACCTAATTTGAGCTAAACATCTCAAAAACCGCAGGAGCTCTAAAAAAGAAACAAAAAAATCTTGAAATTTCAACACCCTGTAGATCGGTAACGAAGCGTTTGCGGACCTATGTTTATGAACTTTTTAGTCATAAAATAAGCCAAGGAATGACCCCCTTTCGGATGAACACGTTGTTTAGGAACACTCTGTATAGGGTGTTCCCTGTATAGGGCCAAATACCTATATGGAAAAGTAAGGTATAGAGAACTATAACAAACTACGAGCAGATAATATTTCAAATTTCCAAGCTTCATAATTTGTAATGGTATATAATTGGACTATTATATCACCTACAGGGAGTATAACATTTTCCGGTACACACTATTTTTTTATTTTCAATCTTTTCTAGTAACTACCTCTCATTAGAATTCCTAGATTTATGTTTTTCTACAGAAACATTTCTACACCTATACCCACATGGTAACAAATAAAAGTTTCTTTATCTCATACATGTAGGTATTCCCATTTTGAGATTATTTTCGTGACATCTCTGACACATTACAAAACACTTAATTGACTGTATGTTTTTTTTTGTCGCATTAAACGTGATTTCTAACAAAAATGTGTCAAAAGGCCATGTAATGTTCGAACCCTCGCATCTTTATTTTATCTCGTTAGGTAGGTGCATAAATTTCGGACCCCTCTGTTGAGACTAATGCTATTTTACTACCTTTGATAGTTAAATGTAACGTAAATTAAAGAAGGGTCGTTAACCGTGGTGGAAAAAAATTGATATCCATCATTCGTACAATAAAAATTTTACAGGTATTTGGTTTTAGGAAAACACACCAAATTCTGGTTAATTGTTATAAGGTATAAATCCTGTAGTGTTTATCATTTTTTTCGTAAACTCATCTTTAGTTTTTGGAAAATTTGCAATTTTCTATAGAGAATGTTTTTTTCTTAGGAACTTTCTAAAGAATTTTTGTTTCTTAAGACATATTTTAAATCACTTTTCTGTGTAATTGGAGGAGTTTTCCTAAATTTTGTTAATGAAGTTGATGATTTTATAATCCCTAAATTTTATAATCATCCGCATATTTTTAAATTAATTTCTGCAATTTCATACTGGTCTATACGACAGTTCCTGAAGCTAATTTGTATACCAATACCACCTGACTACCTGTCCTATGTTAATCTGCTTACTTTCTGATTCTCCCCTATAGACATATTTTTTTTGCACATATAGGTATGGTAACAATGTTGCATATATCTGGACTTCTATTTGAAGCATTCAAGTTTTTTCACTCGATGAATAACTATTGAAGAAATTAAAGACATTGTAATGAAGGCATTAAAGGCATTGAAGTCATTAAAGACACTGAAGACATTATAGACAATAAAGACATTGAAGACATTATAGGAAGACAAAATTTGTATCTTCGTCTGTCTTTTGTTCTTATCGATATACAAGATTTATTCGTCTCTAAATAATTAGTTTCAGTCCTTGTTGCTAAAATTTGCTTAATTTGCTGTATAATAAAGTTAAATGCCTTCGTTAGTTTGTAACTTGCAAATGATTTATAATTACATATATGATTACTTACTGACCTTAAACAATTAAAACAAACATGAATAAGTACCTACATATTAAAATCATTGCATTAATATAGTAAAAAGTTGATAAATTGAGATTTGTAACAATTGACCAAAGAAAAAAAAAAGAAGCGAGGATGCGATATCGGTCATGTTTCTTGTCTCTCCGTATCGTTATACCTTTATGAACTCTGCACAGACGGTTGCCTGGAGACTAAACCCCGTGAAGTGTAAACACTTCCCCTCTGTGGAAGGGACCCCATAGAGGCGGCGTGACCGTTCCTACGACCAATGGATAGCACTACAGTTATGATGTCACATTTCAATTAGAACTTAGGAGTGCCAATGGCGCGCGCAGAACATAGAGGGGAATGTAGGGTGGGAGAGATTGGACGGCGAGACTACCAGTTTCTCAATCTAGACACAGTCAGTAATACAAACAGGGTCGCGTGCGTGCTGTCTGATATGCATAACGAATCAAAACTGAGCATAAGCAAGCATTTTGTTCTGATTCGCGTCGTCGCGCGATAATCCTTAACAGAAAACAAATTAGTGTTTAAATAATTTTAGAGTGCGTGATATTGATGTTGAAAAAGTGACAAAAACAGTGCAAAGTGTACAAACACGAGGACAGTGTGGACGAGAGGCCCTTACAGGGCATGGCGGCCACCACATATCTCCCGGCCAGCAGTGCAGTTACGACGGATCTGGAAGGGAACGTCGTTGGAATGAATATTGTTGGAGGCTACCATTCCAGCGCCTCACCGAGGTCAGCAGCCGACGCGAACGAGATGAAATACCTGCCGCAACACCACCACAATCACCACCATCACATGGCGAGCTCGCCCTCGCCCAGCGGACACACGGCCGTATCGTTATCGGCCAATCCGTGGGTGAGTTTGCAGCCCGGCACCGATCCGTGGACGGCTTCTATGGGGATGCACCACGCTCACCATCACCACCATCAAGACGTCAAACCGTTGACCCAACCGGGCGATATGATGCACCATCAGAGGCAGCAACAGCAAAGTATGGGATCGCCGCACGGCTGGCACGGACCAGTTTCTTCGGCCCATTACAATCCGGGAGGCGCCGGTTCGCCTTTGCAACAGTACCACGCCGCCATGAACGGCATGTTAGCCCATCACCAAGCGGCGCCCCAGCTGCACCACCCCTTACATAGAGATATGCAAAGTCCCCATCATCCCCAGCATTCGGATAGAGACGTCGGCCAAGGTGAAGAAGATACGCCTACTAGCGATGATTTAGAAGCGTTTGCTAAGCAATTTAAACAACGACGTATAAAATTAGGATTCACGCAAGCGGACGTCGGTTTAGCATTAGGAACACTTTATGGTAATGTCTTCTCCCAGACGACAATATGTAGGTTCGAGGCTTTGCAGCTCAGTTTCAAAAATATGTGCAAATTAAAACCGCTCCTCCAGAAATGGCTAGAAGAAGCCGATTCGACGACGGGCTCGTCTACGTCCATAGATAAAATAGCGGCCCAAGGGAGGAAGCGGAAAAAACGCACTAGCATAGAAGTATCGGTAAAAGGTGCGCTGGAACAGCACTTCCACAAACAGCCAAAACCCTCTGCTCAAGAAATATCATCGTTGGCTGATAGCTTACAATTAGAAAAAGAAGTCGTCCGGGTGTGGTTTTGCAATAGGAGGCAAAAAGAGAAGCGAATGACGCCTCCGAACACGTTAGGTGGTGACATGATGGACGGTATGCCTCCGGGAAGTCACATGCACCCCAGTTACGGTCACCATCAGGACATGCACGGATCTCCTATGGGCCAGCATTCGCATTCCCATAGCCCGCCTATGTTATCTCCCCAAAGTATGGGCCACCAGTTGACGGCCCACTAGCATCCGGCCCACTGGGCCTCTCTACTTCACAACAGTGACAACGGCTAGTGATAATATCTTTTAAGATGCGCTCGTCGCCGGTTTCCGTCGGCTTTTAAAACTTTCTTCACGCTACCTCAAAGCCATGGCTGGATTCTGATGTCCTACTTCCAAGTCGTTGAGGAGGGTCCCAGTGGATATTATGCATTGGACGACTAGACTGTTATTATAAATTATACACTGTACAGTGAGAGTGAGTACCTTTAGACTAGAAAAAGGATCGCGGTTGTTCTGTCTTTTTGGTCGTGTCCATTACGAAATCAATCAATCCATCCCAATCTTGACTTATATACTTGACTTAATACTCATATTATAAATGCATTCACTTAAATATCACCAATTTTCTTGATATAATTTTCTGGATATCTAAATACTGGTTTGAGACAATTTGAAAAAAAATTTGATTAAGTCCATAACGTAGATGGTACCTATGATAAAATTAAGATTTATACACCTGTCGCCCGAAGAGAAAATACAATTGAAAATTCTTATTTAATTATATTAAAACACTAGAAATTTTCATCAACATATTTTATTAAAATTTACTTGAAGTTAACTTTGCATAACAAAGATAGAAAAAAATGTATCACTTTTTTTTATTACATATATTTTATTTTACTTTGCTAGTAAATTATTTACACGTTTAAATCAAGGAGTAATCTAACTGCTGAAAAATAACTTTGATTTCAGAGTAAAAAATATTTTAATTCGTTGTTTAACAACTCTAAATTTTGTATAAACGAGGATTGAATTCTTCATCTTCATAAATACATACATACATACATATTTAGAGTTTGATTTCGCTCAATAAGAGGATTTTATATTGTTAAATTTTAGAAATATTATTAGTTAATCAATTTTACTTTTATTTTAATGGTTGTGTTGTTATTATTTATTATGAGATATTTTTAAAATTTTTAATTTTTATTATACTATATCAGAATATTCTTTAAACGGAAAATTCAATGGCTTTACCTTGAAAATGAAGAATTAACTTTGAATGATGATGCTTCTTAACGCATTGTTGCAATTAAGTTTTTTAGAGTTTTTCCTACAATTTGCATAAATACTATTTTTTTAAATGTTATAAATGAAACTATTTTTTATTTGTTCAAAACGATTTTTAAAATAAGTTTTTGTTATATTTAGATATTTATTTTATTCAGTAATTTCAAAACTATTAATAGACAGATATTGTAATAGGTACGCATTTTCAATTTAATTAATCTCTTCACTTTATTCGATTTTGCTAAAAATGATCTTAATCAAATATTTCGTATAAATTGTTGAAGTTCGTATAAAATAACTCAATTTAAAATTTGTTATATTAATTATTTGAGTTCATAACGTGCAATTGATTTTTACAAATTCCTAACTCCGTTTTTTAGAAATCTCGGAAAATTATTTTTACGAATTTTTAATGTTTGTACCGACTTTAATTGTAACGCATTTTGTACCTACATAGGTCCTTATTAGTTTTGGAAGTTTTTAGAATTTTTTAACAGAGCAGTGTTTTTTAAACCTATACATAGGTATTATTAATTTATCAGTACCAATATTACAAAAAATTTCTTTTGATTTTAATGAAAGATTCAACTCCAAATTTTATCATGAAAATAACTATAGTTTCGTCTTGTGCTTATTGAGTATACCTAGGTATTTTTTAACTAAACCAAAAATAGGTACTTAAGTGTGGTCGAAAAATATGATTGTTAAAAGTGATATAAAGTAATCTTTGATTGATTTCGCACGGAAAGACCCGTCTGTAAATTTTGTTGTAAATAAAAGAGTGATAAAGTTGCCCAAAACGAGTAGCTAATGTATTATAATTATAGGTAAAAAGCTGCTACGTTGTACATAAAGATTTTAACTACCGGTCCAACAATAGAAGAATCGTGATTTATACCTTAAAAACACACCGAAATGGTTGACGATAAAACAAATTAATATTATAAGTTTTTAATGTACAGAATGTCTCCTGTTGTTCTTATGTTGTTATTATTTTGGTTCGAGTGTCGTACAGTTAAATAATTAATTTTTCTACAATCCGTACTGTAGTTATTGAAAAAAAATTATGAAAAAATAATCAAGGATTTATTTCATGTGTATATTAATTATTATAATAATTATATCGTTGTACGGTGTGAAATTAAATCGATTTCGTTTTTATGACTGTCTTATGATTTCTCCAAACACCTCATTAACCCGAGTTTTGAGGTGACGAAAATCGAACGAAGCAATTGGTTGCGATGAGTTTTCGGTTTTTGGTTTAGATTTTAAATATTTTCAAAAACCGCGAGAGTGTTGAAGAAATTCGAAAAAACCGCAAATGAAAGCCTCTATAACCTATCGGCCAATACACGTTTGGAAATTTACTTTGAAAAATTATTAATTTTAAATCAAAAGTTATTTATGCCATTTGATGGTAATTATATTTATTGGTACAATTTCTTGATGTTAAAATAATTTTTTTTGTAGTTATTTGATTTTTTTTTAATTTTCTAAAGATAAATTTTTAGGGGATAAATTGGCTTAATTATCTAACATTTTCAAAATGATTAGGTATATTGTTATATTCATTTAGTTCAATATTTTATTATTTTAAATTTTCAACCCGTTCATATATTTTGTGTGATTTTGAAAATTCTTTAACACTATACTCGGTGTAAAATTGATTTAGAAAATACGCAAGCTCTTTATAAAATGGTAAGACACACTAAATGATTGTCTATAAAATTTCTTTTTAAAAATTCAAAATCATTAAACCGGTTTAATTAAAAAAATTACAAGCTTTATAAATGTGTGCATACATATTTATAAAATAAAATGGTTAATAAATTATGACCATTAAATTAAAAGCGCTTCCTAAACATTTTATTGGGTGCAGCCGTATTAATTTTTCGAACGTAGTTGTAACGTATAAAACGATGTAGTAATTGATGGTATTACGACAGTATATGCTAGTAATAAAATCGCAACTAATTGTTTAATACACAGATAGTCTACCGTAGGCCCTTGATAAATATTTTTTTTTTCACAAACGTTTTAAATGTTTTCCTAATCAAATTTTTGGATATATTTTACTAAAGTGGCCATTTGCAGTAGATATCCTATGAATTTCTAATAATCACATTCATCTGATGGTAACTGTAACACTATACCTATACGTGTACATTTTATATTTTTTAAACAAAATGTGATAATATAAAAAACTATTATTAAATTATAATTTTTGTCAGTTGTAATACATTTGGAACTTGAATGATACTTGTCTTATTTCGGAATTGTATTGTAAAATTTTAAAATGTAATATATACTCTGTTAATATTGATTATTTCATTTTGATAATTTAAATCGCACCCAAAAATCTGTCCAAGACTCCAACAATTTTTTAAAAAATTGATTAATCATCTCACTGAAGTCTTCACACAACAAAACTATTATGAAATTTTTTTGAATTGAGAAATATTTCAAAACAATAACTTCATAATTTTTCTAACATAAGTAATATCAGTTAACATCTTCATCACAAGTATCTTCAGTATGCTTAGTTTTGTTGTCAATTTAATATAAATAAATATTATAAAATGTATACAACATTAAAGTTAGTACGAATTAATCATCCGAAAAGTAATAAATCTCTACATCGAATCATGATTGTAAAGAAAACCTCGCTTCAATTCATGCTAATTATATTGGTTTCACAACTATTTGAGTAAACGCTACCATCTCAATTATTTATGCAAATAAAACCACAACTGTCAAATGGCGTTTAAACAGAATGAATGTGATTATTACCTTAATGCTTCTATTTTTTCGTCACCTTTAAAAAGTTGCTGCGAAGATAATCGTTTGAGCACGAGTTGGTATGTATCAGATGTTATTTATTATTATTGGAAATGCTTCAACATAAAAATGCAGATATCCTGTTCGAATAAGGATATGTTAAAGAGTACTTGAATCAACAAATTGATCTGGAAAATATTTTTGTTTAGTTGTAATTTTGTTGATTTATTTGAGTTTCATTCATTTGAAATTGAACAAAATACAACTTCTAAGAAGCCCTTCCGTTTCTCTATAGTATATAGAGTAGTATTTTTAGCTATTATTGTAGGTGAAGTTTAGTTTTACAGTAAAAGCGTAATTAAAGTTACGAACAATGGGCTATAATTAATTTATTCTAATGAAATATATATTGTTTCGATGTTCCTTTGTTAACACATTGCCCTTGCTTATTGATAAAGAGCAATTTAAAAACTTTTAGCAACATTAACTAGACAAAATCATAAAGTTTGGGAAAGTTTTGATTTTCATAAAATTCATGTCTATAGTGGATTTATGCACTTTTTCGAACATAGTAAATAGCATAAAATTACTAGCGGGTCGGTTAAATAACATATACATAGCTACCTACATTAGCGAAAATAAAAACAATGCGTTATAGTCTATCACGTAATTTATTTCCAATTCTACTGGATGTACTGGAACGAACTTATTCATGCTGGTAGGTAAACTACCTATACTTGTTGCTTTATTACAAGTACGCGGTTTGAAGAGGACAGGTTTATTGGATTATTTGGCAGATAATTAATATTGTCGAAGTCGTAAAAGAACAGCTGGTGTTCTCCTTTGATATGTGTGTAGTGTGGTTACTCCGTGACGAAAAAAACACTTACCCGCATTTCGTTTATTCGACGTTTAAGCCAGTCGCTTCTTATTGAAAAAACTAAGTGTGAAAATTACTGACGGAAATTATTGACTTGGATTTTTATAATCTTTTAATGTAGCGTTTCAGAAAATTGCTACATACCAATTTTGTACTCTTTTATTTGTACTTACCTATAAAAAGTATTCATACAAGATGATGTACATTGGAGGTGCAGATGGACATGGAGCATATCTAGGTACCTCAAAATAATAAAATCCCTATGAACCTCTCAAAATTATTCCCTCTTTACTGAGATACAAACTGATGTGTAAAATTTGTGTAAAATTTTGCAACATATTTTCAAAAATTTTCTAAAAAAAATGGGTCAAAAATTTAAGCTGCAGAATTATAGTCTATTATAACTTTTTTAAAGAGACTACTTTACCTTATTGACACAATGTTATATTTATTATAGTTTTTAAACAGTATATCACTTATAATGATACTTGCATTGGTACAATTTCTGGCACCCCCTGTCGTATATTTGAATATAAAGATAATACACACACACTTTGCGAGCGATGTGATTGATAACGGGCAATGAAAAAGAAAAGGCTCGATTGTATCCGGATATATTCGAATAGTACAAGCAGAAGTAACAAATTAATCTGTCATTTGATTCGAATGTTCCTCTTGAATTTTGACAAATTACGAACATTTTCGAATTGGAAAGTAAGCCCACATTTTGTAGGCCTATTCGTTGTGGGAAATATTTTACGAACTTTTTGAATTGATTAATCGCCTATTTATATTCGCCTAATAGTTTTCCATATACGGTTTTATTAAATTTCATTTGATATTTTCGGTTTATTCCTACCAGATATCATTGGCGTGACAGAAAGATTTACAAGGGATTTATTTTGAGATATTTTTGAATAATTAACATCGACTGTGTAGCTTGCTTCTTTGTGCTTTCAAGAAAAAGATAAAGCGTTGGAATTGTTATCATTTTCATTC